AGCAAAGACTCCCGGTCCCAATGTGATTGCCCGATATCTGATCTAATCTTGCATTCTCAAGTGTTTCCGTGGTAGAGTTGGGTATGGTATGATTTCCCCGAACTCGACGTACTTTGGTACTTCCCAGAAGTGGATTCCTGGAAAAGGATTCCATACTTTCCCATGATGGGGGTTCGCATGCAAATTTTCTCGCCAACGCGCTATATCCCGTAGCCTATGAACATCCGTCTCCACCCAGAATATCCCCTAAAAACAGACCAATCCCGTTAGCCACTACAAATAATTTATATGCGCGTAGCGCGTACATCATGCGGAGTACGGATTATGCAGGATGCAATTACTACCCGATAGGCGTATCCCACTCGGGGAGCTCCGGTCCAGCGACTATCTACTTTGTACATTCGTACTTTGTACTACTTTGTACGTACTTGAGCTATCACGATCGACGACTGGCGCCATTTCCCATCGTATTGAGCCCACTCAAACACCAAGTGGCTCTTTCCGACCTTCAACCCAGCCCGCGCTAATAACGAGTAGATCACCTCTCCCGCGGAGTATCTGGTACGTAACAGATTTTGCTGGCGCTTTTCTTTACTTCGGCTAGTGGCCATGACTCTGCGCGGAGAGACAAGTCAAGTTCACTGTTCTCCGCACGCGCTGAATGTACAAAGTATCCTGTGACCCGGCGTGTATGTAGAGCCTAACGCGACGCCATCAACGGCTTTGGAGCTGGATCTGGACCCCACGTGCTGAAACTACAGCCTGAGCTGGGATGAAACTTGACGCAGAGAGCCTCCCATAGCGGACGTGTCTGATGAGACCATTATACCTTTTCGCTCGAGAGCGAGTCACTGATCAGCCAATGCCTTTCTTGTCTTGCTTTTTGTCTCGTCTGTTGTCCTGTGTCTGCCTGATCAGCCTAAATCTGTCATCTCTATGGAGTAAGCCACGGCAGAATATACGCCCTAGCAGTGGAGACACAGTCTAAACTGCGTGTTTTGTTAGCAGCAAGACACTGGACGGAGCTCATCTCGAGGCGGGCTAGAGCGGGTCTTTAGCCTTTCTACGGAGCACTGATCCAAAACGTGGTTCCACGATAGGTACCTTGCAAGAAGACTCGCTACAACAAACAACGCAGCTAACTCATATCCCTAATACAGTTAGTACGAATATCTCCATGCCAAGTCCACACAAAAATGCAATCCACCATAACATTCACATCTACTCCGTAGGTATCCATCTTCTACCCACACATAACAAGTGAATCTCATCATCAACCCTGGTTCGAAGAAACCAGCGTGGAGTCCGACAACCCCGAGTTTTCTCCAGATATCAATCAGGCAATATATCATACGATCTATGTCTTCAAAAAACCACTTTTGATATCGCTTCATGGGGCAATCTCCAGAGATAAAGATGAACCAATACATGCCAAGTCGCATCTGGTGCATCTCGACGAGCTAGCCCTAGTCCTGAAGAAAGCCACTCTCCACCACTCGCAAAGACCGAACCTACAGTGGATATGGATATAGAGTATGGACTAACTAGGGGGATAAAAAACAAGAGCTACAATCTCGACTAAGTGCCTGTTAGCTCCTGTTTCCAAATGACCAACGAGACGAGACGAATTGCATCGCGTAAATATATGGAGTGCCAAGAGGTCGAACTCCATCTGCGGCCCGCGAATTGGATCACAGCTGCATGTGTATATCCTCACTATTTCCTAGCTGAGGAGTACGGTGTGCGCCTTGTGAGAAGGCTGAGGATGTCGGCTGCATCTACGGAGTACGGAGTACAGCATAGTCGCCGACCGGTCCGGCGTGGCTACCGGGCCGAATTTTTGATATTGTGCACATTCGGCCCTAATACGGGGGCTTCGTGGGGGGTTCGTACATTGCATTACCTTGTCTGATATTTCTTCACAGGTGGATGTTGTTTTTATATTAACGGCATTTTTCGGCCGGCATGTTGGCTCCGAGGGTCCTCAAGGATGGGTTTCCGCTGAGACATCTCATCTATCTCATACGGTGTCAGGAACACGGAGTCAGGTTTTGCATGTGGATTTGAATTGGATGTGCTCGAAAACGCATTGCTAGCTCTAATTGCAGGGTTTGGGAACTAGAACGCAATCCCAATTTGGACATTGGAAAACAACCTGTTGATATTGAAGCTCGCCCTGATTGCAGGTCAAGCTCCAAAACAAGTAATAAACAACAAAGGGCCTCAGCGAATGTAAAAGTGAGATCACGCTCCATAAGGAGTCAGTCTCTTCCTATCATAGAATTTAAATATTTCTCATCATCGACCATGTTTATGGAAGAAAGAGAAAGAGGAAAAAAAGCTATGGGTCGAAAAAAATGGTTCCTCGCATATAGATTATGTAATATTTCTGTGTGTGCCGAAAACCTTGGAACCTTCCGTGAGAGGTAAGCGGAAAAACTAAATTTCCGGAACCCAGCATAAAAGGAAATCTCGATCAGCGCCTTTCCTCTTTTTTCTTTTCTTCTTCGTGCGGCGGCGCAACTCGATAACCCGTGTTGCCTGGACATCTACGGCCATTAGTCTGGCTTTCAGTGATGTAATCAGGTGTCAGTTGCGCCACAGACGAAGGGAATTGCACATTGATTCTTACCTTTATGGGTCTTTCTGATTTCACAAGGATGAGACCTTCTGGTGGGAGTCAAACATACTTTTTTTATATACTCTTGGGTATTTTCATAGTGGTAGAACAAATGGAATCAAATTATCAAATTATCAAATTCTGCAATTTTTTTTACAACTGCCAACCTTCTTCTCATTAAGTGTTGAACTGTACTCTCACTAGCATAAACTTGACAAAATATTGATCCGTCCAAGCTCTCTCTGTCTTTGAAAATTCAAATCGCACAAGACAAGACAGCTCATAGTTCTTATCTCCATAGCCTGTAGGCTTGTTTTCTCCAGTCTCTATGTTGTTTATTCGCCAGGCTCATCACCGATCTTCTCTAGCTTGCCCATAGTTCGGTTTGCACCAGCCTCGCCAATAACGCGAATGCGATCAACGCGCAGCTTCTCACTATCCCCATCCCCATCAACGAAGAACAGGACCAGCGATGTCACATTCTGGAAATTAACAAATCGCAGAGTGACTGTCGCAGTCCCAGTCTTCGCATCCCAATCACCAGACTGGATCTCCACCTTCTGCACAGGAGGGATACCATCCGCCTCATCGAATCCAAGCACATGCGAAGTATTCTTGTAGATATGCAAGTTCCTAGGGCGCATTGGTGTCTCGTCATCATCGGTGTCCGTAGGAGGGAGAGAGGTAATCTGAAGCGAGTGGACCTTCAGTGTCGAGTTGAATGGGATGTACAGCATCAGCTGCTCGTCGGTGTCGCTCTCAGTCCAGTCAGCCTGGCTAGAAGCCTTGCCCTTCCCCTTTGCTGCAAGTCCGGACGGCTTAGAGGCGCCGAATATAGCGCGCGGCTCTGCGGTATCCGTGTCGCGGTTCAAGAGCTCCAATCCCTTCACGTCAATCTGATCTGTGATATCACTATAGCCCTTGGCCACTGCGCCGCCAAGCCAGAGCTCACCGGAGCTGCTTCCTTCGCCGGCTCCTGCTGCGTCGTCCGACTGGCTTGCTTCAGATGCAAGCTTCTGGACGATCTGGTTCAGCTGTGCGGGGTTGGCGCCCTTGACGGTTTGGTTCACGCGGCCATTCTTGAAAACGATGAAAGTCGGCATCCTAGTTATCGTGCATTTGTCAGTAAAGTAGGCGAATATTATAGAACTGGAAGCGCGGGTTGGGCTGGGTTCTAGAATTATCGAAAAATTGCACATACGCTGTGACACCGTAGGCTTTCGCGAGGTCTTGTTGGTGGTCGACATTGATCTTGGTGAATGTGATGTGATTGGGGCGGGAGAGCTGAGTTGCCAGCGAGTTATACGCAGGTGCGATAGCTTTGCATGGTCCGCACCAATCAGCGTAGACTATTTAGGTGTCGGGTTAAGGTCAGCGATAGCTCTGGTGCTTCGGAGAGGAAGACAGGGTTTCAGCGGGGAAGGATCGCGCTGCGGCGGTAAATACTTACAGTCAGCAACGACAAGACGGGAGGAGGTGAGGAGCGATGAGAATTGCTCCTTCGATGATATCTCAACGACAGACATGGTGAAGTTGGGAGGGGAATGAGTGTGAAATGGAGGGTGGAAGAGGATGGAAAGATGTGAGGTGTTTTGCTGCTGAATATGTCATCAGCCCCTCTGCACTCATAACCCCATATGGACCACGCTAGGGAATGTGTACTGCTTAAATATTTTAGTTCAAATTATCAGTATTTGATCCTCTTTTGGAAGTAGAATTAATCTAAATGCAAGTGGCAAGTTTTTAGGCGTGATCATTTTGGATATGTATATATTGCGATCATTAAGCTTATATGTACATATGTACTTAGCATGCGATTGAACCTTAATTGAAGACTGTGAATTTTGTCTTCATTTTTTTATTCAACACAAGCTAAAACATTAATATACACACAAGAAGCGTATCCTTATGTAGATATGGAAAAATGGTAGTTAACAAGTAGCCCTATGACACATCATTCGCTCCCATTATTGGATGCATGAGCTTGAGCCAGGCTCGCTCTGAAGGTCAGAGGCCACAGTTGGACATCGGCAAGGGCGTGAGACGGGTCCAAAAGCGAGTATATCACTTCCAGGTATGGACCTAGTTTACCTAAGGCCCACAAGGTTGGTACGCACAAACCAGAAAAGACCGGCGACAACCCAATCTGCAAAAGAGAAACCATGCCCTAGAAGAAGGAGCACCCCCAGCCTATATCCTGTCTGAACCAAAGAGCCTAGTCCCTGGACGAGACATCGACCAAATCAGACAAAGGACCACGGGATGCCATTTATTGTACAGCGACGAGACATGAGTCGCACAATCGGACACAAATATCACCGGTGTGATAGATCAGAGGTGATTGCCAGGGAAAAAAAAGGCAACCTAACAAGCCATCTCTTCATCCTTCATCTGCCTCAACGGCGAACAGAATCTTCAACCAGAGACTGCACCCGCGGCACCCGATAATGATCTCGCCATGCTCAGCCTCCCTCTCCAAATCCTCCTCGTTAACCAAAAACCCGCGCTCATCACCGCACCGACATCCGCGATACCAGCAGTCGCCATCGCCGTCTTCCACCTCCTCGCAGGCGAGATCTTCCAAATCCACAATTTCCAAACCGGTATGGAACACGTCGCTGGTCTTCTCCCGTCCCGCGACCTTCAGCCTGTCCAGGCGCAGAGAGCGATTATATTCCGCGCGGAGGGCGGGGTCCGATAGGGTTTTGTAGGCAGTGGTGATCTGGTCGATGGTATACGGTTGTCGCGACGTGTTGCCATCGGATCCAGCAAAGAGAGGATTTGGAGTAGATAGGGATGTAGAGTTAGTCGAGCTGCCTAGTCCGGTCTCCCTTGCGACAGCACCTGCCTTGTCAGGGTGGTGTTTCAGCAATGCTTTATGGTATGCAATCTTAATCTGTTGCTTGGAGAGGACTGTCGACGAAGACCCCGTAAATGGCAGAGACAGGATCTCATAGAGATCCACAGTGTGTGCTGTTCTAGTCATGTCGACAAAGCGTATGCCTCTTTTTGTTCAGGGTCTGTTCGCCGTGTCTGGCTGGTTGCGCTGTTTCCGTGACGCGCCGAGTCCTCGAGCGACCAGTAGGAGGTGCGCGTCAGGTTTTAATAGTGACACCTCGAAGTCTAGCGGAGAGGTCCAACCGCGTGCGTTCCAGGGAATGATTGTGATAGTCTGGGGTAACAGAGGCGCTGCAAAGCGGGGTTGGTGAGCTTTTTTATTGAGAGGTTACCCTGAGGATTTAAAAATGGCCGGTCGCTCTCGCACGCCACTTTGGGAGACGACCGTCCGGACCCATACTTGTTGATCTTAAGCGTTGGCTACTCCTTTTCTCTCTTTTATTTTCTCGATACCTGGTTGAAAATTTTCTCTTCTTTTTGCAATATTCATGGCCTAAATGGGTATTATCTACCTAGAGCTATGTAATACAGCCGCCAAACTTTGCCTGATGACTCCATGTGAACGGTGCTAATGCTACATCCTGCCCAAGATGAAGTTTACATGCTGTGAATGCAGCTGGGACTACTGGTGCATGTGGATATGGAAGGAAATCTAAAATTCCATTGGAAACAAGAAAAAGAATCTTAGTGAGTAATGACTCGGATATCAACAGGTAAATGAAATGAGACAGGAATATTATGCAAATTTTGAGCAATCTCCTTACTCGGAATCAGAAGTCTTGAAGACGAAGCGTTCATCAGTCTTGAAGGGCACACCGAGCTCAAGAAGCTTGACAAAGACATCAGAGAACTCCTTGAAGAAGGCATCGCTATCCTTGGCATAGCGCTCGACATGCTTCTTGAAGTTCTTATCCTTAATAAGAGCCATATCAGTGGGCAACATCATGAGAGTGCCAGTGCTCTTGTCAGTGAACTGGGTCGGGCCGTTCCACTTCTTTTGATTCCACTTCTCCTCAACAAGAAGGCGGAAGAACTCATTGGTGAAAACAGTAGGGCTGAAGTTCCAGGGGCCGTCATAGCCGGAACGATCGGTGTGGCAGCGACCCAGGGCATGGGCGCCGATCAGTGCAACCATCTCGCGGTCATCAAAGCCCATGCGGGAGAAGATATCACGGACGTGACGCTGGTCCTTGGCAGCGTCAGGAAGACGGCCGTCGGGAGTGCAAGCGGACACGTCCCTGTCCTCACGGCCGGGTCTCCAGGGGATCGTTGGGCCACTCAGCTCCTGGATGGCGCAGGCACCACCAAGAGTCCACAGGTCGGAGTAAGAGATCCAGGGGAATTGAGCCTTGATGGGCTCGAGGAAGTCGCGCGCAGCCTTGAGACCGGCGTTGGCGCCGTGATCAGACTCCGGGGCGAATCTCATAGTGGCGCCGTTGCTGCCTCCAGTGCCAGTCTCCTTGTCATATGTACCACTTGCGTGCCATGCGAGACGAACGAGGACCTATTGAGAGGGGAAAACATCTAGGTTAGCCTTTTGGTCTTGGATTACACCACAGAGAAGACCTTGGGAAGTGACTGTACTTACAGGACCATAGCTGCCATCATCATAGTCGGTTTCGTCAGCCAGACGTTGAGCGATAGCGTCGTACACCTTCTGGTAATCGGCCTGGGCGGGGACGAAGGGACCCTTGGCCTGGGCCTGGGCCTTGGAGGAGTCGTCACCCTTCAGGTAGAAGTACGCTCCACCGGCACCGAGGGCACCAATAGCAACAGCCCAGAGGCCAGCAGATGAGCCTGACTTCTCAGGGCCAGCCTCTGAAGCATATCCGCGACGGGAAGAGGTACGGAGGCCGTTGGCGGAGATGGCGAAACGGGTGCTGCGTACAGCAGGGCGGAAGGAGGAAGTCGGGGTCGAGCGCAGGAAGGCCCGGGAAGCAGTTCTGGCAGCAGATGCCATTGTGAGAGGACAGAGAATGTGCAGGACAAAAAGTCTAATGGAAATTCTATCAGGGAAAGGAAAGTAAAGGTGGAAGTACAAGTACAGACGAAAGAAGGGAGGGATCGGGCATTTGTACTTCTCCTGCCCCTTCAAATGTCAGTACAACCCCGAGCCAATACTTCGGTACATCGTACAGAAGCTGATGGAATCACAGCCAATCAAGGGGGCCACATATGTTATTGCCTCGGTGTTTTCGTCTCATCTCCGCATTCCGGTACATCACCGTACATCATCCCCAGACTTCAAATATTTCACTTTTGTCAATTCTCGTCTTCTTCGCCTATCTCTCTCCCTAATTATCATCATCGTAGATATTTCTTTATTGAATTGACAGTATAAATTGATATACAGACCGACACCAGAGGCGTGAGGAAAAGGATATTATGGAAATGTATTATTAACAGCCCAGTGCTGTTTGGCCAATTCAGACCCACTACCGCCCCCTTCCGGAGCGGCTTACCTGATCGAAGGGTCTGCACCCGGCCCAGATTGCTTTGCTCAGTAATAATCAAAGGTCTAGATACTATAATAATCTGTATTCCGTCTGATTATTGAACCAGATGTCAGATAGGCTATTTATGAAATCTTCAAGTTCCAGATCCCTTGGCAAAATTAAACGTTTTTCGTGGTCTCGATCTTATCATCCATGGTTCTAGCCATCTGATTACAATGTATACATTCCATGGATAGTCCACACTATGACAGAGATTCTCTTGTGAATCCTTAGAAGCCGGTGCATATCCAATTTTACACGTATCAATTACTGCTCTCGCTGGAGCAGAAGTTTATCATGTTAGCATAGAAGGGGAAAAATATACATACATATATGTAGTTCTACATGCGTGAACAAGTATGCCCTACGCTGTCACATTTACCTTGTCTAGGTAATCTTGAAACAAACTACCCAAAAGCTTATATTATTTCCATATAGAACCTTAACCTTCCATATTAAATCTACTTCAATCTCCCCTTGCTCCTAACAACTAGTCATTTTTTGCCTGATGCTCTTGATGAATCTTCCAAACGCGTCACACATATCTATAGATCAACTGGTTCGTCAATGCTGTAATGAGAAACCAAATTTCCCTCGCTTGGCTCTTGCATTTTGGTCTCGACAAAGGCGTCAATTTCCACCTGCTCTTCTCTACCGAATAAACTAAGTCGATCTTCGATCGTTGTAAATGGACCATGAAATTTTGTGTCAATGAAATTCCAATAAATCTCATCAAACATAGAGCTGTGTCGTAAAAAGAGGCAAACCCAAAACAGTCCAGTTTCCAATGACTTCTCCATATTGATCGACAGTCTTTGGGATTGTGACAAAGAGCCATTCTGGATTTTTCCGGCTTCACAGTCTTTGAGAACATCAGTGAAAACGCGAAACCTTGGCACGAAACGCAACAGAAATTGATCGAGATCAGTCTCCCAGTCCTCTGGTTTTTCTAATAAAAGCCACCAGGGAGCAGCAAATGTGAATTCAACAGGAGCAGCATAGGTGAACTCCCAATCAACTACTCCAGTAACAGTAAGCTTCGATGCATCAACAAGGACGTTATCGGGGGGAGATCACAATAAAGCCGGAAAGGACCATTACAGTGTTCCTTGGATATCTGACGAGACAACTTGAGAAAAAGACAACGTGCGATATACTTCTTTCGACAGTCGGCCTCACTTTGTAGTTGCATCATTGCGTTGAAACTTAAGATGATAGAACTGTAGATGAGCAAGCGCCTCGAAATAGTCTGTTGCATTGCTGAAATGTGCTTGGCCAAAGATATTGTGGGGAATATTAGAGAATTGGGCAAGTCGATTTATATTGAAAGTGAGCGCTCGTTTCTGCACGGTCCATTCACCGAACTCATCCCTTCTGATAGCTCCAATAAAGGGAAATGTAGGCTTCGATAGCTCTAGCAAGATCTCAGACATGCCGAAATAAGCTCTCCTTAAGAGAGACATTGGGACATTCGGACTTAGTGTGACATCTGGTTGGGACGGATCTTTGAGGATTCCGCTCATTGGGTTTCCTTCGACAAAAGTCATCACAATGTATGGGCCAACCACACACTCTCCGAATCCTAATATATTTGGAATAGGGATCGCCGTTTACTGCGAAATATATTGCATGACAGCGACCTCATCTTCGACCTTTTCCTTGCGAGCAAGAACCCGGCCAGGGGCAACAAAACGAACAACGCGATAGCCATTTACAAATGTGACTCGGTAACAAATATTGAAAGCGCCATTCGTAAGCCGCGAAGCTGTTAAAGGTTTACTATCGTAATGTCGAGAAGCACACCCGCCAACTCTTCCGGTGAGTTTCTGAGCAGATTTTGAAGCCATACCTGGAAAAGTCGATGTGACTGCTGTACTGCGATATTGTCAAAGTCCATTTCGTAATTACTGGGACTGGGATATATGAAAACAAGAGGTATACTAGTATAGATAGGGAGAGTAGACACCGAAATAATTTCACTGCAAATCCTTCTAGGCAAATGGTCATGTGACCCATAAGCGTAACACGAGGAAAAGCACCATGATTAATGATCTAGGACAAGGGAGAAATGTAGAGCAAATTTAAAATATATTTTCATTATTGGTTAGGGATGTCCGTCGTAAAAAAGTCCTGCTGTTCAATAGATATGAACACCAGGGTGGAGTAGACGCAGCTCTGCTAAAAACTGTTTGGTTTTGATATTCCACGAACGAACGATTTAAAATCACCCAAGAGACGAAGTGCCACAGGTAGGCACCACGCGGGTTATGTGGTTTGAAATTTATACCTGAATGTTGGATCCAAGTCCTCAACAATCCCCGACATTAAAGGATTGGATTCTCAAGTCTCCAACACTCAATGATTGTTGAAGAAGAAGAAAATGTGTGAAGTGAAAAGGTTTTTATCTTGATTGGAGTGGCACGTGATTTACTTAGCGCAGTCACATGACCTTGCCTTTTTGTATCGAAATTTTCTGCGCAAATCAGAGACTTTTCTTCTTTACACTTATTCGAACGCATAATCAACCGCCAATTCCTCGTTCATAGGATGGTTGGTCATATTGGCGTACTAGAAGATATTCCTGGGTAACATTATGACTTCTCGACGGCTCCGAAAAGGCTTCGGCCTCTAGGCGCATTGGTAGATGCGAGTCATTGCTGTCCGGACATGCCAATCTTTTTTTCTCTCGCTAGTGTTAATATATATACTCCGTACCCAATCTTGTGACTATCTCCTTCGGAACACGTATGCTGTATAAGACTAGGCTCGGCTATAATTGCCTAAGACTTCTAGAAGTGTTCTAGAATATCGGGTCTATAAAGTAAAGCTACGCTGAAAAAAACACGGATATAGCAAAAATGGGATTCTAAACTCAATTCAACTCAACTTTTTGGAACAGTTTGAAGTAAATATTGTAAATACTGACTATCGTAGAACTATCCTAGAGCTATCCTCACTGCTCTCTACTCACTTTCTTGACTCTGTGGACTTCTCTACTCTGTATTGTGTACATATACATCTCCTTTGGGATGATCTGCCCCTCGGACGTCAACTGAACCCTTCTCCGCCCCGGACACTTGAATTCTTCCCCTTTTCCACTAAACTGCCACTCCTTCTATTTATTTATTCTTGTAATTATTTTTTTGCATCATGCCTCCCGGCATCAGCAAGCGCCAGCAGGCACGGAATGAAAAGACGCTGGCGGAGCTGATCCGCACCGTTCCTGGCAATGATCGATGTGCCGATTGCGATACCTTGAACCCAGGTTCGTCCCTATAAACCCTTATTGTCGACCACACTAATTCTTATTTGAACAGGATGGGCTAGTTGGAACGTACGTCGCCGCTTCTTCCACCTTTGAGTGAATCCATAAACTAACTGTTCATCTCCGACAGATGGGCATCTTCCTTTGCATGCGTTGCGCCACATTGCACCGAAAGCTGGGCACACATATTTCCAAGGTTAAATCTTTAAGCATGGACACTTGGACATCAGAGCAAGTTGATGTGAGCACAACTTGTCACTGCGCAATAGCAAAGATCAAAAGCTAACAAAGTGGACTTTACTAGAGCATGAAATCCCACGGTAATATCCTTATGAACAAAATGAACAACCCGCGGGGTATCAGGCCGCCAATTCCCACCGACATCGATGAGGCCGATGCAGCTATGGAACGATTTATCCGAAAGAAGTATCAACACCGCTCGTTGGAAAATGGGAAGCCAAAGCCCCCGAGCAGAGAGGATTCGAGTTACTCCGCCCCAAGGGCTCTGTCTCCCGTGGAGTCAAGAAGGAATGACTATAACATATCTCCCGAGGGTTCTCCTCCTCCACTTCCGCCTAAGACCGGAAGGTTTTTCAAGTTTGGTCTACGGTCGTCATCATCTGCCTCGAACCTCCGCCGATTTGGCGGCAAGCCTAAGGTGACTTCGCCAACCTTCAACAGCCACGCCTCGGACAACGGAGCCTGGTCACCACCACCACCGCCGTCCAGGAAGATGACAGGACTTGGTGCGCCTGTGGCCGATGTGACAACGGCGTCTTTCGAGTCTAAGATGGCAGCATTGCAGGAGATGGGATTCACCAATGACCGACGAAACGAGATGGTTCTCAAGGGACTCCACGAGGATCTGGATCGAACAGTTGAAACACTGGTCAGGTTGGGCGAGGGAGCCAACCTTACACCAAGATCCAGCACCCCGGCCGGGACAAGCACTGCTGCATCCCCACGCGTAACATTCGCGAAGCCTGAGACGACGTCCAAAAACCCATTCCCCGTCAAAACCGATAACACATTCCCCGAGGTTTCCAACAACCCATTTGACCGAGCAGTCTTAAATGTACCCAAGTCGCAAACCCCGCAACCACAGACCGCTTCGTACAACCCATTCGATCAGCCGAAGTTGGCATCTACACAGCCTTTAGAATCATCTTTCCAGGGCCTGCAGGTTTCCCAGCCCTTGTTTCCCCACTCTACCGGTGGATACCCAAACCAGACAAGCTCCATGCAGAACTCTGTATATCAACAGTCCTATACGCCTCCGGTCACATCGACATTCTCACAGTCTCCCTATGTTACCTCACCTCAGCCAATGAACAACAGCTACAATCCATTCAACCAGGCACCGCCCCAGCCGCAGGGTAGCTTGGCTAGTCAGACATATCCCAACCCAAATGCACCACAAATGAACCCGTTCTTCAACACTGCGCCACAAAACCAAACCATGCAGCCGCAACAGCAGCAGATGGCTCCATTTGCGCCGCCTCGCCATGCAAATACCATGCCGGTCATGTCTTCCGGCTCGCCATTTGGACAAACTGCTTCTTCCCAAGTACAGCAGCAGCAGCAGCAGCAGCAGCAATCATCAAATGGTATTGGGGCTTACAACCCGTTCCAGCAAGGGCTGGCGCCGAACACAGCACAGAGCGGCGGCTACCCCGGCCAATTCCAGTCCCACCTGCAACCTCAACAGGCGCAGCAACTCATGCCTCAACGCACTGGGATGGACAAAAACAGCATTCTTTCATTATATAATATGGGTCCTGCACAGTCTAATATGACACCCATTTCCGAGCAACCTCAGCAACAACAACAATATCAACAACCCCAGCAATCCCAGCCCCAGCCCCCCACAATGAACCCCTACTCTCAACAACCAAATCAATTCACCTCCATGCCTCAGACTCAGCAATCCACAAACTTCCAACATCAGCACCAGAGCCAGCCCCAGAGCCAACAAAATTTCCAACCCCAGCAGCCTACTGCCAACGCCCAGTCCCCGACATCCAATAATCCATTCTTCAGCACCGCCCCCACAGGCAGCGGGTCTGGCCTTGCCGCACAAGCAGGCATCAACCCATATCAGCAGCAAGCCTCAGGGGTAGGCATTGGTGGCATAAATGGCCAACCCGGGTCTGGAACTGCCCCAGGAACTATTCCAGCTATGGGAACGAACAAGTCCCCATTTTCTGGAATGAGCAGTCCCCCCTTTGCAGGAGCGAACAGCTCTCCATTTGCTGGAGGCCAGTCACCTTTTTCAGCCCCGCCGCCTACGACCTCGGCGTTCCAACGGACACACATGAGCCAGCCGAGCGTTGATGTGAGCGGGCTGCAGAATGGTCGTCATAGCCCCGATGCCTTTGCTAGTCTGAGTGCTCGCTATGGTTAAGTTCTATGAGTTCGGCCTGGGATAACTGGTAGATAGATGGCCGAACAATGTGAATATGGATATTGCATGGGCATTGCTTTTGATTTTGACTTTCATTTTGACCTTTATACTGACTTTGATATAGAAGATTGACGAGACGTGTTATGCTTGTGCATGTCTGGCGCGTTTTCATTATCTATTTACACTCATTAATTTTTGGTTCCTTTCCCCCCCCCCCTCTCATTCGCTGCTGTCAGTTTTCTTTGTTCACTAAAATACTCCTTTGGTTTCTGGTTAACGAGTTAAATTAGTATATAAGTGTTGTGCCTTGTGACACATGAGTTTAGAACTAATATTACTGGTGAATCAAGATAGATTATCGTACTGTAAATCTAGGGCAATATGTTCAAAGAAGAGCGGAGACAAAAGAGGGAAAGGGCAAGGGAGGGTATGAGGAGGGGTAAGGAAATCCTCGCACCATGACATATATACAACACAAAATAGCAGACCAAAAGAGCTAGGCAAAGAGCTAGGCAAAGAGCTAGGAATTGATGATCTCAAGACCACAACTCTGCTTCCGTGGGTTTCCTTTTAGCTCCGCCCAACCAAGACGGCAACCAATTTGACACCCAAGAAGGAAGCCACCCCGGCTTCTGCTTCGAGAATGAAAACCTCGCTACAAATGCCTCCCAACGAGTAGGGGGACGCCAAGGCCAATAAATCGAATATTTTGCAGGCGACGAGAAAAGAGCCCCCACTGACTGTCGCCATGAAGCAAGCAATGAAGGGGGCGATGAGGACCAAGGCATCCAAGACATGTAGAGGCCTATCCAGCTCTGCTTTTTTTGCTTGCGCCCCTCTTTCTTGAACGCTTCCACAATACGATCGAATTGCTTATCTCGGCTTCTCTGTAATTGGCGTTGAGTGTTGGAGCGCCAGGCATCCTGCTCTACCGTATCCAGACACCAGACTACGATGTCGCCATGACGGCGCCAGTCGTCGTGCCAGTGGGAGTTGAAGGTGCGCCAGCACTCACCATAGTAGGAGCCGCGTAATATGGTATATAGGGTTGGCTCGAGTTGGGCGAAGAAGATGAGGTAGTCGGGCCATTCATGTTTTGCGGCCTCGTTGAGGTTCTTTGGCACAGAATAAGACGTGGAAGAGGTGTAACTGGGTCGTCGAGGGAGGTGACGGAGACCACCAGCCATATTCTGGCGTAGGAATTGGAATGGGTCGTCGTAGAATTGGTCTGCTTCGTCTCGGTAAACGGCTTTCTGGGTTGCACTGAGATCGATCGGTGGTTCGCAGGAAAGGGCCCAAGCGTTAATAGTTGGGTAGACTAGATGAGAGCGCCAGGGAGTGCTGTGGCAAGGCATTAAAAAGCCAGCAGAGATTCCGGTTTCGGAGATTGAGCTTGTTTGTCTTTTTGTTGTTGGTACCGAGTGTGCTTCGTGCTGCTGACGAAGATAGGAAAGGACACTAAGTGTTCCTGATGCATGGTAGACAGTTGTATATAGCGCAATGAACACGTTAACAAGCACGAGAAAGATGAGAATCAACCTGCGGGGAGTATGACGCGGGTATGCCCGCGAGTAGATGGCTGGGTAAAAGAACTGCACCAAAGGCGGCGCAGCTAAGATGTGCAGGCAGGGCAGCAGTGGGTAGATGAAGCGCACTTCCTTATGAGAGATCAAAGAGAGAACAAATGGCATCAGAAGGCAGACTGTCGCTAATTGCACTCGAATCGATGCCTGCAAACTGTTTCCAACTGTGGAGTTCCTAGTCATCAAGGTTCGGTATAAACCGAGAAGCGCAAAAGGCAACAGTGTGGTGAGTAGGAGCGGATAGCCCTGCGAGATATAGTAATGCCAGTCATTGCTGCCATAGAAGACAGCCAGTGACTGCGCGATGTTGAAGTATAGGAACCTAAGCGGTGGAAAGGTCCAAAATCCATAGAAGAGACGATCCGCAACGGAAGACACCGCGAGAATTGCCGATCTGCCAGATCAAAAGGTCAGCTGGCCCAATATCAGGATGTCGGATCACTTACCCGCAAAGTATAACTTCGAAAATGAGGATCTTGCGCTGGGACCAAGAGGTCCGAAGCCAAGCGAGGCTAGCCAGGGTTGCCCAAACGAGAATGTTGGTCGGCCGCAGTATACATGCGAACGCCGCCAGCGGTAAGCATTGGCGGAGGCTGCAGGCAGCGTCAGTGGCTGTTGTCATAAAGTTGGAGATTCGGTCATACCCAAGAATTACACTTCGATCTCGGACCGTGTCCCTCCTTTGATTGCTAGTATTTTTGTCGCGGACACCGGCTGTAGCGCCTACTGACATTTGCCATGGCCATAACTCCAATGCAACAACGGTGATTGTTGTTTCGAGACAGTTCGACAGGGTCCTAGTTGAGCAGAACCATTGCCAAGGATTGAGGACTGTTGCGGCCAGCTGTTGAACAATTAACACGTGCTCTTTCCTGCCAAGCCAGAGAAGTTCTGATCATGCGACATTAATCACATACCGCTGCCCAGGATCCACGGGAATCATTTCCATAGACGCGAACTGCGAGCTTCCATGTGTAGAAATCACCAATTGCCGCCACAACGGCCTGCGCTGTCTTCGGAGCGGCAATTAGGAGATCTGCGCGTACGGCGGGAGATACGCTGAGGGTGGAGGCGAGGGAATCGGCGACTTTATATATAGCGGCGAATAAAAGAGGATGTAGTGAAGATCGAAGTTGGTGTCGCCATTCCTAGGAGCGATATCGAGGTTAGCCAAAGCTATGTGCTGACGCGATCGCATTCACTCACCCATGTCAACCAGGCCCCTTGGCCCTGACCGAACGCGATCTGCCAGGCTGGCTCCAGTGACTGAAAGTATTCATCTGGCTGGAAAAAGGTCTGAACTACAAACGCATTGACGAGACGGAAGGCGATGAGGAAGAGGAGTATGTTTTGAGTGGGCACGCGCGGGGTTGGAGGCGCGCGACGCGGAGAGGTTGGTGTGGGCATGATTAAAGGTAAGAATATTGTGAATACTCATTCATTCGTACATTGCGCTCAGAGTCTTGAAAAAGTCTGACCTCGTAAAGGGAATGAACATGGATAACAAAGGAGAACGCGGAAGAAGTTCTCCCAAACTCCGAGACTTCAACTATGTTGTATTTGATACTCGACCCTAACATTCCTATGTCCATTTGCCTCTTGTTTTATATTTTGTTCCAATTATAATTGATATTTATTTAGCATAGTCCTTGATTTCATTATTTCCTCTCCAAGGCTTACGTATAAATATTTTGTCGCCCCTTCAATAACCGAAGTATGACGTGAATTTCTACCCTGGTCTCTCTTTTTGATTTAAATTAGACCAATAGTCATGGGCTTAAACATGATCCTGGAGTATATACAGCCAATTAACGAATCAGAAATCGTGGTTATCGAAGCTAATGGAGCCCTGTAGGGTAATCCTGCGCATAGGGAACAACATCGGCACGACCTGTACTTAGCGGACATTTGGTCTAACACTTAACGGCATAGCGGCTGTACAAAGGGAAATTTCTCTTATCCTCCTTACGTATTTAACTTCTCGTGGGTTCCATTCTTTTGCTTTTGAATTTCTTCAATTTCTTCAATTTCCTAAGTTTCCTTGAGTTCTTCTTTCTCTATTTACCCCATTGTCGATCCCCCGTTACCTCCAATTTTTCCTAGCTCTCCCCGCAATCCACTATGTCTACCGACGGACCTTTCTCCCACTATCATGCTGCTTCTTCTGCTGAAGCCATTGAGTCCGAGAAGGAATATGCTGCCCATAACTACCACCCTCTTCCTGTTGTCTTTGCACGGGCTCAGGGCACTTCGGTCTGGGACCCCGAAGGTCGTCACTATCTTGACTTCCTCTCCGCCTACTCCGCTGTGAACCAAGGCCACTGCCACCCCAAATTGATTGCTGCACTGGTAGACCAAGCTTCGCGTGTAACTCTGAGCTCCCGTGCATTCTACAATGATGTTTTCCCTCGCTTTGCCAAGTTCGTTACCGCGTACTTTGGCTTTGACATGGTGATGCCCATGAACACCGGTGCCGAGGCGGTCGAGACTGGTATCAAAATCGCCCGCAAATGGGGGTACAAGGTCAAGGGCATTCCAGAAAATAAAGCCATTGTCTTGAGTGCAGAAAATAACTTCCATGGGCGTACGGTAAGTGAATTGTGACCCCTTCCTGTGACACCCGTGAGGGTACTTTCAGTGGCTGATTATGATGACCCCTTGCATTAGTTCGCCGCCATTTCCCTATCTTCCGACCCCGAGTCACGGGAACACTACGGTCCTTATCTTCCCGGTATCGGATGCACGATCCCAGGAACTGAGAAGCCCATCGCCTACAATGACAAGGCAGCTCTACGTGAGGCGTTTGAGGCGGCAGGCCCCAACCTGGCTGCTTTCCTCATCGAGCCTATCCAGGGCGAAGCAGGCATCGTTGTCCCTGACCCAGACTATCTAAAGGAGGCCCGAGCACTCTGCGACAAGCACAACGTGCTGCTGATCTGCGACGAGATCCAAACTGGCATTGCGCGCACAGGTAAGCTGTTGTGTCACGAGTGGAGCGGAATCAAGCCCGACCTTGTCTTGCTCGGTAAGGCTATCTCGGGTGGTATGTACCCAGTTTCTTGCGTGCTGGGTAGCAAGGACGTCATGCTCACGGTCGAGCCTGGTACCCATGGTTCGACCTACGGCGGGAACCCACTGGGTTGTGCTGTTGCTATTCGCGCGCTCGAGGTCGTGCGCGAGGAGCACATGGTCGAGCGTGCGGAGAAACTCGGACATTTGTTCCGAGATGGGCTAGTGGCTCTCAAGAGCCCGCTCATCCAGACAGTGCGTGGAAAGGGCTTGCTCAATGCCATTGTCATTGATGAGTCGAAGACGAATGGACATACCGCTTGGGATTTGTGCATGTTGATGAAAGAGAAGGGTTTGTTGGTATGTATCCGAGTCCTCGTTGAGTTTGTTTTGGAGATTGCTGACTCTTATATTCTCTAGGCCAAACCAACCCACCAGAACATCATTCGCCTTGCTCCTCCGCTAGTCATCACGGAGGAGGAGATCCAACAAGCGCTTAACATCATCAAGGAGGCTGTGACAGAACTCCCCAATCCCAAGGGTGCATCGGAGGATCAAGTCATCCCTCCCCCGAGAAGAAGGTCAAGATTGACCTTGAGAACTAGCCGCATCTATCAAGGGCGGGAAGTCCGTAGGTCCACATATCGCCGCTGCAATCCCGGATGACGAGATACCCATTAGATATAAGCTCAAGACAACCGGCATGTCCCCTACCTGGCACATTCTAACTGTCTTGCATCCGTTAGTTATCCCATGACTTGACGATGAAATGGCTTTTCTTTTTATTTTATTTTTATTTTTTTTCGGGGGTCAAAATTTGTATGCCATAGCAAAGAATAGATCATAACAATTGGATGGACATATCTGAGGTGAGCTTCCAGGCTGCCCCGGGTATTATCGAAGAATAATATAAATGAGCCCCCTCTCCATCTGCCTAGTGCGGTGCCTAAAATATAAACATTACTAATCCAACCTTCGGTGCACGGAATCAGAAAACCCGCGATGCCGACTGCCGATTTGAATACTACATTATTAGGTCGATAGTGAAGTTCTAAGCGAATGCGAGGCTTACTTTCAAGTTATCTCCGGGGTTTTGACTTTTATGTATCATGACAGGCCCAACAATCCCCGATGCTAGGAAGCTTAGCTCTATTATGTGGATATCATATAAAGGCTCAGACTTCCGGACGTTTTCTTTTTTACTCCGTTTACATTGTTCATCTCGGTGGACATATAGCTCAAGCTTGGAATCTCCGGGAATTCCCTGATATCCCTAATCTCCGAACTTCCACATTATCCCCGCCATCCGCATTCAGCGTCTCGTGGCTGTCTCCACATCATTCTATTAACTCCGACTTTTTTTTTTCAATTCGACTCTCCGGTACACTGCCCCTGGTGGTGAACCGGATATATCCAATCAAAACCCGCCATGTCTACGCCTGAACCACTACGTGAAGTAGTGGTGGCGGGTGATAAGATCGAGGCCAATAGCTCGAGATCAGCATCCGATGAAGCCAAAGTCTCTGATCCTGATGTGCAACCACTACAGAAAAAAAAATGGTACCGCAGACTTAATCCGCTGCGAATGAAAAAGATACCTCCTGTTCCAACAGAGCGCTCTGTGTCGCGTGAGCATGGTGCCTCGTTTTTCAGCATTATCTCCTTCCAATGGATGGGGCCATTGATGGAGGTCGGCTATCTACGTCCACTTGAATTGCAGGATATATGGACTGTCAATCCCGACCGGTCCGTTGATGTATTATCCGCCCGTTTGGACGTCGCATTGGAAAAGCGCACTGAGACTGGCGTTAACCGCCCGCTTGTCTGGGCATTGTATGACACGTTCAGATTCGAGTTTCTGCTCGGCGGCGTCTGTCAGCTTTTCGGTTCACTGTTGCTAGTATTTACACCCTATTTGACTCGGTACTTGATTGCTTTTGCAACGGATGCTTGGGTCGCACAAAAGACCGGTCAGCCTGCGCCTAGCATTGGCAAGGGTATGGGGTTCGTGGTTGGTATCACCTGCATGCAGGCCCTGCAGAGCTTATGCACGAACCAGTTCCTATATCGGGGTCAAGTTGTCGGTGGGCAGATTCGCGCAGTGCTTATTTCCCGCATCTTCAACAAGGCTATGAGGTTATCTGGTCGTGCTAAGGCAGGAGGACAAGCTACCACAGAAGAAGTCAAAGCCTTGGAGGCAACTAAAGAGGCTCTCTTAAACCCCGAGGAGAAAGGGAAGCCACAAAAGCCTGATACTGCGCTGCCTGAATCTGGTGGTGTTGCAGGTGATGGCCGCGGATGGAACAATGGCCGTATCACTGCTCTTATGAGCATTGACGCGGACCGAATTAATCTGGCTTGTGGCATGTTCCATATGATTTGGACAGCACCCATCTCCATTATAGTGACGCTTGTGCTTTTATTGGTCAATATTGGCTACAGTTGCTTGTCCGGGTATGCACTTCTGATAATCGGAATCCCATTTTTGACTTTCGCTGTGCGATCCTTGATCAACCGACGGAAGAGCATCAACGGCATTACAGACCAGCGTGTATCTCTCACCCAGGAAATTCTACAAGCTGTCCGTTTCGTGAAGTACTTCGGTTGGGAGAGCAGTTTCCTCGGCCGTCTAAAAGAGATCCGCGGACGAGAAATTCGAGCAATCCAGACTTTGCTTGCGATCCGAAATGCCATTCTTTGTGTGGCGATGTCTATTCCTGTTTTCGCCTCGATGTTGGCATTCGTTACCTATGCGCTATCAAATCATGACTTAGATCCCGCACCGATCTTCTCCTCGTTGGCGCTGTTTAATTCCCTGCGGATGCCATTGAACTCGTTACCAATGGTTATCGGTCAAGTTACCGATGCTTGGACTGCTTTTGCTCGAATCCAGGAGTTCTTGCTCGCCGAAGAACAGGACGAAGATATCGAGCGGGATGAGAACATGGAGAATGCAATCGAGATGGAACATGCCTCATTTACTTGGGAACGACTTCCGACAAACGAAAAGGATGCAGAAGAAGCTGAAAAGAAGGTATCTTCACGCCCTAGGCCAACGGCAAAGTCAACACCTAAAGACGATAATGCCGAGGAACCCCCCGCAGAACCATTCAAACTCAAGGACATGACCTTTGAAGTTGGTCGAAATGAACTCCTGGCGGTAATTGGAACAGTCGGTTGTGGCAAAAGTTCCTTACTCTCGGCTCTGGCGGGCGATATGCGTGTGACTGACGGTACTGTGCGTATGAGCACCACACGTGCATTCTGTCCCCAGTACGCCTGGATCCAAAACACCACCGTCCGCAACAATATTCTATTTGGGAAGGAGTATAATGAGACTTGGTATGAGAAAGTCGTTGACGCATGCGCTCTGGCCCCAGATCTCGAGATCCTACCGAACGGAGACCAGACTGAGATTGGAGAACGAGGTATCACAGTCTCTGGTGGGCAGAAACAACGTATGAATATCGCCCGAGCCATATATTTCAATGCAGAAATGGTGCTCATGGATGATCCTTTATCAGCTGTCGATGCACATGTTGGCCGCCACATTATGGACAAGGCAATCTGCGGTTTGCTCAAGGATCGCTGCCGAATCCTGGCGACACATCAACTCCATGTTCTCAGCCGATGTGACCGAGTTATTGTCATGGACGAGGGCCGTATCGATGCGATTGATACATTCGACAACCTGATGCGTGACAACGAGGTCTTCAAACGGTTGATGTCTACTTCTGGGCAGGAGGATATGAAAGAGAAAGAAGAGGAGGAAGAGGAAGAGGCGATCGACGAAGTCATGGACGAGAAAGACGAGAAGGCGCCAAGCCTCAAGAAGGCCGCCCCAAAAAAGCCCGTCGCAGCCCTGATGCAGCAAGAAGAAAAGGCCACTAAATCTGTTGGCTGGAGTGTCTGGAAGGCGTATATCAAAGCCTCCGGCAGTTATCTCAATGCCATCGTGATATTGTTGTTGCTCGCCGTGGTGAATGTCGCCAACATTTGGACTAGTCTATGGCTGTCCTACTGGACTTCTAACAAGTACCCAGGGCTGTCGACCGGTCAATACATTGGAATTTACGCTGGACTGGGTGGCGGAGTAGTTATCCTGATGTTCGTTTTCTCGACTTACATGACAACCTGCGGTACGAATTCGAGCAGGACTATGCTTCAGCGTGCGATGTCTCGTGTGCTCCGCGCGCCTATGAGTTTCTTCGATACTACGCCGCTTGGACGAATCACCAACCGCTTCTCGAGGGATATCCAGGTGATGGATAATGAACTTTCGGACGCGATGCGTATCTATGCCATAACGATGACTATGATTGTCTCTGTGATGATCTTGATCATAGTTTTCTTCTATTATGTGAGTGCTCTTTATATTGTGATTTCTTAGATCTTCATAATGGGAGATTTGCTAACCACCTTTAGTTTGTCATCGCGCTTGTCCCGCTGTTGATAATGTTCCTTCTAGCTTCGAACTATTACAGAGCATCTGCCCGTGAAATGAAGCGCCACGAAGCCGTCTTGCGCTCAACAGTATATGCCAGGTTTGGCGAAGCTATCACCGGCACTGCATCCATTCGAGCATATGGCGTGGAGAATGAATTCCGCCGCAGCATCCGAGACTCGATCGATGTGATGAATGGAGCCTATTTCCTCACTTTCTCCAATCAGCGTTGGCTCAGTATCCGACTGGATGCCGTGGCGCTTCTAATGGTCTTCGTGGTCGGTGTTCTAGTCGTCACATCTCGGTTCAATGTCTCTCCTAGCATCTCTGGACTGGTACTATCTTATATCCTGTCTATTGCACAAATGCTCCAATTCACGGTCCGCCAGCTAGCCGAGGTTGAAAACAACATGAACTCCACCGAGCGTCTTCACTACTACGGTACTCAATTGGAAGAAGAAGCGCCTTTGCACCAGGCCACGGTGCCAGCTAGCTGGCCCGAGAAGGGCCACATCGTGTTTAACAGCGTGGAGATGCGTTATCGGGCTGGACTTCCACTCGTCCTACAGGGCCTCACTATGGACGTGCAAGCAGGCGAGCGCATTGGTATTGTCGGTCGTACCGGTGCTGGCAAATCGAGTATCATGTCCGCACTATTCCGTCTAACCGAACTATCTGGTGGTAGTATCAAAATTGACGACGTCGACATTTCCACTGTTGGCCTCCATGACCTTCGATCCCGCCTTGCTATTATCCCCCAAGATCCCGCCTTGTTTAAGGGCACGATCCGCTCGAATCTCGATCCGTTCAACGAGCACAATGACCTCGAACTATGGTCCGCGCTGCGTAAGGCATACCTTATCGACCAAGAGCAAGAACTCGAAAGCGAGGGACCACAAAGTGGGCCAGCCAGTGGATCCATAACTCCAGTCACAGACAGTGACTTGAAAACGCGCCAGACGAAAAAACTCACGCTCGAGTCGCCTGTTGACGACGAAGGGCTGAACTTTTCCCTAGGCCAGCGGCAACTGATGGCCCTCGCCCGGGCGCTGGTCCGCGACGCACGTATCATCGTCTGTGACGAAGCTACCTCTTCCGTCGACTTCGAGACAGATCAGAAGATCCAGCACACCATGACTCAGGGCTTCGATGGGAAGACTTTGTTGTGTATTGCGCATCGGTTGCGCACTATCATCCACTACGATCGCATCTGTGTTATGGATAAGGGTCGAATTGCTGAGATGGATACACCAGTTGTGCTGTGGGATAGGGCAGATAGCATCTTCCGTGCCATGTGCGAGCGCAGTGGGATCACGCGCGAGGACATTCTCAGTGCTAACTGAGATTATTGATCTTTTTAAAAGTTAGTACATAATCTTTACTACACAGCATATAGCATGTCAAGGCACATGAAAACATGACTATTAATATATACCGTCTTTTAATTCAGCATCTTCATTCTATTAACATGAAGAACCATAATTACTCCTTATCCAATTCACAAACCAATTCCATCCCCAAATTCCTCATCATCCCTTCAATCCCAGCCTCTCTCCACCCGACAATATCCTTCTCATCCAACTGCACGGCCTCTTCCTCCTCAGACAATATCCCAACAGGAAGACCAGTAAACTTAACTGGCAAAGCAGGCGCTGTGCCCACAATCCTCATGCGTAATCCCGTCAAAATACCACGCAGATGATCCGTCGCCTTCTCACCACCCCGCCCTCCATACGAAACAATTCCCGCCGGTTTCCCATTCCACTCGAAGAAGAGATAGTCAAGGGCATTCTTCAAACTAGCCGGGATACTCCAGTTATACTGCGGCGTGACGAAGATAAAGGCATCGTACTGTCGCACCACCGCGGACCACGCCCGCGTGTGCGCTTTGCTGTAGTGCGGAGTGGGGTCTGCTGCTGGTAGGCCGGCAGGGATGACGGATTCATCATAGAGGGGTAGCGATTGCTTCGCTAGGTCTAGGATTTCGAATGTTATGTGGCGCGGGTCTGTGTCGGTTGCTTCGCTGTGGTTTGGTGGGATCGTCGGGTCGGAGGTGAGAACGTCATAGACGTACTGTGTTATCGCGGGGTTGAGGCGGGGGCTGCGGGTACTACTGGTGACTATCGCGACACGTTTGGGGGGCATTTTGAGTAAGTGAGTACCTCCTGGAGGATATCTATGAGTTGGATGATTGTTTTAAAAAGAGGTTTTGTTGGGAATCTATATATCTATGGTTTCGGATTTTGCGGACTATGTAAGGTTGATGTCCGCTTCTACTCCGCCTCCGCCCCCGTCTTCGTTCCCATCCCCGTCCCCGTCCCCGCCCCCGAGCGGTGGGCCGAGTATTTTGATATTCAAGGTCCTTATCTGGTCTTTACCTTCAGTTACTATTGGAATTTGTACACCACACGTTAAATTGAGCTAATATATGACACAATAGTGGGAAACATCGGAAAGCCACGGTAATTCTGGATTTGGAATAAAATAACTCGAGGAAGATTCAACAGCATCTATCCAAGGCATTGCAGCTACCGACTCCTATACACCTTCTTCACCAAGAGCCATGACTATACACTCAAGAATCAAGCGCAAGACATAAAGCAATGAGTCTGCCCCTGCGTGCCTATCTTTTCCAACGCGGGATCCGGTCTTCGCAGCCAATTAGCCAGCATGTCCGTGCAATGATCAACATGCTCCAGATCCCCAAGCATATTATCCAGACGATCACCACGCATATGAACATCATGACCTCGTCGAAGAAGATACAGGCAATGGACTAGATGCTCACGGACAGCAGTCCAATAGAAGTCCGGGTTATTGCCGAGTTCGGTGTAGTCCTTCATCTGCTGTGTAGCAGCCTCATCATAGAAATAGACAAACGGCTTGCCATTGTTGAAATGTGCGAACTCGTGCGTGAAGTCATGCGGACATTCTTTGTGTAGCCAGCAGCCGGCAAGAGGATCGTAAGCGCAGCCAAGGGATTCGGCCTCCTTCGTTGAGTTGCCGCACGAGTATCTTACTCGTGGAGCAGGTGGTAGGCACTGTCGTTTGCCTTCGAGTGTCTCGGGGTATGCAAGGGAGTCAGAGGATGGTCCTTTTACGACAACGACCTTGTGGAACGGTTCCACAGCGATGGCGGTGATTACAGCAATCATCAGGAGTAGCAGTACTATGAGAAGGCCGATGATGGTGATTGCAGTGAGGTTCCGTTTCAGGAATTGCTGCAAGCCTCGGTGGGGAGGTCTGTCTGTGATGGTGGCATCGCTGTCGCCATCAGCGTCCGCTTTAGGGACGGGGTGGTAGTCGCGCGATAAGACTTTGTCCATCATGACAGAAATAACGAGGGACGATGTAGGATTTTTCCGTGGACTCTAAGAAAAGAGAAAGATCTTTCTTCCAGAGACGAGCGGTAATTACACATGATGCTTATTGAGATTGTAATCTTATTCATGTCGGAGTTGGGACAAAGGGTAGATGAACAGGCGAATGTTATAGATGTCCCAATAGAGATGTCAATAGGACTCGGGAAAAAATGAACTAATCGGGTCATTTCCGAGCAAATATTTGAATAGGAGACTGGTGGGGAAAATAGATCCAAAACGAAGAAACCATAGACACGCGCCACATTTCACAATCCAACCCTCCTTTGTCTAGATACGAGGTCCATACTCCGTACTCCGTACATAATATATCAATCTTGAATACTTTTATTCAAGTTTCCGAGTTATCTGCTCAACACCGGTTAACTGCGCTATTCATCCTATATCTCCATGAAACTATAAAGAGTCATATCTTTTTAAAATAAATCCATGTATTGCTAGCAAACTATATCCGCTAGTCTGAGCACATTCTTCAAATATCGATCAAAAGATCCCCAACATAAGATTGACAAGAATGAAAAAGCAAATATACGAATCTAGCAAAAGGTCAACGTCAGAGTCTACATCTGGTACTAATCTAGACAACGAAGACAATCTGGTCGAGAGACTCCGTCAATGGAGAAGCACCGGACTGTAATTCAGCAATCAGCATACTTGAATTGCAGTAAATCTAGGAGATCTGCCTACGCTAAATTTAGCTGAATGAACGGTATTGATTCGACTTTGCCAAGAGTAGCTGAGGCTGGTATAGTGACCATGAAGGTCTGATACGGGGTCGGCTAGAATTGGAGTGAGGCATAAAAGGGCAGCGGGCAGCTCAATAGAACTTTTTTTTGAGCCTCTGGGTCTTTTCAGAGCTCGGATTTGCAATAGGAGAGGCTGAATGGCCCGTAGTAATTCAAATCATGGATATGGTTTTTTATGTCAGGTTTCTTATATTTTCGCTTGTCGTCGTTCTTTGTTTTAAAAAAGCAAATTTAGATCTTTAAGTGTACCCAAAATTAATTGACAATCTACCACTTCAATTATTGAGAAAAGGATATCTGAGCACAAAAACCAACAATTCGGTCCGATCTAGGTCATCCATAATTCCGGCAGTCTCTCCGAGATCCTTCTTGAAGTTCCCTGTATGTCGTCCAAAGTCCCGGCGAGAGATTATCCTGTATCATACTAATTTCTATATCCAGTCCTAGCTCTTCGCACAATGATCTAGCCCCCGTGGACTCGTCTGGGTCAACTTCTTCCTCTTTTCCCATATCAAAGCCTCGAATTGTAATTGTGTTCAACAGAGGAGTCACAGAATGTGCAAATGGGAGGAAGTTCTGAATTGCTTCTGCAATTTTATCTGTCTCCCACTCGAAATGCTCCACATTGCCCAAATTGTCTCGAATGGTGAGCTTCTGAAGTGTTGCCGGTAGAAGCTTAGACATAGTTGGTGCATCGTCACAAGTCCATCCAAAAAGCATCACTGCAGGCAGCTCTGCTGTTCGAAGAATCGGGAACCGTTTCAAAATTCCTCTGAATGGCTTGAAATTTTCTTGCGGGGTACCATTGTCACGTTCTATTGCGCCCCAAACACTAGGCCAATAAAGTGGACAAAGCTCCATGCCAATGGAAAGATGTTCAACTGTGTCCTTAACACTCATCAATCCTTCAAGTAGCACACCTTGGTTTTTGAGAGGAGGCCGAGGAGAGCAACAGTTATAATCGAGTTCCTTATCCTGTGATGGGTAGGCAATGCCTAGGTGAAGACTCTTCAGCGAAGACAGGTGCGACAAAAGGTTTCTGACCTCCTCTTCCTCAACAGAGGATTCAGTCAATACAAGCCTCTCAAGCTGGGCTAGGTGCGCTAGCTTGCTTGATTTAACAGGATTGGACAGCTCGTTACTGACACCTTCGAAATTTTGGAGCCAGATTTCCAGAGATTTCAAAGAAGGCAGGTAGAACCAGCCTGCAAATTGATCTGGGTTACAAACGGGGAATGCATCTATGAAATCCCATCTTGTTTCGTTGAACCTTCTAGAGCCTGGAACATTCAGACCGTATTCGACAACGGAGAGTTCAGAAAATCGAGATAATCTACTCTCAGGCGCAGAGAGAAGAGCATGTCTTATCATCAACCCCGGGAACCCAGTTTGCCACACAAAGGTGTAATCAAGTTGCAGCGACCGTAGATTATGGAGCTGAGAGAGTAGAACAGCTACAAATGCGTATGGATTACCATGCTCCAGGGCATGTATCCACTTGTTTGACGAGGGAAACTGTGCCTTGGTGATGATATCTTTTGCAGCGTTTACCTCATCCTGGAACAGAGACGAGAACTCATTCCAATTTCCATCAATTTGAGGTACCTCCCACTCGTCTTCCTGGTCCGCTGCTGGATATACCAGTTTCGAGGAGATCATGCTCACATGGTGAATGTGCGCGGCAAGATCTGGACGTTCATAAATGACACGGAATAAAGTTAAGACCCGCTTGAGGGGGGGTCTGGTCCAGTCAATGTCGACTTGGCGATACAATGAGCTCTCCGAGGAGAACTGTAGGCCTCGAGATGTGGCCACTACGGATGCAGTGTCAGAGGGTGAGACTTGATCCAGAATCTGCACCCAGCAATCTTGGGGGAGGTTTCTCAAGCCGCTGTATTTTATTAGTTTAATTTATTCTCCGGTGTACCTAGGTAGGCAAGGCTCACTTCGGTGTTGATGGTGTTCTGCCCATAGTGAATTCCCTATTTGCAGTAGTGTCAACTGGACGAAGTGTATTCGAGGAGGATATTTGCAAGAGGGAAAAGCGAAGAGTTGACAGCAATCTGGGAAATCTATTCATATAAATAATTAGGATCATTACAGAGTAGAAAGTACAGGTATCCTTATTTTCTGCAGGCTGTTACAGCCATGTGGAGTTGGGGGCCGGGCCAAGACGTCACCTCCTGTCTGAGAGGAATGTAGTATTTTACAAAAAGGAGAATTTAACATTGAATTGAATAATTCATATACATTCCTTCCACGATAAATTATTCCATGAAAGTTCTATAAATAGAACGATGCCGATTCAAGTATTTCCGTCTCATGCTCACAGGCCGGGTAGTTGATTTTGGTCGGTCTCATCCTGCTTTACTTCCTTAACCAGGCATTGTTGTAGCATAAGTGACTGAGTGCTCACTGGCCTGGGAAAATCAGCCGGAAGGCTTTCTATCTTGCCCACAACGGCCAAGCCTACTTTCCTGGTCCAACTAGAACATCCCCATTTCTGACTTGAAGTATCAGATTCATCTATAGCATGACAAGGGGGAAGGTAGCCCTTTGAATAGTACGCAGCAACCTTAGCATGGTGAGCTGCTAGGCTTTCACCCTGGTTGTCGACCAACCACAGAAGGCTGGACATGAGCTCGCCACAAGACGCCTGGTTCCCGTGCTGCTTGTTCTCAGGGGTGGAACAAGCCGTTAAAGCGTCGGTGACCTCCTGGAGTCCGGATGCGAGTTGAGGATTTAATTCGCCTTTGCCGTCCCTCCAAGCCACTTTTTGATAGATGAGTGGATTGTCATTCATGCCCTTCACGGAAGAAGAGAAATAGACTTCGTTGTCGATAGAGAGCCCAATCATCGCGGCTGGACGCCCTGCCTTTTCCTTCCTAGTGCCGGGGAGAGCTTGCATTTCCTGGAAAGCAGCTTCGATCATCTTCAAAAATTCCGCGTCGCTTGGTTGTGTTATAAAGGTGCACTTTGAGTTGTAGGCTTGCACGTCTGCGCCGAGTGAGGTGTCCCGTGTAATTCCAAGCTCGCCTGCTGACAGGACACTGCCTAATAACCCGAAGAGGAAGACGACAGATAGGAGGATTCGAGGGAACATGATGGTGGGCCTTTGCTCTGCTGGGAGAGTTGAGGGAGAGACGGGGAGGTAAATTATATGGGTGATGATGCCAAAGGGTTTGAACCAGAGTGAAGACGGAGCCAGGATGCTTGACTGGTGGCCGTCGAGTACTCTGAGTTGATAACCCTGGAGGCACAAGATCGTTTTAAATATCCCAGGCGGGTTATTATTTCAGGCAAATTACTGCTTCGGGCCTTTTTATAAGCTACTTAGACATTCAGAAAGCTATGTCAGGTTTTCAAGCTATTCTAGGCCGTCTCGGCCGTTTCAGCTCTTAATCTTCATATATCATCGGGCGTTCCTGGGACATCTGGGACCGTATAATTGAAACATACAGCCCTAAGTCTGTCTGGGTACATAGCACGATGGTATGTATGAATGAGCCTATGGAAATTGCGAGTACCACTTGCCACTTGCGTGCGTGCATGATTTCCAAAGCCCAGCCTCACAAGACCTTCTCGTGGCTTGCCTCATAGAGTGTACCTATTCTCAAAATATGTTCAGGGTGCAAAAGGTGTATTTCGTTTTCCAGCCAGGTAGATGGTCCCTTTGTTTGTTCGCAGTTTCATTTAAATAGCAATCTATATATAGAGATACTTCGAAAAACCAACAGCTTATAGTCATCGCATGAAGAAAACTCAAAAAACAAGTCTAAGAATATAAATCCCACGCATCGTATGGAGCTATACCTATAACTACAATGAGCAATTGCCTGGTATGATTTTACCCAGTAAATTTAGTGGAACCATTTCCCTATACAGGTTAGTGAGAGATAATAGTACATGTAATACCGTCAAACCCCGTTACATAGTAAAATCGATCCCATATTTTTGTAAACTTCGATAACATGCAGTACTAGTTTGGAAGAATTTGCGCTCGTGCATTCATACTTAGGTATAGATTTACATCCATGTCTTTTACTATGTAAAAACATTGGAAAGTGCTATGGCTGCCTAATTAGGTTTAGTCCCCCTTTGATATTCCTAGGTTACAAACTTTACTTTCTCTTGGGCTTCTACGCTATCTATCGGCCAAAGAAGAGAGAGAATTGATGCCTCCTGGGAGGAAACATCCCGACTATCTAGCTAGCAACGAGGGGTTGATACTTGAGGTATTTATGACGGCCTAAGGCCACCACAACACTTTTAGTTCTGCCACTCCTTTTTCATACTGCCATATATTCTGCCACCACCATGATAATTCTGGACCCTGGTTTAGATAGTACTAGAGACCTTTGGCATTTTGATCAAAAAAAATCATCCATTTCATTGGTCTCTGCATTGATCTACTCTGCAAATTGATTGTGCGACTTCTTAGGTACTTCCCCGCGCGCGTTTTCCTCCACATCCCTGTCCTCCAGTCTCGGTATTATCACTATCTTCGGGCCCTCGGTGATAGTCGTAGTCGCTCTGCGTCCCCTTCCTCAGGTATACAACATTGCTAGTCTAACCGAGGCAGCGGGAACGTAAATAATACTGGGGCAGGAGACTCGATGGTTGTCTCGGTGATTGGCTAGCTGTGCTGGGTTGGTACCGTGGGTGGGGACTCAGGAACTAGGTATCTCTGGCCTGGAATTCATCAGAAAGTAGGTATTCGAGGCCTAGGGAGGCCATATTGATGATTTTGATGAAATTGAAGCATGATTTGATAAAGAAGTGGTGAGAAGAAAAGTAGGTTAATGAGCCACGAAAGGTGGTATATAAATTTGGAAGACGCCGTGGAAAGCGGTATATATGTGCCTGAGATTTAGGTAGAGGGGTTACGTATATCAATCCCCTATAAAAATGACACCGGTGCCAGCTCGAAGCTAGCCAACAGATTTCTTGGTGGTGATTCAATAGTGTAAAGGACAGTAATTCTTGAGAGGCAAGTCCAAGTTGTTGTAAATAAACTGGGTCATGCCAGGTTCTGTAAGCAACTTTACAAGGACGAGTTGCTGTTTGGAAGATGGTAGATATTGGAAGATATACTCGGGATCGAGTAGAGTGCCAGCTGTGTAGGGGCTCTTATCAGCCTCTGTGGTGCCAGCTTGATGTGGGATTGGATGATCCAGCCCAGATGTGTCTGGGCTGGAGGAAGTAGACGAATCCATACCTGGTTTCCATGGAATAAGAATAAAGTATAGGAGAAAGATATGTAGTAATTAGAAGAAAATTAAAAGAACTATGGCCCATGAAGGACGCATGACATGTTATATAAAAGATTATGAGTTGAATAACAGATGTGAAGAAAGATGAAAGAAATATAGAAGAAATATAGCTAGTGGAGGAGGTGATTCCAGTATAGAGAAAACAGATAGATATGATCCTTAAATTTCTGTTCAAGTCATCAATATCAAGCTTGAGGTGCTCCCTAGTTGAGGAGCATTGCACTTACCAAATGTAAAACTCAGCAGCTTAGCAACTCAGTGTAATCCAAAATGTCACCTGTCAATGAGATATGATAACCCATGCTCGATGTCTGTCATTTTGTAGACATCTCTCTCTTGGACGGCACCGTGTCAATAACTTTTGCTATAGTAGTTTGTGAGCTATATAGAGACTGGTTCTCATATCAGAACCTAGCAAGGGGACAGCAAGTTCCGAACTGCCTTATATTGAGACCTTGTAAAAGCTACAAGGTACTGATATACAGGTGTCCATGGGTGTGAAAGTTGTAGCTTATATAGCTAGTATATCTTTATTTGTTTGCTTAACTTATATCTTTATATCTTGGAAATTTCTATTGGAGGCATTGAGATATTTGGAAAGCCGCATGCATATGCATATGCATATATGACATTCAAGAAGGCATAGATGGGATAACCCAAACTAAACCACAAATAAGATAGCAATCTTGGAAGGATGAAAATATTCCAATAAATCAAGTGCAACGTGCAAAGTAGAAACGTCACGAGGAAAGTGCAAAAAAAAAAACAAATTCTCCTGGCTGTATGTAGCCATTTCGCGCCTGATTCCATCAGACATGCATGAGGTATGAACTTTGATGGCTTTCAAGCCCTCTGTAGACAGCGAGAGAACTCTCGGTGAGAAACCTCCATAGATAATGCAAACGATAAAATGAGGAACACAAATTCCGCCCAACAAAACAAAGAAATTTAGCCTTTCCATGACAAAGAAAACTAGGGATTAACTCTCACCTGATTCTTCAAAGCTCAGTCACCTCTCCGACAGTCAATTCATCTAAGAGCCATTGAGCCCTTGGTAGATTAGACATGTCAATCATAGCCGCTTCCCATTCTCAGTCTCGAGAGCTGCTGCCATACGAGCCTGCTTTCGCCTCCACTTCCTCTTACGTTTCGTGTTCTGAGGGTTTCGGAAACACTCATCAACAGGGTGCCTCGTAAGACGCTGGTGGTAGGGGCAATATTCCTTTGGGCAATTTTGAAATTCGTCCACGCCAGCGACGGCAGTATCTAGGCTACCTAGGGTTGAGATTTGTTTTCCCAGTCGACATGCCTCGAACTCCAGGAAATCAGCAAAGGCTTCATCCAGGATCGATTCTGGAAGCGGACCTTTTTCAAATTGGAGCGACTCAACCCAGGGGATTGTATTAGGATTTGCACTGACCGCAGCAAGGAACTGATTCAGGATGTATCTTGTCGGAGGATGAGGGTGGTCAAAGGACTGCGTCATCTCTTTCAAGGCTTGTTTCCAGGAGTGCACAAATGCATAGGGCGAATTTGATGAGTAGTAGACTGTATGAAGCCAGTTCATGTATTTCCGGTAATCAGCGAAGCACTCACGGGATTTGTTCTCTGAGATCTCAGCCGGCTCGTCGAGGAAGGAGGCCGCCGTCACTAGAGGACTCGAATAGGCGTAAGCGTTGTTCAAAGGCGAAGGCATAGCAAATCGAGGGCCAGGAAAGAACGAATCTAGGATCGGCGCGCCATATTGGGGAGCATACAGCGGAGCAGGCTCAAATGCAACGGGGTAGATTGGCGGCGGTCCGTATAAGAAATGGCCATAAGAAGCAGGACTGGCCGGCGGAGCAGCGAAGTACCTAGGGTCCAAGGCAACTGGAGTTGGGGCCTGCATAACAGAAAGTGGGTTGAAGAAGGCCGGGTCACCATCGGACACAGGGATGGGATCTCCTGTATTGGACACAAGCATTGTGAGCTTGGTTGGTGTAGCTGTGCATGGATTAGTCTTATCATTCTCTTGAATTGGGGGGATTTTGATCTTAGGTATGAAGGAATAAAGATACCGATCTTTGGTAGAGATAAATTAATGCTTTGTATGAAAAGATGTAAAGAATTTGTCGGAAAGTTGTTTGGCGGCTGAAATGTATGCTTCGCTGCAGAATAGACTTAAGCCTCGTGATGTTCGGATTTGGCGAATACTGTGCAGGAATGACGAATGATGTGCGCGAATATCGAATGCTGTGAGGGAATATTGAATGCTGTGCGGGAATATTGAATGCTGTGCAGGAATGGCGAATGCTATGTTGGAATATCGAATGCTGTGTGGGAATATCGAATGCTGTGCGGGAATATCAAATGCTGTGCGCGATGTCGAATACTGTGCGGGAATAGCGACGAGGGAGAGTTGGTGCAGAGTGCTAAATTCGATTTTATATGTAGGGCGAATATTACAACGCGGTGTAAAACGACATTTCTTGATTATCAAGGCTGAGGTTATATAGACTATATATCTCAAGAACTTCGGTGGACAAGGGTGTCATGTCGCACTATATATATTGGAGCCTGGAATATCTGGGCGTAATGCTCAGATATAGTGGCCTTTTTGGCCTAGTGTGTAACTCGCCATTCCAGGGGCAGGTTATAACAGGGACCCAAGCAACACCTCCAAGAAATAATAATAATAGCCAAAATCATCATTGGAGTATAGCTGTCAATGCGCAGGTTAGAGATAAGTGAGGTCAAATTCAAGAAGCCCACGATGATGCAAAAGAAATCCCAAAACAATTTAACCATATATGCATCTATATTACTGAACGATTGTACCTCTGATTGCTCCAATTTGAGCAGACATCATCCTGAGATCAAAGGATTTGCTACTTCAATGTCCACAAGCAAACATCTACCTTCCATCCAATTCTATTCACTTGATTTTTCTTGTGGGCTATCTCTAATCTATTTTATGCTTCCCAGACTTATTTGAAGACTACGAGGTCATCCCCGCTGGTCAGACGCTTTTTATTTTTCCGGCCCGAAAAAAAAAACAATATGGGAGCTTGAGGTTTTTCTTCCATGGAAACAGCCTAAATCCATGGTATAGATGTCCACCTTGGCAAGCTTTGATCGAGATGTACTTTGTACGAAAGCGGCGGATCGGGACCAAAAGAAAAACTCGGGGATCAACGGTAAATAGGTCGACAATTCCCTCTAGTAAAATATGATCGGATATCGGCAGGTTCTAAGCTCAAATCCAAAATGTATTTATCACTATATTTCGGTCAATCTAACAATAATACAAATGATAATTCTAAAAGCAATGCCAGCATATCTTCTAGCATTGTGAGCAAATATCATACATCATCTGTAATGTGCACCAGTTGCGTGAACATCGCATGGAAGAATCAATCTAGATCTGGCTCGGACCTTTTATGTGTACAAACGCGGCTAACAAGTCCTGATAGCTCAAACCATGGCTTGGTGATTGGGCCACGAAACCGTTCAGTCGGTACTCCGTACGGAGGAACTAGTTCCAAGGCTAATCGTCCAGGCACGATACAGCACTAGGCCCGAGGGGCTGAAAGTGGAAAATTAAAAGCCCCGGTGAAAGGAGCTATTAATATTACGTGCCTTAGTACCGATTTGTGCAGGACCTCTGAGTGTGACTTGCCAAGCATAAATTATTACTTTCTAAACCTCGGCATTGGTTGGCAACTTGGCTCTACTATTACAATGCCAAGTTACGCGACCTGCATCGGAAGTATAGATGTTAACCGCCATGAACTTCTATGGTTGAATTTCCGGGATCACTTCCAGAAATCCGGGAATTTCTCTGAAATATTTAGCTCTAAAGGTTCCACTGGAGTAGGTTTCCATGGTTCATGATGAAATTAAGGAATATAATCATAAAATTATAACAATTATGATGCATATACATATATGTGCATTAGGTACTGGATGTAGTGACTTGAAAGATTTAGGAAGACTAGTGGCTGGAGGCAAGAAAACAATTATAGAAATGCCTGGGAAACCCAGGCTATATCAAACATGTTCCAATGAATTTGAACAATGCCACATGGTAAGGAACGATGGAGTGTAAGTGGAACCTACGGTGATCTGATAGCCAGCCATTTTAGCACGTTCCACCAGCCTGGATATCCCCCCTCCTCTCCACATTAATCTGTTACGCTGATCACATTGTAATTTCTGCGTTTCTAAATATCAAGGTATATTTTAGTTTTCTGATACAATTCACTGGTCAAACATGCCACTTGTGTTCCTGGCCGATCTTTTTTCTGACGGGGTCCGCCCGATACCAACGTTACATATCACACCTTAGCTCTATAAAAACACCCTTGACAGTCGGGATGGGCTCTTACTCTTACGCTCCTCGAGAGTTCCAGGAGTGGGTAGATCGACGTCAAAGTTCCCTGTCTGCCTCCACAGTGTCGTCTGCGTCAACAAGTATCCTCTTCCCGAGCCCCGCGACATCTCCAGGGTCCAGCTCGAGGAAGCAATCCTGGCAGTACTACGATGATGTCGTGCGGCTCGAGCTGACCCCCTCTGTGCAAATGTATGTACCGAGGGGAAAAAAAAAAGGTTTTTTCATATGCTGACCTGTTTAATAGTTCTTTTGTCAGAAATGGTCAGCTATTCAAGCTGAAATACAAATTCATTGATATCTGCAAGGACTCAACGGGCGCATTGAGATGTCTCGAGCTCGGGGGAGGTCTCGGCCAGCAAACACCTTTTATCCACGGCTGTGAGTTGTCACGCATATCTTCGAAAGATAACATGCTGATCATTCCAATCTTATATAGTCTCCAACACAAAACTGCCCGTCCCTCACCTTGAACACCCGAAATCAGGCAACGATTATCCTCTTCGCATATCCTTTATGGACCAGCAGACTGTCCAAACAGGAAACACGGTGTTCATGACACAGCTATCATATAAATTTGATCATTGGGATGGTACGCGACCGATAAACCTTGAAAATATGAACATTTTCTTACACCTCACAGATTGTGTACGATTCCAAGAACTACTACTCGGCTCCAAGTTGATATTTATCGGTGGGATGGCCGAGGCCAAATCTAAAGGTCGGGGTGAAGAGTGCATCAGCCAAAATCTTCGCATCCTTCGCGGGAACAACGGGAAACGCGTGATGTTATTCTTTGCTAACTCCCAACGGAGAGAGCTCAAACGATATATTTCCATTCCCTGTGAGTTTACTTTTACCTCTCCTGTCACAAGTGAGTTTGCTAATATAGCCCTCTAGTAAATTGTGTCGGGTCCATTAAAACCCCGAAGAAGGCTGGGCGGCCAGCCATACTTGATCTAAATCCGAACTTCGACATTCTCTCACAAATGAGAACTTTTACGATTCAGTTTCTTGACGACGATGGTCAGTGCACATTTAAGTTTGTATTTGTACTGGAATATTTGGCTTATTTTTCTCTTAGACTGCAAAACATTTTGTCAGATGTTATCATACGACCTGACGATTGGATGAGTTCAAACAACCCATATAAATGCCTCAGTTATCTTATGATGAATTTTGCATGGAGTTGAATTTTAGGGGCTAGATATATCATGTACATAATACCATACCCGGGCGTTTCTTTTTTTTTTGAGACATAGAATTCATGTGAGATATTACTCTATAAGAGTTAATGAAACTATTGGAATTCAATTGGAAGATGGATTAATATTAATATAGGGGGAGTATTATTTCAATAAAATGGCTCAATTACGAACAGCCAAGAGGGAAAAAAGTAATAATCTATATGTTTTACGGATCATTAACCCTCGTGGGCTGTCCGTTGCTGGGTTGGCTCGTGGGTCGTGTTAGGGGTGTCAACAAGTCAAGCACCAGAGACGCCGCACGTGGAGAACAACGCCAAAGCTTTGGCTCATTGATCGCTTAGCCCCGCATTAGCGCGTGCAGGGATCACTGACATTTGTGACCTTTTGACAAGATTTAATCTTAGAGGCCTTGAGTTTCATCTACATCTCTGATAATTCTACGAAATGTAGAACATGAATCGTATCTTTATTCAACTTTCTAATATTCACCATGGGCAGGTTCCATACCCGGTTGTATAAAACCGACCGTGCGCGGGATTTCGATCATGAGCAGGTATGGGGGGGATTTGCTGATAAGCATAGAATATTCATTTCGCTGACGAGTTCTCTAGGATCGATATGTTCGCATGCGACAGATCTACGAGACTATCGACCGGCAGGGCTATCAGTGGATTGTCGTGCTGGTCGCCGGTCTTGGATTCTTCCTCGATGGCTACACAGTACATTAGCCACGTTCCCCCGTGTAACGCCAACCGCTAACAATTGACATAGTTATTTGCTAGTAATGTAGCCCTACCGATGATATCCTACGTGTACTGGAGAGACGAAGTTGGCTCGTTACGACTCCCAGCCATCAATATCGCAACACTTGGCGGAACCCTACTAGGGCAGATAGCATTTGGATTCCTAGCCGATAAGAATGGGCGGAAGAAGATGTACGGTGTTGAATTGGTACTCCTCATTACAGCCACCCTGGGTGTGCTCATGTCCTCGTCAGGCGTGGACGGCAGTATGAACGTCTATGCATGGATCATTTGGTGGAGAATCTGTGTCGGTATTGGAGTTGGTGCAGATTATCCACTCAGCGCTGTGATCACATCTGAGTAGGTTGATCTTCAATGTTGAAAGCTTCAATCGTAGAGAAACTGACCCTGAAGTGTTTAGATTCGCCCCTACCAAACATCGAGGCCGCATGCTGGCCTCCGTCTTCTTTATGCAACCACTCGGTCAAATTGCAGGAAATATTGTCGCATTGATTGTGATTTCAGTGGTTCGTGGGAACCACGTTCAGGGAGACGACATCACTCGCACTGTTGATATAATGTGGCGCTGGGTGATTGGTATTGGAGTCGTACCCGGTGTAGTCGCTACTCTTTTCCGGTTCGCCATCCCTGAAAGCCCTCGTTACCTAGTCGATATCGTCGACGATCCCGTCACTGCCGAGTTCGATGCAACAACACTTTTCAGTGACACGCCCGGTCTGCTTGATTCCGTGGGCTGGGGAAATACTGCCACATGCAGTGCCGGCAGTGCGATTCAACTACCCCCGATTTCATCTATCTCTGGCAGTTCAATTATGGATGATGATGAAGAGGATGAGTTTACCCGCCTCCCTCCCGCTACTCTCAACTCTCACTGGCGGTTGGCGCATTCAGACATCGTGCGGTACTTCTGGACAGAAGGGAACTGGCGCAGCTTGCTTGGTTGCTCTCTTGCATGGCTCCTCCTTGACTTCGGCTTTTATGGTGTTGGATTGTCGAGCCCTCAATTCTTAGCTAAGACTTGGGGCACACTTCATCTCACTGAGGGGGTCTCGGCTCCGAACTGGATGACCGACAATAGACCAGGTGCCGATGTCTTCCAGATGTTCATGGATACCTCTGTGCACGGCTTGATTGTGCTCAATGTCGGAAGTTTTGTCGGTGGCATACTGCTCATTGCCTTGGCCCATAAACTGGATCGCGTTGCACTGCAGAAGTACATGTTCCTCGCACTGGCGGCTCTATTTATCGCCCTGGGAACCATGTTCGTCTGTCTTTACTCCTACCCTCCTGCCGTGGTAACATTGTATATTATCGGCCAAATATTTTTCAACTTTGGTGAGTCAAACAAACACTGGATACGACACATTAAGTCGTTCTAACTATCTACAGGTCCCAATGGAACTACCTATATCATCCCCGCTGAGATCTTTCCGACCCGATACCGCGCAACATGCCACGGCATCAGCGCTGGAGCGGGAAAATTGGGTTCTATTCTCGTACAATTATTCTCCGCATTCTACCACTTTGGCTCAGCGCCAGGTAGCCAATCAACCCGCAGACACGGCATTGTTCTCCTTGTTTTCAGCGCCTGCATGATCCTTGGCGCAGCAGTCACTCACTTCTGGGTTCCACCTGTCCAACAGAGACGGCATGGCAAGACTCAACTTTGGGGTGCTAAGACCGAGACTCTTGAAAGTTTGTCTCTTGGACGAATGGGCCGCAAGAGTCGAGATGCCGATTGTCGAAAACGAACATCAAGGCATCGGGCGCTTTCAATGAGTGCGTAGGCATTACCTCCCACGTCTATCTTTAATTCTTCCTTAATTCTGTATATATTTTGAATATGTGTTATTTACATGTATGAGTTCCAGCTAGATGAATATAAGCCAATAGCTACCCTCCACTGAAACTAACTTCATAAATGCATTCACAACTCAGGAGCAGTCACCATCGAGCAACCGCCCCATAGCCACCCCATCAAGATAAAGTGCAACATCCATCCCCCCGTCCGGAACCCCACTATCCATAACCTGGATGCACCCATCCATTTTAGGCATAATAGCATGCACATAACGTGGCTTATTCCGGCCCACAAAGTCAACTTCATACAACTGCAGCCTCAACCACGACGTAACAATCGTATGCTCAGGCCCCAAAAATCCCTGCCACAGCCGCTGTGGCGACACCTCATGTGCAGCATCGTGAAGCATCGCACCCACAGCATCAGTCGTAAACCCCTTCATCGTCTCTCGGATCCGACTAGACGTCTCGCCTAATTTCTCCTGATAAGCGGAAGAAGCGGTTCCACCCACATGAGTTAGGAACAGCGGGGATCCAATGAATGTATCAGGAAGAGCGGGCGAAACACGTGGTCGCGCGCCGAGGCTCAAATTCATATATACGGGTCTTGGAGAGTCTTTTTGTCCGCGTGCTCGTATAATAGTGATCCACAGGTGTGCGAGGAGAGCGTCCAGTCTAGAAATATCACTTCTACTTCCTGGGGTATTGAGAGCAAGAGCTTGGAACTTGCTTAGCTCTTCGCCTGTGAAGTGCAACTGTGTGTACCGGACTGGTTTGGAGAAATCCCATGAAAGCCAAGGCGCTGGCTCTGAGGGCGAGACCCGTTTGGGGTCTATTTCTGCCGGTGGGGGCTTGGAGTTCTCTGTCGTTGGTATTAAGAATTGTGGGTATCCCTCGTCGGCAGTATCCCACCAGCTATACCGATGCAGGGGTAATTTACGCGCGGTAATCACAAGGTCTGGGTCTGGCTCGGAGCTATCGATATTGCCTGCGGCGCAGCTGTCCAGCAACGCCGGATCAAACACGGGCTCGCCCATTGGTGGGGATTCGGGCTGGGTTCCGAATTTCTGTTTGCTGTTATACGCCCATAGATGTACGAATACCATTAAAGCCTGTGCGTCTGCTAGACAGTGTGCTAGCTTGATGCCAATGGCGTAGCCTCCATCCTGGAGGAGAGTGATTTGCACTTGCATTCCTGGAAGACCGGTATAGTCGTGCAGATTGGCCAATGCCAGCGGGGTAGATGATATGAAAAGGCTTTGGTTGAAGTTATCGCCTATCCATGCTCCGGCGGTTGATGAAGCCCGTTCCTCTGATGTGGGGACAATTTCATCTGGTCGGAGGGGATGCTCGATTACTGTCCATTCAACACCTGGGTCGGCATCAGTCCCGTAAACTATCAATGGACGATTGAATCGCTCTGTGTGTTTTCCTTTGGGGTTGACGGGTGCCCATTGGAGTTGGCCTGCCCACTGAGGGAATTTTGACAGTGTTTCAATGAAGGAAATTCGCAGATTATCGATCAAGATCTTCTGATCTAGCTTTGCAGGTTGGTTGAAAATCCAAATTGCCCCTGTTGGGCTAAAGCGCGCGACCGTCGCGTCGAGAATGGACAGGGGTGTTGATGTCGGTGTTAACTGGTGGGCCGGTCGCAGCCTTGTGGATTCAATGGTGGTCATGGTGTATGTGCCTTTAAAGTATGTTCGGTATCTATTTTTCTAGATTGATCTCATTCATTTTATCTTTTCTGAATTTATGAGTCAAGATGCGTCACCGTTTGTCACTTCGTGTCAATGCAACGCTAAGCTGCTAGTTAATTAAATTAGCACAGAAGAGCCTAGCTCGTGCTACGTCTTCATCTCAGACAAGATGCAACGCGCCGATCTACCTAAAGGAATCAGCTACAGCTTTAATGCTACCAGGCCTGATATGGTGCAGCCCAATGTTCTAGAAGCCTCGGGCCTAAGTGGGGAATATCGCGGGAAATCGCTTCGCGTGTCCACGTCTATTCACGGCTGTTTCACATCTAATTCACGCAGATCACACACACCCACAATTCGGAATAATACTGCAAGACCTATCCAATGAGCCGCCGCTACTGGTAGCAGTCAATTTCGAATCACATCATATATATTTTCGCCTAAACAACGGCTACTATATGCAATATCCTCATTCCCCATCTTTATCAAGTCGATGCGAAACAACCTGAAAGCAAGGCAGTATTCTGGACTACATAACACGGATGGGAGAGTACTTGTAATAAAGCGCTATAAGCTGGCGCTCCTGCGACTGGAACAAAGTAGGTCAGACACCACTACATATAGCGGCACATCACAGTCATGAGGCTGTAGCTAGACTTCTTGCTACAGCTGGTGTCAACCCAAACTGCTCAGATTCCTACGGCTGGACACTGCTAGTGCACGCGGGCGAACAGAGGCATGAGTGAGTTGTCAGGATATTTCCCGCCCAAGACGCTATCGATCCGCAATGTAGGTGCTTCTGAGCCATCACGCCACTCACAGTAGCGGCGCAGTGCGGACATATGGAATAGGTCGATCCAGAAGTCCTCAACGATCGAAGATGTCGCCACTGGCGTGGATGGTAGCTAGAAACCATGAAGCGGTCAAATTACCACCCTGCCATGCCGGGTTTTGAAGCAGACAGTGAAAATCATGGCATAGTATATACGCCACCCGTGCATGCAATGAAAAGCGTGGGCAAAGCTATTGTCAAGTTGATCATTGCTAGAGGCGAATTTGAGTCGGATTGGAGTTAGTGTCACCTCTCTCATCCTGGTCTCATGTGTTCTAGACTTTTCCTATAACGCCAGCATTGATCTAAAGTGCTGTTTTAAGGGTGCATCATGACCTTTCAACCAAAAAAAAAGAGTATATTCAAATAAAAAAACATACAACAGTGAGGATTCGCTGGTGGTCACCCACCCAACTACTAACTCACCGGCGTGTGGCTTAAGTACGGCTGAGCGGACGGGAAGCCCTGTTTTCCACACCCTATGGTCGTATGTGAGTGGTATGGCATAAGAAAGATAGATAGAATGAACGGTTGGAATGAGGGTGCCAATTAGGGCGAGTATTGCCCTTGGTTCCGCGGCATCATTTCAGCTGAGTGGACTATTATCACCCATAGAACAATTAGTCATCTGCAAATTGCCATTAGACATGGCCCAGCTTAGTGCTCTTGTTGGCTGTCCCCAAATGCCTATGGTAGGGTTGAGCTACGCTGAGGTTTTTGCGTAGAGCCTCAAGGGCTCGTGGGGTAGTAGTTGCTTTTCGGTTATTATAATTCGCTGACTGTTTACCCTCCAAATAATTGTCTTGGGCTTCTTTCTGGGTATTCAAACCATGTCCTGGCCGAACTTAGGCAATGACCAGACGGCTTTGTCATTTGCTGCCAAAAAAAAGGAAATACGACAGCGGTTAAGGTACTCCCTCCTTACCACTGATATTAACCCAGATCTTAAGAGACCGTCGAGGACTCATGCCGTTGGCATTGTTTGCGTATGGTGGGTATGTAGGTGCGGTTTAGCTATTACTTGCTACTAAGGGAGTCAAGCCAAAATATGAAGATCAACAAGGGAACACACCACTATCGTGGGCAAAAGATATGGATAACAATGAAGTTGTGGAAGCTCTACAGGCTTGTTCAATAAGAGGGGAAGCCGGGCGAATAGATGAAGACCCAGGAGAAGTGAGCTGAAGATGAGTTTGGTGAGGACGCTCTATTCGATTTATCTGACTGTTGTTACTAGAGTTTCATAAGGTTCGGTTGTAAAAAAAGACTTGGGAGTTGGATATCAGATATCCCTAGCTGGTGAATGTTCCTCAACGATTTCATTGGTTAGAAATATAAAGAATTCGGGCTTATTGGTGGTCTTAGCCAATCTAACGCCTCGTTTTATGTACAATAAAACATTATGTATACAATTATGATTATCCCAGTCAACAATCCCTCAGACCAGAAAGCTGGCGATGCCAGAAAGAAGAAAAAAAAAGCGATGGTGGTACAAAACAAATGCGCTTCCTTAAACAGCCCTCGTCATGGCGCCTCGGGGCGTTTCAGCGGGTGTCCTCCAGCATTGAAAACAAACTCATCCAAACTGATTAGGTCTGGAGAGCTGAACATGAGATAAAAATATTTCAGTGTCTGCGCCATCCACATGCTGTCCATCGAGTCTTTGAGGGTCAGTTCACTACCCTCATCCGTGACAGCAGCAATAGCCGCATTGCCATTCTTCGTCTGTGTCGCACTTTGTATTGCCTGGAACATATCCCAAGCTGCATCGAGGAGATCCTCACGGCCGCTGACGCGGTAGAGAGTAAACATGCTCTCGATCGCTTCCGGGCGCAAGTTATAAGCAGTGTCCGGGATTCCGACGAACCCCGTGGGCAGCCGGCGGTCTTTGATAAGAGCATCGACTTTGAGATTTGGATCAGCTTCTGGTTCGAGGCTGTTCGCCTTTTTCCAGACCTCCTGCTTCCAGTACCGCTCGCTCCATGGACAGTTCGTCTGCGACGCACATGGAACCGCATCAAAGGCTTCGGGCATAATCCCTAATGGTATGGCTCTGTGAGCCCAGATGCATCCATCGACCAACTTGTGGGCGATTTCTTGGTGGGTGGGGATGTTGAGTAGTGCGCCTCCTAGTGCAAACATACCCCCGGCAGCACAAGATTGGTACTGCATTTGTGCCTCGAGGTCTGTTTGCGAATACACTCGAACAGTGCCGGAAAAGAGCACGTCCTTGCCCTCGGGGCTCATTGGTCGGAATAAATTGTGGCCCGCGGCTGTGAGTGTCGCATTCTCGTACATCCTGCGATACATGGGCACTTGGCTTCCTAACAAAGCATATGCCTGGGGTAGGGACTTGTATAGCGAGCTCACTCCAGCACCTAATGTGAAGGTATTGTCGTCGAAACGCCCTTCCCTGGCATTCACGGAAACGGGCCAAAGACCCGCGAGCTTGGTGGCGCCTTGTTGCGTGTCAAACAATTCCATGACCCGTTGGGCCGCATCGAAGTATTTTGGGTCACCAGTGATCTGAGACAACCTTATGAATTCCAATGTAAACGAGCCTAGTTCTACACTGTGAACACTCTCCTCCGTAGGCTGCTCCTCTTTGCGCGCAGCTTTGTGTGCGTTCCAGTGTATGATGGGCATTCTGTTTGGGGTATCAAAGGCAGCGTAGAGCATATCGCCTAGCTCGATGGACTTTTTCAGCAATTTCAGATCAGCGCTGAGATCAAATGCTGCCAGCAAGCCTCCGAGTAAATGGATGTTGACATCATACGTATTGATTTTGGGAGACTGTGGATGTTCGAATTTGATATCCGTGACCGCATCCACGGCCTTTTTGAACTCATTATGCATCCCCATAATCCACAGTGTGTCAAGGTTGTCAATTAGCGTGGCACGCCATCCCCCCAACGTATTTTTAGGGCTACCACTGAGCGGCGCGAGCTCATCTGCGCGCCAAGCAAGCGACTGGTATGACTTCCAACATCTTTCAAAGGCTTCTTTCACCGCCGACTGTCTGCTAGTTTGGGGCTTCAATTTGAGACGAGATGCTTCGGGGTCTGTCGGTTGGACCTCCGGCAGTGTCCGGGGCAGTGCGACAGGTAGTGGCCGGATTTCAGCAACTGGGTATCGCACAGGCAGCTTTCTCCATAAATATTTTGGGTTGATTTCAACTTTCAGGGCGGCTTTTGATGTACCATGTGGAGAGATCGTGATAAGATTGCCGGTGTTTGTGTGATGATAGCGGTAAAGCAGGAACAATAGGAAAGCCCCGAGGCAAGCGCCTAGAAAATGACGCCGGGGCCGACTCATGATAATTTTAGGTCACAATTCCACCGACATATTCAATGCAGTAGGGATGTAGTCAACATGGGAGACCATCAAGGGAGGAAGGCGTGAAGAGAGCGACACAAAACTTTCCCCGCATTTTGAACACTGCAAGGGGGAACACAGGTCGACCTACGAGCACGAAACGTGCTCGTTAGATTCCCCAAAAGCAGAAATAAAATATTTCAATTCATGCCAAATTGAGGGTTATGTGGTGCCCTGCCGTTCTAGACTTATTTCTCTAACTTCCGATATTACCCTTTGGGCCCCCCGCATATACTGTATACACTGCCAAGTATACTCCATAGATCCATCTTTCATAGGCTTTAGTTGCAACAGTGCCAATTGGAATAGAACTACTCAGTACTCTGTATCTCTGAAGGTATTCGATATGAATATGTTCAAATAGTGCTAGTTTAAAGAACAATGTGTGAAGACCATTATGCTCCACTCTGTGCAGGGCAATTATTAGCTCGGGTAGAAACTCCCACTTGGGGATAATGCAGAATGGAGTCAGGCCGAGCCCTCGGCCTGTACTCCGTATGGGCCGGATGACATCGCATTTAAACGAGGCGATTGTCGATGGACATATTTATATCACAAAAATCAGGGAGCTTTCAGCCAAAAGGAACTACTATATACTTTGTAGAGACTAGATGATCGGCGCAAACTTAACTCACACGACATTCTTACGGATAACTATTCCGTAGCTTAATAGAATTAAAATTGAAAGATGACAGGGCTGAAACTTATGATTATTAGTCTTAATGAAATGTGAACAAAAAGAATTACATAAATTTTTAGAAAATATACATAATTAACTAGAACAAAAAGTTCAAAAAAAGAAGTGCATCATCCGTGAATCGAACACGGGCCTCGTCGATGGCAACGACGAATTCTACCACTAGACCAATGATGCTAGTTCATGTGATATTGAACACTATTATGTTATATATCCCTATCAAAATATCATCCCAATATATCAAGATCAATCATATAATTTTTCCAACTGAAAGGCCTAAAGCTAAACCCTTGGTATTCTTTTTAGAAAAAAAAAACAAATGGCCAATGGATATAAGAGCTATTCAATTTCTTTTAAAAAAAAAAACAATTTTGTGATCGGCGAACATATTAGAGTATGACTGTACCTACCATGCAAAGAGTGGATTGTATATATTTCACATGCACGGGATGGTCACACGCAACAAGCGAGCATCTCCTTGAACAAAAATTGATAAAAACCACACACTTGACACCATGGACTGATCGCGTTTGTTCAAATCAGCCATAGGATAATCTCAAGTGAAGGTATCCGATGTATTAGAATAGGCCATTTGGTCCAATGTTAGTTAAAGCAACCAAATCCTACATGTATACATCAATCAAAATCAAGTGATTTAATACCGTTCAAAGAGAACAATTATTTCTCAACAAATAACTGAAGTGCTAAGAAGCTTTAATATATTCGGTATTAATAGATTAAGACCCCGGGAATGGCATTCTAGTCTCCAACTAGGGCAGAGCTAGTCTTGAGCTGCAGATCAGCTGTCTCATACATACATGTACATTAATGGACCAGTAGCCTGGAACTTTCCATGTCGGTGAGGATACGGGGCTACAAAATAACGATTGAGGGGTCATTTGCATCTACTTCATGTCAATACCCCTCCATACCCTCAATTACAATTCAAACCACCCAAATCAAAATGACAATTTCCAATGACATACCGCTACCACAAGAGCGAGTTGTGCCAGGTTCCTGCAATATTGAACCTGGTCAATTCCCCAAGACTATGTTAGAGTCAGGTCTTCCTCTAGACCCGGACGCTATTGCATCAAACATCGTCGACCAACTAAACCAGGGTCTCTCAGCCAAAGACAAGAAAACTGTTGCATCACTGTTCCTCGAGAATTGCTATTGGCGCGACCACTTGTGCTACTCGTGGGATTTTCGCACCCTCGAGGGGAGCCAAGCTATTGCTGCCTTTGTCACTGAGGCACCACTCAGCAAAATCGAAATCGACCGATCGTCTGACTTGAGATCGCCACATAGAGCTGCCATTGATGCTTTCGGTGATGTCTTCGGAATTGAATTTTTCTTCAAGCTCACCACCGAGGATGGACAGGGAGATGGTATTATGCGATTGGCGGAACATGATGGCAAGTGGTACATTTTCACCGTGTTCACTTCCAGGGTTGCGTTAAAGGGTCACGAGGAGAAAACGGGGAGGCCCTTTGGTGTCCGCCTTGGCGAACATCAAGGTCGGAAGAACTGGAAGGATCAACGTACTGATGAAATCAACTTCGAGGGCAAAGACCCGGCGGTATTGATAGTTGGTATGTGCTGATAAAGCGTTCCCGCTAGAACTATGAAATCTAACATACGAATGAAGGGGCTGGTCAGGGTGGCTTGACTGCCGCAGCACGTCTCAAGATGCTCAAGGTCGACACCCTCATCATCGACCGAGAGGTGAGAGTCGGAGACAACTGGCGTCAGCGATATCACCAGCTCGTTCTCCACGACCCAGTGTGGTACGACCACATGCCCTATTTACCCTTCCCGACCGACTGGCCCATCTATACACCAAAAGATAAGCTGGCAGATTTCTTCGAAACCTACGTCAAGTTCCGAGAGCTCAATGTTTGGACCCAAACTGAGATCAAGTCATCATCCTGGGACGAGGACAAGAAACAATGGACGGTTGTTCTCGAGCGTAAGACAGACAACGGAACTGAGACGCGCACCTTGCACCCTCGCCATGTCATCCAAGCTACCGGCCACTCCGGCAAGAAAGACATGCCCGCTTTCAAAGGAATGGAGGACTTCAAGGGAGATCGTCTGTGTCACAGCTCGGAGTATCCTGGCGCGAATTCCGAGTCAAAGGGCAAAAAGGCCGTTGTCGTTGGATCTTGTAACTCAGCAAACGATATCGCCCAGGACTTTGTTGAGAAAGGATACGATGTGACCATGGTGCAGCGAAGCTCTACCTGTATATTATCGTCTGAATCTACCCTGGGAATTGCCTTCAAAGGGCTCTACGATGGGAACGGTCCGCCAACCGAAGACGCCGATCTTTATTTGTCGAGTATTCCATTGCGTTTGTTCAAAGCGCAACAAGTGAAAGTCACCAAACTCACGAATCAGAACGACGCAAAGACCATTGCAGGGCTGGAAAAGGCAGGCTTCAAGGTCGACAAGGGACCCTCGGACAGCGGTCTCTTGATGAAGTACTTCCAGCGTGGAGGCGGGTACTATATCGACGTCGGTGGAAGCCAGCTCATTATCGATGGGAAGATCAAGGTGAAGCATGGCCAGGAAATCAGTCAAGTTCTTCCCCATGGACTCCGGTTCGCAGATGGTACAGAGCTTGAAGCCGATGAAATCGTGTTCGCCACTGGGTATCAGAATATGAGAACTGACACTCGTGTGATCTTTGGCGACAAGGTTGCTGACAGCGTTGATGATGTCTGGGGACTTGATAAAGAGGGTGAAATTCGGACTATCTGGCGGCGGAGCGGTCACCCTGGGTTCTGGTTTATGGGTGGGAACCTCGCTCTTAGCAGATACTACTCGCGTCTGCTAGCATTGCAGATCAAAGCGCTGGAAGAGGGGTTGACTACTTGGTAATTACCGAGAAGTGTCTTTTTGCACCTTTGATGGCATCAGTGAGAAGATTACTTCCAGAATGTCTACATAATTATGGCTGCAACCGGTCTGTGATAGTCAATCCAATATGGAAATGTAGTCAACTAGTAAGGAACTTCCCATGTAAAATCTAGAAGCTGTTCAAGATACATGCATGTTCCCCCTAGACTGAAAACAATCAAACCAACCACCCTTCCTGAGAAGCCACCGAGATACCCAAAGTCAACGCAAGGGTGTACAACCAGGTCTCTAAGTCCGCCGAGGCCGGAGAAACAGGCTCCGCCAACTCCCAACAAGCTCGAAGATGATCCAAGACCGAGCTCTTCCTCACGTTAATCTCGAGTCCGTCCCGAGACATCGTAGCAATGCGACTCTTCCGGCGAGCTTTGCGGTCAATCGCCACAAGAACGAATTGATCGTCAGATGCCGCATCTCCATTTGCAGAGTGTGCCCGTTTCTCCCACTGCATAATCATCCGGGGCTGCTCGGTGCTGGTTGTGTTTTCTTCTTTAATGGCAAACTTGTAGCAAAAGCTTTTCTCAGGTCCTGTTGTGCCGACACTGGCTTGCCAGATGCATCTTGCGTCGCGGAAGTGGATTGAGGATGTGGGGCTGCTGCTGTTGTTGTTGCTTGATGGTTGGCAAATTGCAGCGATGATATTCTTTTCGTGGACAATGCTTGATTGTATATCTTGTGCTTGGGGTTGTTCTTGTCCATCTAGCTGCTTATTGGTGATATATGGCTCATTGAGTGTTGCGTAGATATCCTTTGTGCTGAGTTTTGGGCGTTGAGGAAAACCCTTTGTCAATTTTGATTTGTACAGTGGTGGCTGCCATATCTCTAGTACAGGCACTGGTCTGTGATTTGGACAAAGTTGTTGGATTTGAAGGAGTAGTTTGGGGCTGAGTCGAAGTCGTTGATTTGATTTAGGGGGCGGTAGGGCTATTCGAAATTTGGCCTGGATTTTGATGTTGACGGGTTGAGATGATGGTCTTGGGGATGAATTAGACATAATTCTCAAAGAGTAAAAGAATTTATATGCGCTTTTCTTCCCAGGAGTACTCTTACATACCGTTCTTCGCTTGCTGTGTCACTATCATAGCTTGGTGTACTATTTGGGGACTCCATGGCCAAGTCATACATATTGTCGCGTCTTCAGATGTTAAGGGACAAAACAACAGAAGGGGGAAAAAGACAAAGACAGGGAACTTATAGCTGAGAGCTAAAAGGTCTCAAAGGTCTTATAATAAATGTCAGCCTTGGCCCTACGCCCTATCCGTGGACGGCCGTACTCGTATCAATGTGCACGAGCCAGCTGGGTCTAGCGCATCTGGAAACTCTTACGAATACGGGCCATTTATGGTTAAAAGAGACACATATCTTGGCTGCCTGGGGGATCTGACAGCTACCTAAGTAGTATAAGGCGCTTACATGCCGTGTTTTGAGAGTCTAAGGCTAGGCATCTACAATTCCTTGAGAGGTCATAGAAGTAATATTTTCAAGGCATTCCGAGGTATCTTTATCCGTACATAATTTGTGCTCCAACTCTATACCCCATAGGTATTCCTGACTATAGAATTTGTGGGTCGCCGTTATGTTCGGAGTCTGGGATTTCCGAGCCGTGCGCCCGATTGGGACAATTATTCACAGCCTCAACTAACAAGGCGAACATTCAAAGCCACCCCATATGATGAAATCGATGAAATCCCTGCATCGGATATAAATGGTCTCACAAAACATGACTGGGCGTTGGTCGAAAGTGCTTTAAACCTTGCTCGCAAAATACTCGAAAAAAAGACGCCCCGAGAGCCGAATCTAGCGGTCAAAAGTTCCTCCGACTGGCGACTTAGCCTCGGCGTCGGGGCCAAGCTAGCCATGATGTCAGCGGAAGTTCGGAAGGTCGACCTGGGAATAGTGCCCAGCCCTGGTGTGGGTAGCGTCATTTATAATGAGACTCCAAGTGTCTTATGACAATATATTTGTGGAGTTGAATATGCCTTTTGCCAATATTGTGAGATTCGCAAACCCTATCCAAGCCTGGGGGATGTCTCCTTGGAAGCTTCACGCTTCCTTGAGTACTGCAGGTCGTCGGTCATCATATCGTTTTCTCCATCCGTGATCCAGGCCAAAGATTCGCCCTGTCACTATGCCTTTCACTGTCAGGATCTGGATGATCAACCATATGATTACGAGCAGCAGTAAAAGGGCTGTGGAAAACACATCGAATGCAGGAGATTTCATAAGCTTCCCAAATTCAACGGCAGCATTGGTAAAAGTGCCCTGGAGAAATCGAAGGAGTGTTAGAAGACCTGCCAAGAAATCAGAGAAATCAGTATACGCACCCATGGAAAGACCACAGACCACACAGACAAGGTGAACCGTGACTGCTTCCAGCCCCCAGGTTGGGTGTACAGAGTATAACTGATGCTCATGATGGCAAAACACCACCAAAAGATCCCATACCCCCAGACAAGAAGGCCAGTGAAATGGCTGATGAAAGCAAAGGGACCAGCTGCCTCTGCAGTCAGAAGCTGACCGCGATCATATGCCGCAAAGCTACCGGCCTGAACAGCCTCACCCAAAGCCTGGAGCGCGACCGATGCCTGCCCACAGGGACCGCACATAATCATATCCTGGTACACCATATCTGTTGTCTGGAACGTGCGACCGAAGTATTGATAGATTGTAATGGTATTGAACACAGCAACGAGGGTAAGGCCGGCCCCGATTTCAAGGTAGGAGACGATGATAGCAGGAACCTGGAGACGGGGGCTGATGTGCGCGACGCGACATATAACTCCGCCGCCTGCAGCAGATGTCAATGCCGCGAGGAATGGCATCAATGTGTCCGCCTGCATGGATCGTTTGTTCAACTGCTGCATCTTGAGCTGAACGAATGGGATCCCCATACAGGCGAGTACGGCCATGCCGGTATTTATCCACCACAAGATGTAGATGGCCAGCCCGGCTGTGTGTCCGTATTTGAAGGCGGCCATCTCGAGGATGGAGGTGAAGGCGATGGAGATACAGCAGAGCCCCGATGTTTCGATGGTCTTGTTCCGCAGCTGGTGTAGGACGTGTCTTGGGTGTATGAATATGCGCAAGAGGTAGAGGATGAGGAATAAACCGAGCTGGACGATGGTGTAGATCCATACTATCGTGGCGAGCGTTTTTAGCCCGTTGAATTGGTAATTCAGTCGATAGAGTATCACGGCTATGATACCCGTTCCTTGGGGCACAATGAACCATAGCGATGGGAAATTCCACAGGGCGCGAGAAAGCGGACCCGCTGGTGGAGGGAGATCTCCCTGATCTGGCATGTGTGGCTCTGTGCGATTCACCCCGAATTGGAGGGAGAGTCTGATCGGAACATGTTCTTTGATGAATTCGAAAGGATATAGGTTCGGGGGAGTCTTGACGTCATTAGCCGAAGTTTGGAGCTATCCCCAGATCATACAATTGCTTCATTTTGTATCATACAATTGCTTCATTTTGTAAAAGATAATATTGGATATCATTGGAGAAATACTGTGGATATCAGAAACAGTATGGATATGCAACCAAATAGGCAAAGCAATAATTTGGAGAGTTGTGCACAGGTCCGGGGCCACTCCATACCAGAAGAAACCATAATTTCAAAAAAATTGTCCCAACCACCACGGCCGACCGAATCAGAATACTCCTTCGAAGAATACCCCTGGTCCCTTGGAACTATCCGAACCCATTCGCATCTCAGTGCTTTTTCTAGGCCTGAGAAGAACCCATAATCGCCATAACGCCGTAACGCTGTAATCCGTGCAACATCAGTTTCCCCCTTGTGTGTAACGCCCATGCCAGCAAATTTCCATTTCTACGTATGTAATTTGTGAGAAGTTTTGAGGGAGAACAAAGAAAGTTATGAGCTTCCAGTGTCTCTCGTGGTGTCCTCAGTGTAAGTGTGGGGTTGATAGTAGCTTGGCCCCGCTGGAGGATCTAATCAACCTTGTGTTAGCGAGATCAGACCAAGTAATTACCACAACATACAACGTGACTCCAGGTCCCTTCCACCCCAAGATAGATGCTTCAGCTTTTCAAGCCCTCGATTTCGCACCTGAGCCATGTAGACCTTTTGCTCGTAGCTTGGACTGAATGGGGTTTCTGAATCGGCGGGTTTGTAGTGTTTGAAGACCGATGCTCCCAATGCGGTTGCTGCGAGACAGCCGACGAGGACAATGACGATGATCGCTCCGGTGGAGAGCCCCATGGTGAATAGAAGAAAAGAAGCTTGAGTAAGATCGGGGAATTGCGGTTGTTAAAGCACTTTGAATTGTAAGAAGTGGGTCAGTGCATAGTTGTGGAGGAGAGAGCCTCCGCGATCTGAGAATGGTAGATGCCTTTAGATTAACACTAGTGAGATGAAACAGGATGAAGAAAGAGAGGGGATGGAAGAAATAAAAAGACCAAAAAAGACAAAAAAAGACAAAAAAAAACATCTCAACCAAACTTACAGGTCCCGATACCTCGGAGTCCAATCTGATGTGTTGGCTCCCGAGGTTCTATACGTGACCATCCCATTGGCCATGTTTTTGCACATTTAAGGTCTAAACACTCTCTGCCAATCATTACAAGACTGTGTCACATTGATTAACAAAAGAGCAAAAATAGTACTTCCAAGGATAGTGGCTTTGATACCGGGCCTATGGATTTAGTTGAAAGCTTGTCACCGAGACTATGTATGTTGTACTTTTATAGGTCAATTCAACTGTATATGAAGGAATAAATTTAGTATACCCAAGTCAATCACTAGAGAAGGAGCGTAAAAAGAAAGAAAAAAGCCCAACAAAGGGAAGAAAACAATGAAAGAACACAACTTTTATGTAGGCAGCAGCCAAGGACATTTATGCACCGAAATCTTTATTCGCACAATAATAGTAACCTCAGTTCGAAACGTTCTCCCGATTTAAGGTAAAAATAGGATTCACGAATCATTTCGTAGTGTCTGGATCCAAAGTCGCTTCCGACAATGCCGGCCAATGAGAGGCTAGTCATGTCTATATTTGAATACTGATATCTTCCCGCGGTCAAGTATAGCTCGCCAAGGGACATAATTCTTGGGTGCACTTGGTGATCTTTCTTTACCTCTCCCCTATCAGCTATGCTAAATTGTCTCTTTGATACAGCCTAGGATTGGATTGTTGATATGAAGAGTTCGAAACAGTTTTTACATACATGTAGTTTAAACAGTCATCCCAATCCTGCTCTCTTATTTTATGCAAGCCTCCTACAAAAAATAGAACCTAGGTTGGATTAAAACAAAATAACTGTTGTTTTGACTTGAAAACATCTAGGTTCATGCATGTTATAACTAGAATACCAGGCAAAATCTAATAACAATGTTAGCAATACCCAATCAACCACTCGCCAAAGAAAAAAGATCACGTAGAATATGAGAAAACCAGCTATTGAGAGTTAGTCAAGCGAATCAAGGTAAGTTTTAGACATCCTCAATATCGAACCGAAGGTTAAACTCACTTCGGTCTTCGCCTTCGTGGAATGTCACAATTCGTGAGATCCGTTTGACTCCTTGACCATATGCACACAAGACTAAGGCGGCGACAACTTTACCAATGGGAGTACCAAGAAGACCGCAAAATTCCGGCGAAGGGGACTCCCAAGTTTGTGGCTCCTTGGGCGGACGCTCAAGTCCCTCCCGGGATTTGTAAATGTGATCCCAGATAAAGGGGATAGTTTCCTTTTGAATAATAGTATTAACAAAAACATACTTCAGGCTTTCCAAGGGGAAATCCAACTCGTAGAAAGCCTTGGCAAACTCAGACATGTAAAAATTCTCGGGATCATTTGATCTCATGAGATTATCCATAAATATCACGCCTGGTCCTGTTCGTCCAACCCAAAAGGTAAAGTCGCCGTTGATTTTAAGAACTGATTGGAATCGATAAATAGGTTTCGGGTGGCTTGCTGTGCCATCAACTGTGAGGCCAAGAGTATTGGCCCAGTACGTCCATTCGTCTGCAAGGAACTCCGGGTGGCCAGCTATATTCCAGACCCTATGATCGAGGCCTGGGAGAGTAAGTGTGGTCCTAGAAATGGGGCACCCAGGCTCATCGGCACGCTCCATCCATCGTCGTAATTTATTACCCTTTGGCTCAAACTCGGGATACTTGGGGGCCATTGCGATAGGATTGGTTCTAAGCACACTAAACTTGTTGAGATCTGTGTTTGGACCAAATGATGCAATAAATCGAGCATGTTTATATAGTTTTAGGTAGCTGAATATGAAAACAAGAAGAAACAAAGAGGTTAATCAATGCCATTGTGCAAAATATGGTGTGATAAAGACCGATAGACTTGGGGTAATGAAGAATAAAAGAATTAACGAGCCAAAGAATCATTGGAACAGTACCAACCATGCAGAAAAAATCAATCTCGAAGTGCCGCTGGCTGCAGGGGCAGAAAGGATCAATGCCAGCCGTTGCCAGCCTTTGCCTCTCCGGATATTCCTCATTATAGGAGAGTCCAACCATCTCGAGGCCAGGCCCACTGTAAATTTACTTATAGGATAGTTGCTTTGTCACACTTAACACCAGGGCTGGTCCAAGATATGTTCCTCCATACCGTATTCACCCCTGACACGAAACATAGGAAACTGGTGTGATCGCTGTTGTCATTTCTCGAATCCGCGAATCCAGGAACCCAGACTGTGAATTACAAGCCATCGCTTACATCGCTTACCACTGCTCGGTCTTGGCGGAGCGGGGGCTTGATGGGCTTGATTAGTGGGGCGCTCTTATATAGATTGACAGCTGAAATTTTCTTGTTTCAGCGAATAGAGTTGCGACGTATTTATTCTCGATCCCGTCTCATCCGGCTTGGAACAATACTGGATCATAAGCAATTGACCTGCATGTGATAGTCATCCATTCAAGACGGCTGGCGGTTTTGTTTAGATCAGGGTGGTTTCTGGGGGCTTCAATCTTGCCCAACTTGTGTAGAAAGGAGTCGTCTCAGTCAAGGTTGTAGATATCGGGTTCTGAGCACTGCTGATAGGTTGACTCAGTATATCCTACCTGCATGTGCCGTCATTCGATGTGGCGAGCTGTAAATCTCACGGTATCCTCCTCTGCGAGCCAAGGAATTTGGACTTCCAGGTCGTGCCGGACGAAGAGATCGCGAGTCCCTAAGGTTATATCTCGATCCATATCGCCGTGTGCTCACTGACACGGGAGTGGAAGCTCACAGGCAGGTTATTCCGGCCATGAGACATGTGGACTTTCCAACTCGGTTGTTGTGGTCGACTTGCTGAAGATGTAGCGAGGGGGTTTTAGGCAGGTAAACATTGCAGACACGACGGGAGAATTAGGGGTTGCCGTACGGAGTACTGATATCTGACTAGCTTGGCTGATCCAGTGAGTAGCTAGCTGTATATGGCCGCAAAGAGCCTAGTGTTCTCACCTGGGGGGACTTTGTCCTATCCACGGAGACACATCAACACAATGGCCTATCGACGATGAAGAAGTTGCCATTCTGAGATACCCTCCATGCAAGATGGAGAGATGGCTGGAATAAAATCTGAGCGACATGATTTCATCCAAAGTGAGAGATGAGACAAGCAAAAAGCCCGAGTGTATTGGGATGCATATGGTCAAAACCAGAAAATTTGAGAACATTCCTCACATCTGCCAATGCATTGCATACAAAGCTTTAGGCTCATGCGACACATATCTGCCCCAAATTTGACTACGCAGACAGATCATAGCTATCTATATCGTATATGGCTATTTAGATACATGTCTTATATCTCAGGTATCTCTCAGATGCTCTCTGGTACGTAGTAAGAGATTTGGGGCACAAAAGTGAGGGTATTACTTGTTTACAATCCACAACTTTACGATCCAAGCCGACATCTATAAAGCCAGATAGTAAGGGCCAGAGCCTGTAGTTCACGCACTCTCAGGTTACCAAGCTTAGGGCTGTATAGGTAGTCACTTAGTCCCTTTTCGGTAGTAGCTCCTTCCAGTTTAGATTGAGAAGTCAAAAGGTTCAATAGATAGGATCAATAGGCTCGATAGACTCAATGAGATCAATGGGGGACAATAGCTATAGTTTCCTATTGTCTCGTCCCTATTTGGAAGTTGGCCTGCCTAAAATGGAAAGAAAAATGGGATACAATGCGCGCGTGTCAATCGCTCCTTCCATCTGTGTAATTCCTTCCGTTTTGGGACCCAGGGTCTTCTATAAATTCTCTTCTTCTCCTACTTTTCTCTTTCTTTCTTCTCTCTCTCTTCTCTCCTCAATTTACCAAGTCTTTCAACAGCGCCTTTTGCGCTGTGACACTTTCTGCTGCCCCAGCGTCGCCGGTCTCACCGGCGTTTGTTTTTCATTTTTATTTTCAAAAAAAAAAAAGAAAAAAAAAATGTTGATTCCCTTCGTGGGAATCTTCGTGGGCATGACTCTCTGGAGTCAGTGGTTCCCCATCCCGGGATTCACTGCTCCAGAGCAGTCGTTCGTGCGGCGTCTGTCTGGTACGTTCCAGCTGACGATGGAGTCTTGGGCCTTCTGTGACCTGGTGAAAGCTGCCGCCTCCCAGCGCGAGTATCCTGTATGGGAGTCGCATCCTCACGTTGGCCATGGGTATGCAAACTCGACGGGCTTTCTGGTTATCAGCCTTGGTACGGATGTCATTGTCCAGCCTGGACTGGTCGATGATATGCCGCCCTGGTTTCCAACCCCGTTCCTGGTACCCATCCCGGTCTCGCTTTGGTCAAGTGATGATGGAGTGACATCTTCCGATCCCAAGGAATTTATCTACATCCTCTCACCTAGATCAGAGCCTGGGCAAGGCTTCTTTCTCAAGTTGGTGCTTATCGGTATTTGGCTTTTTGTCCAAGCCCCCTGGGTCTTGATTGCTTACGAACGGCAATTGTACGATGGACTTGAAACCTTTGCTGTGTGGATTCCGAAGTTTCTCGAGGGCCAACCACAGATTGTCCGTGTGATATTTCTGACCGAGGATGGTTCATTTCCCTTTGACCTGGAGATGGATCGTCTGATCGCGGGCCCAACAGAAACGGAGGAGGAAATTCTTGCTTGGGTCTTGTCCGCAGACAGTTGTCCCGAGTCTGTGTCTCATGTGTCGGTTCTCTCTCGGCTTGGAGGTATCTGGGTCCACCGGATCACCCCTGGCCTGGGAGTTGAGCAGTCACAGGACTCAGAATCGGCTTGCAATACCACCAACCCGATTAGCACTACGGATGACGCTCGCACGAACTTGGTCTTGCAGCATCCCTGGGGCTCGATGGCTCTCTACGCCTCCGGCCATGACGATTCTCCGGCTCCGGCTGAGAGTCCGATTGGCAACGGTGCGGAAGATGAGCGTCCTGATCCCACCCCGACGTACTTCAGCAAGAAGAACCGTCCGTCGCAAGCTAAGAGATGTCGCGCTGCAAAGAAAGCACAACAGGAAAAGAAGGAACTAAAGCATTCTAATGTTTTAGCCTCTTACGCTTCCAGTGCTTCTCTTGCGATGTCTTCGAGCTCGACGCTTTCCCCGGCTTTGGCTCCGGTCTTCATTTCTGGTCGTTTGGCGGAGCAGGATGATCTGCAGAGTGGTCCTTTTTCTTCGGCTCCCTTGTTCGCTAACGTGGGCATTGATCCTCCTACGGACTGTGGTACGACTTCGCCTGATGACAACGCTTCTTCCCAGCCGTCCCGTCGCCGTCGTCGTCCTCGACAGCGTCATGCCTAGATGCTTCGATGGAGGTGGGACATGTATCAGCAACAAAAGTGTCTGAGAGGGACACCTTGAAGGAACTCCTCTCTTCGGAGGGTGTTTAGGTCCTTCTCAGTTGTCCTGCAGCGCTTTTGTTTGCTGGTACAATGCTGTGTTGGGGCCGCGTCATTAAGCGTCCTCAGAAGCTTTTCATAGGGGGTTGGGCTTGGAGATTGAGTTGACTGACCAATATGCCAGTAAAAAAAAAAAAAAAAAAAACAAAAAAGAACAAAAAGAGAAAAAGAGAAAAAGAGAGAAAGAGAGAAAGAGAGAAAGATAGAAAGAGAGAAAATCAATGCTTTCACTTTTCTCTCATTTTGCTCTCATTTCTATCTGAGTTCAAAGATCTCTCTTGCGACGTGCTTGTCTCGCGTTGCTCTTTTTCGGCTTCTGGGCTCTACGCATTCGATTTCTGTTGTTCGGCTGTCGATCACGGCCACGCTTATAAAATATTCGTTCTCTGTGCCTCATTGTCTAGTTGAGGTTCAGTCCAAGCCCGCGACCATCTTCTCAAAAAAAAAAAAAAAAAAAAGTTGCATCGGTCAACCCTTTCCACGACAAGTCGGCTACCTCTTCTCTCCAGGCTCAATCAAACAAACTTTCGCGTGACCGTGCTCTTCATGACCTCTTGGGGAGAAGCTCGGATCAAAAACCCATCTTGATCGTCTTTTGCAGGCCTTCAATTCAATCCTGCTGGGTTCACATCGACTCTCTGTGAACATCATTCCATGTACTGCATTCCTCACCATAGCCTTCTGGTGACAAGGCTTTAGCTGAGTTCAATTTTGGGACCATTCTGTGTAGGACAGACAACAATCACTCAACCTGCCTGGTTCCATCTTCGAACCACTTGACCGCACGGTCATTCTCATTTACATCAATCATTCAACCGATATGGAAACAGAATCAGTTTTTCCAAACGGCCTCTGGGGGAGGGACCTGATTGGAAAAAACTTCACATTCTCTGTTTCAATCATCTACCTTCCACTGAGCTTATGGGACGGCTTCAGTTGGACAATATTGAGAGAAAACAAAACAATTTGACCTCAATCTATCATCACCACAAATCCAGCGGTCAATACATATTCATCTGTTCTCCACTGGGCTCTGAGACAAGCCTTTTCTGGACCAAGAACACTATGACCATCAATTGGAGCTTCAGCCTCAATTTAAAACCACCACAAACCACCACAAACCACCACAAACCACCACAAACCACCGGTCAATACATATTCAGCTGCTCTCCACTGGGCTCTGAGACAAGCCTTGTCTGGACCAAGAACACTATGACCATCAATCGGAGCTTCAGCCTCAATCATGCTTCCGGTTCAAGCCAACAAAAATCTTGAGTCAATCATCAATCCAATTCCAATTGAATTATCTTATCTTCCTTCCAAGGCTCGTCGAACATGATCTCACTGGAAGAAGAACCATCATCAATACCTTTATGCTCTGTGCAGTTTCGGAGCAACATCCAAATTACAAACCTGCTCAACACGCTTATCAGCCAATCCAACCTGTCTTCCAGCTACTTCTTTTCTCTCCGCGGACCCCTTGAAATATGTCTTTGCTGGATGAGCCATGAACGTCTTTTGTGACTTCATTGAAAACCCACTTTCTGTGTTTATCAATATCATTTAACACATTTGTTCATTTCTCAGACCCTGAAATAGGTCTCTGGATGAGCCTCTTGACATCCACAATTACTTTCTGTGTTTATCAACTCTTCTCAACACATTTATCCTCCCTTCAGGCCTTGTAATAGGTCTCTTCCGGGCAGACATGTTGAAAACACTTCGGAATCACTTTCCATTTTCATCCTCTTGGGCACCCAAAAAGCCCCCTTGATGAGAAACAAACAAATGCAAGAATTCTTTCAAATTTTATGAGCAAGCTGGCAATCATGGTATGTCATAGCTGCTTCTATTCCAGTTTTCCATTTACTGACAGTTAGGGCTTTTCCAGGGCCCGTGACTCCTTCCGTCTGTTCATCAGCCCTTCCAGCGTTTCCTTTCTTCAACCGGGTAAACCCCGGTTTTAGTGCATGTCTACGGATCATGATGGGATATGAAATATAGGACATGGTACAAAGGGATATCAAAACTGGGATGAACATTCATGACATGTTTTGGGCGTTGTGCGAGTTCCTTATGTTTTTTTTTTGTACAGATCCAGCATCCATTGCAACTGGGCGGATTACTTTTTGTGATTTCAGTGATACCCCACAAAGCATAGCCTTTTTTTTGTTGGTTTTTGACTGCATTGCCACCTCAGTCAATTCAATACTATTGTTCCGTTGCGATTAATGGACTGGTAAGAATTCCTGTTCAAGCGTAGCTGTGCTCCAATGATGATAAACTAAAAATCGAAAGAAATTAAACATGCAGCTGAGTGCTGGAAACTGATCAGCTTAGCAGGTATTTTCCCCTGAAGGCCTTGTGTCTATATAGGGGTGAGGGGCTGCTACTATGACGATAGCTTTCTCAGAAGAGTGGCAAAAGAGCCAACAACTGGGAAATACTGTTTTTTCTATATATGTGAAGGGTGTTGGAAACTTTTATCAAAAAAGAGACTAAAAGAAAGCTACTACATACATGGTATGTAGTACATATTGTCGATATAGATGTCATGACCTCTCCCAATGAGGTTCGCAGGACTCGAAGTATGTATGTAGATCTATCACTCTGATTGATATATACAAGACCCTACATGGTGGGGTCTTCACAATAGATGCTTGTGGTCCTCACGGCATACGGTACATTCTACATTCTTTAACGCGAGCGAATAATATATTACCATTATGCGGGAAAGAACATTTGTTTTATAATTTCACAGTTATCCTATGTAGAGAATCGGACATATAGAAGAGAAAGCTACATGATATGGCACTTCCCCCTTCGCTTGCGACCCCGCTCCTTAATTGTGTTATCGTTCCAATCCTGAATGCGCCGGCGCCATTCCTCGTTTGTTGGTGGGGGTAAGCTAGTGGGTTCGGTTGAAACTCTCCTGTGGAAAGACCGTTGCCTTTGAGGTACCTCTTGCTCGTCATCCGCTACAGTACCCTGCCCGTCTTCATGTGGCTGTGGGATATGAAGAAGGTTTGGCGATGACACAGAGTATGGGAAGTAGGCATCGCCAAGTGCATCGCCCAGTGCCGAGGCCCTCAAGTATGGAAGAGGCATAATGTTCTCTTGTTGAGGTAGTTCCGCTGGATACACAGCGACCGTAGGCGTGATGGATTGGACCGCTGGATGAGAAGCAGATCCATGGTGTTCTGGCGAGAAGTTGTTTGTGAACGAATCTTGAGGGATGAATTGCTCTGCGTCAAAGTCTCTGCCGATGGAATTTCTCCCCTGCCTAGATCCAATTACAGTGCGTAGCCTCTGTAAATTGACAGATTGTGGACGTAGGTGCGTTGGTTGCTGCGCGACACGAGCGGATTCTGCTCTTCCAGGCTGGAGGGTAGAATTGGTGGCATTTACTGGGGGGAGGAGCAATCTCTGTAGATCATCTGGCAATGGGTCCGCTGTTTCGCGTTTGTAAGGAGGAGGGGGTGGTACCCAATTATCGGCGTCACTCTCATGGGGAATCTGGCGAGGGATGTGAGAACTACGATATCGAGGGTCGTATCTCCCACGGGTTGATGCAGCCACAGTGGCAGCTCTATGGAGAACTTCACTGGAACGAGGCTGCGTATTGTCATATGGAAGGTCGATTACTTCGCCTCGAGAATTTTCGCTTGGTGAGGTAGGAACTGCAAGACTGATGTTGCGGCGCAAGTGAAGTGGCAGAGCTCGGGATTCTCGAGTAGTCGCTGAATGGCCGAGGGCTGCGAATCTTGTAGCAGTATCGCCACGATGTAGCCGTGTTCGCCTCCTTTCAAGCTCAACTTCCGTGGCCAAAGAGGAGTCCGGCTCCATAAGAATCTTGGGTGCCATTTCTCCGACTTCGATGTCAAGCTCAATCTTTTCACCATTCATGGTAGAGCGCTCAAAATCAAGTAGGAGGATTCGACCACCATCAACTGGGATATCTTCTTCGCCAAATATTTGTGGTTGCACACCACCAGGTGCTACCGCGACGAGTCTCCGCCGGAGTCTCGAGCCTGAACATACCCAGTGAGCGGATGTGATCCCGTGCATTTCACTCACCCGCCGCCCCCGGATCAAGATCTTAGGTTGTTGAACGATTTTCTGAAGCTGTGCTAAATTGTCGCGAGGCGCGCAGCCTCCATAATGGTGACCACCACCAACCTGGGTACCAGTGATTTCACTGGCAGCCAAACCAGGCATCCCATATATCCATAGCTCTGAATCTTGGAACCCTAACGCACAAAGTTCACCTGCATCATCAGTGGCGGGTCTCATGCTTGGCCGCATTTCCCGAGACTCATCTGTTAAAAATGGACTAGCAAAATAAACGATTCCCGCATTCTTGGTTAATTGAAGCGCTCTGAATGCCCCCAATTGTTTGTCATATCCCATTACCCAGTGATCGTCAACTTCCCCATGACCAATAATGAGAGAGGCATGGGTGATATGGCAACCGACTGTTTCAGGAAAGAGAATTTGTGTTGTCCACATTCGCATCTCGAGTTCTTCAGGTGAAGCGTCCGTTCCGGTTTCAGTATAGAAAGGAGGAGTGATGGTGACAATACCTTCAGCTGTAAAGCCAAGAAGCATCGCTCCATCAAGCGAAAATGAAAGTGCATCCACACGGAGACAACGCACCGCCCGACGGTCGGTCGGCAAAGCCTCTTCACCCACAGCGTATACCTCAATACTATCGCCAAAGGCTAAGGCCAGTACACTACCTGCTGGAGAGAATTTGATGTCCTTTGGGGCATCGTTCAGCGTGATAACTTGAATGTGCTTGACTTCATCATCGGAGAGCTGGTAGATATGAACTCGGTGTGTGGAAGACACAACAGCAATGAGAGAGCCATCATCCCGGATTGTGGCTCCCAGGGGCCGTCTTCGGGTCTTAAGTTCATGCTTGACGGTGACTGGGTCGGTGGCCACGTCTAGTATGACAATGCGAGAAGAGCTGATGCAGAGAACCATTTGACCATTTCCTGAAAATGAGAATCGAAAAACTTCACCTTGTGGGAACGCCGTAGACGAGCTCATAGAACTTGAAATTAGTCGCACGAGGGTTTGCCGGGGCCGTAAAAATACATCAAAGGCGTTCTGCCTGACTTCCTTGACAAACTGGCGCTTTAGTTTTGTCAGGTTCTCTGCCTCAGAAATAACCCCACGAGTCCAGGAAAACGATGAACAGCGTGACAACTGATATGCATACATGGCCGCAGAATCGGACGCATGCTTCCATCTTCGGTTTAACAAAGATAGTGATGCAAATGTATTGGCATCGGAAGCATACAATATGCTATTTATGCAGTTAATGACTGACTGTAAGGTCACATGTCGGATGTACACAGAGGTGTAACTCCTAGGTGAGATAGAAACTTACTCCTCAATCACATTAAGTGGTAGCCGGTCAAAGGACGTGTTTAGGCTGGGCAATACAGAACACCCCGCTTGATGGACGAAAGAGCCCTTGGGGATGGAGGTATCCTCCATGATCACCACTTTGTATCTACATACAACAGATCAGGCATACGGCGGGCATTGTTGAGAAAAAGATGACCTTGTGGCTGTGCAGTTTCTCGCCCCATGAGGCAATGCGGGACATCAGCATTAATGAATCAACTAGTAATGCCGATCGCCTGCATTGTCCATGCCAAGGCCAAGATAAAAATAGACAGAACCTCAGGCAGAAATATAGCTATGTCAGCATTTTCACGTGGGATGAGTCATCATTCCCCACATCTGATGGATCCATGGTGCCCGCAGTCTCAAATTTCGATAAGAAAATGAGATCGCCGGATTTTGATATATGGGGAGACTGTACAAGATGATGTGCGTGTAGCTTTGACCTCGCAGTTCCCTAGCCATTGAAAGCTCCCAATTTTCTCCTCGCCTCTTTCTCCCTATATTGCAGGCCTCGTGCCCATACCCCTCACTCTGTCCAACTGCTAATCGGCCGACTCCGAAAACACCCCGACCAAAATCTCCAAATCACCATATTCTGCTTTCTCATATTACCTATATTACCTATCGACATAGCTCCCTCATACTTGGGCGTGCATCATGTCGCCTGCACCAGTCCAAGTCAATTCCTCCTCCAAGCTCCCATCGCCCGGATTCAATGCCGGCGCCCGGCCCTACCGTTCCCACAAGGTCCGCGCCTGTGACTTGTGCCGCAAGCGCAAATCTCGATGTACCGTCGATATCCCCGGTCAATCCTGCCTTCTTTGTCGCGTGCAAGGTGCCGATTGTCATTACCAAGAGGAGGCCAATACGGATACTTCAGTCTTGAGTGTTCAGGACTCAAAGTCCTGGCCTCCTATGATGGAGGCCGTTCCTGGGCAGAAGCGTAAGCGCAGTCCCGATGGAGTCGCCCACTTAAGCCAGAATAATATTCCGCCCCGGCAGCCCATGAATGGGCCCAGCCCCCATGGAACGACTTCGTCTGGTGGTCGTCGAGGAAGTGATCCGCGGCGGAAAACTATAGAGGATCCCCAGAATGAGTCAGTTCTCATTGTTGGCCCTATGGTGGCTGAAGATGCCCAAGTCATTGAAAAACATATGCCCCCAGAGCGGACAAGTCAATCAGAAGAGCCCAATAGTCACCCGTACAATATCTACTCTAGCGATCCGCGGAAACCAGTCCTTTACACCACAATCTCCCGGCGAAGGAAAGGTATGCGGAGAGGAACGCCTCCTGGTGAGAACCAAAAGGAGGTGCTCGAACAAATACTCGGGCCGTTTAAACACGACCTAGTGAGACTGTATGTTGACCTTTTCCCTCCATTTTCTACCCTGCTAATCTTCCCCCTCTAGTTTCATTGATCGTTTTAACGTGTCTTTTCCGATCTTCGACGGGGAGTCATTCTGGGAATCATACATCGCCGAGGACCTGCACGACCCGCCAGCTGCACTAGTGTGTCAAGTCTATTCCATGTCCCTCGTATATTGGAAACACACACAAAAACTTTCATGTCATCCGAAGCCTGACGTTCGATATGCGATCAACATGACTGTCGCTGCGTTGCATGAGGAATTCTCAGCTCCCGGACTGGACACAATCAGCGCTGCGCTTATCGACCTGACTGGACGACCCATTTTCTCCATGACTGGCAACGCCGTCAGCTGTGGCCGCATGTTGTCTTTAGCAAATTGTCTTGGTTTGAACCGTGATCCTAGCAACTGGAAGCTCTCACAAGCAGAAAAAAACCAGCGGATTCGTCTGTGGTGGGGAGTTGTGATTCATGATCGTTGGTAAGATCGTTCCGTTTTTCTTTTGTCTAGCAACAAATCTGACAATAAACAGGGGAAGTTTTGGTCATGGCGTCCCACCTCAGATTTCCAAAAATCAATACGACGTGCCTCTACCCACTGTAGACATATTAGTCCCATCACACCTCCGCACCACAGAGCGTGTGAGGGCAGCACATTGCCACATCTACCTATGCAAATTGACCGAGACTTTGGGCGAGCTATTACCACTGGTCTATGGGCTGCAACACAAACCCGCACGCGAGACATCCAAGAAGCTCAGACAAATACGAACAGATCTGGATATATGGGAAGACTCCCTACCGGACTGGTTGAGAGGACCTACAATCCACACCGGGGAACGAATCTATGGAGCAAGCAGCTTGCAGTTAGCTTTCTTAGCTGTGAAAATGCTTGTCAGCCGAGTTGAATTAAATGTAAGCTGAAGGCCGGGGGAAATCGAAACGAGTGATCTCTAACAACCTTGCAGGAGGTCAACAACTCCGAAACGGAAAACACGGAGGCACGTCGCTATTTCCAAACGGAATGCAGAAGGTCAGCAGAGGAGATTGTTGCGTTCATAACGTCTTTACGAAAGGGTAATTTCACGGAGTTCTGGCTACCCTGTACGTTGAAGCATTCTTTCTAGAGCTTGATTTTTTCCCCCTAATTTCCTTGACAGATAGCGCCTTTCATCTCACGTCAACGGCCACATTGCTAGTTCGCTGTGCATTCGAGACCACCGACAGCGAAGTTGCACGATCATGTCTTTCCAACGTCGAAACCCTGCGCTCAGTCTTGCGTCGTGTGCGGGAAGAAGAAGACTGGGATGTAGCAGACATGTGTCTGGACCACTGCGAACGCATTATGCACCGGCTTCCTGGAACCGGTGCCACAATGGACGAGGCATTCACAGCCACGATGGCAGACAACGGGCTGGTCAACCCGGCCGCGATATCGCTCCCCGAGACCCAAACAAATAACGACATCGTCGACGACATGATGTCAATATCTAATACGTTTGGAACGATGGACGGTTTCCCCTTTGACATGACGGGAATATGGGACGTCTCCGTCTTCCAAGATGTCAACCTGACATGATCAGAAGATTATTAAACATATACTTTTAGATTCCTATTTCAACAATATACCCTGGGATCCAAAGCCCAACGACCTTGATATCAATTCAATCTCAGTCTTTCTCATATTAAAATTTCTGACTAAAATTTTGTACAAAAAAAATCAAATATACCCCAAACGCTATTTTACACTCGTTCATTAATGCTCAGAACGAACCCACCCCCTCATGATCTTCTAGACACCAATTACTGGTCCTTAGAGCCGCCAATACCGAGCATGCCAGTGAAAGAGCCCTTCATGTTCTGCATCTGCTCCTGGCGGGCCTTCTCCTCCTCGGCTGCCATCTCAGCGAGCCACTTCTCGCCGTTCGCACGGATCTCTGACTCGATCATTTCGTAGTTCTTTTGACCACGCTCACGGATCTGATCCCAAAGCATCTTGCCCTGGGCCAGTCCCTCAGAGGGCGACTGATCGCCGTGCAGGGTGGAAGAAGACTTCAAGCCAAGTGCGGCAGCAAAGTTTCCCAGACCACGCGAGGGCTTCTTCTTCTGCTCCTCGGCAAGATCCTTCTCAAAGCGCTCACGCATCGCCTTCTCGCGCTTGGCAAACTCGGCAGGAATTGGAGTTCCATCAAACGACTTCAGCACAGTACGCACGTCTTCCACTCCCATACCAGCGAGGTATTCCAGGAAGGGGATGAGGGCAACCAGCGTCTTATCTTTCGGGTCACCAGTCCACTTGTCCAAAACAATGGCGTTCTCGGGCTGGTAGCGAGCGTGCTCCTCCTTGGTGTCGATGAGAATAACCTTAGAAAGGTCACGGTTAAGATATTGTAAATCCTGAAGACAATTAGCATTCTATGACTGGAGAAAGAAAGGGGGGAGGAAATCAGCATACCTTGATGTATTCTCCATCCTTGTATCGGGTCGCCTCGCGGAACAGGGGCCAGCGGATGATGCGGTAAGGGTCGAGTTTGCGAAGGACTTGGTCTGCCATCATACTGGGCACACTGGTGAAAAGGACGAGCTCATAGTATTGGTTCAGGTAGCGGAGGAAGTAGTCGACACCAGGCCGCTTGGCAATCCGCCATCCGTGCTCACGGGTCCATTCGCTGTGAACAAGGAGATCCTCGAGACTGAGCACCAGGGTGTATGGCTGACGCATCTCGGCATCCTCATCCGGAAGCAGCTTGGGGAAAGCGGGGTCTTTGTAGTAGCTAGTGAGATCGCTAGTGCGGGCCTTGATACGGCTGTACCAAAGACCTGGACTCCATCCAGATGGGATCTCAGGGTGTTGCCGCTCCTCCTCTTCGGTTTCCCAATTGCGACCCAAGTAGCCCATTCCAGCAACACCAGCAAGCAACATAGCTGCGTATACTATATTGGCCATGCGGGCCTTGCGGCGGTCGATAGATGTCTCATATCCGCCCTTAGGGATGTCACCACCTCCTCTACCTTCCGCTCCGTACTCTTCTGACTGGGCAGGGTCTTCTGTGAGGTTCAATGGTCCCTTTTTCATACGACCTTCCAATTCTGCGGCCAGCGTCGATGGAATACCTTGTGTCAGATCGGGGAGAGGCGTCTGTGGGGATTGTTCGACCTAGAAAGACAACGTTAGAAGGGATTCCTTCTACAAAGAGTATAAAAAGTCTCACAGGTTCGGAAGGTTGTGTAGGTTCAGCTTTTGTATCAAACTCGGGTTGCTCTGCGGCGAAATCTTTGGGAGCTGCTTTGGGATTATTCGACGTCGATTTGTTCGACTTCGCCCGTAGCTGGATACCCGGGGAAAGCTTGTAAGCAGCGTACGGTGAGGGCCGCGCCGACAGGGTCGATACCCGAGCGGCAGAGGCGAAGAGGTTTGGCCTCGTCAGAGGTAAGACTGCACGACTAAGCATTGTGTATTGGGACTTGAAACAAATGTGTCCTTGATGATGGGATAAACCACAGTTTCCCGTTAAAAGTCGGCGCGACTCGGTACGGTGGCGTATCCGAACCATCCGTGCACATTGTTTATATATCGACTCCGTCCGCCGTCGAGTCTTGACCTTTTTTTTTTCTTTTCTTCTTCAGAAAGTTCACCCAGACATTAATTTGACCTATCAAGCAATTCTCTCTGCATGCCGGGTTGTATTAGCTGGGGAGACCAACGAAGATCTTCTTCATTCCCACTACCAAGAGCGCAGCAAAGGTTTTTCCCGTGAAGCTGCGCTCCGATCGTGGGACACAAATCTTTTTAGCATTTTTCTTTTTTCTCTTTACCATCTGATTACCAGAAATATGATTTTCCTGTCCAAATCTAGACTCGCTCGTATCTTATAGAATTCACCTGCATATCTTTCAATCATGGGGTTCAAAAAGAAGATGCTCGATTTTGAGGGGCAAATCTCCGATGTCGAATCTGAATCAGATGCCGAAACTCCGATCTTACTGCGATTCCCTTTCCTCCAGCTACCGTCTGAGATCCGCCTACACATTTATCATTACGTCCTATTCACCCCGACCCGAAAGAGTGCATTGAAGCGCACTGGCAATGTTGGATCTTCGGCGAAAAAAAGCAAACCTCTAGCACCATCTTCGCATCGCATCGCCCTGTTCCGTGTCTCGAGACAAATCCACGATGAAGCCGCTCACTATTTCTATTCAACTCAGATATTTCGTGTGTTCCCCGTGCAGGACTTTTTGCGCATGCCCACAGTCCGGGCTTTGCCTCGACGCCACCGCTCTTCAATTACCACAATCGAATTGATTGTGGGATCAAGCTGGACTGCACCCCCAAAGTCATGGATTGTGAACCAGAGCCTAGGGCTACACGACATGGAGCTTGTACGCACGTTGAAAGTGTTTGTGCAGTGTGACCCTTCACAACCTGCATTCGAAGGCTTTCGCATCTCCAAGGAATATTATACCGACTTCTGTGGCAAATTGTTACATCAAATCCTGGAACGACTTCCGGGTCTAGTTCAGGTCGAATTCGATGCCTGGCCTTCTGTAGAAAAGAATGGACCTTTGATGACTCGTTTGCTTACGGAAACCCGAGATGCTCAGAAAAAGGTTCTTTGGGGCCCTGATAGAGGTTGGACCGACACTCACGATGACCACGAGAAACATGACCTCACTGATGCAGATTCTGCCTTTGATGGCCTACGGGCCTACTCCTCTGATGTTGTTGAAGCTTTGAGCAACTCACTTCAGATCGTCACGCTGGGCTCATGATAGTCCATTGTTCAGTTGATATTGTTGATATTGTTATGATTTATATACATTGCGCGGCGCATAGATTACATAAAATAAAATTACAGGCACCGATTTACTTCCAACAATAGCCCAAACGCTATTCTTGTTGACAATAAAACTGTTATTCTTATTGTTATGTCAAAATTTGAGTAGATTTCATTCATCCGTTGGTCTGGTTTGGTAACATAAAGGTCCAACCAATCAGAAGTAATTAAAGCGGTTTGATCGGCACACTTTTCTAACTCTTTAGAGGTCTTCATCAACTTCCATGGCAGCACCGTTTGTGTCTTCTTTGGATGATTGCCGTGCCACCGAAGCTTCCTTGTCAATCATCTGCCGCGAGACGGCAACAATGTTATCCTCAATCAATTGTTGGCTTACGTCCTCGATGTCTGTGAAACGTCAGTCTATATGTTTTTGAGGGGGTTTAATCACAAGAGAGGAAAAACGTACGCTTCTTGGGATCAAGCTTGCCAACATATCTCGTCTTCAGCTGATCCTTGCTCAGTTCCGTCTCTTCCTTGATCCGCTTCTCGTAACCCTCTGCAAGAAGAACAAGCTGCTTCATGCGCTCCACATTGTGCTTACCCTCCTCGTGGAAGTCGTTCATCTCCAAGGCCTCGGTCCATACATGCTTGTGAAGGTTCATCAACATGTTCTCTTCCAATCCTGTCTTGCGGTAATCAATCGCAATGCTGTAGTAGTGGCGGTTGAGACCGTGGATCAGGGCCTGGATCGAAGGCTTGTTGAGATGGCCCAAGTTGGATGTAGTCTGGCGGGGCTCCTGGCCCATGACTACCGTCTGGGGCTGGATGAGACGGAAGGCGTCAATGACGACCTTGCCCTTCACTGACTGGATAGGATCGACGACAACGGCAACCGCACGCGGTGTGAGTTGCTCAAAGGATTGCTGAGTGTTGATATCGACCGAGGAGAGCCAGCAGCCGAAACCAGGATGCGAGTGGTACCAGCCAACAACTGTTTCTGGTCTGTACAAAAGTATTAATATGGGGAAGTCTTCTATTATACACCCGCCGATAAGCTTACCGTCCCGTCTGTCGGAGCATTTCCATCATTCTAGTTTGGAACACGGGGTCCACTGCCTCAACACTGACACCAGTACCGCTCTGAGGCATGGCAAAGACGTCTACTACCCGGACTGTGTATTCATCGACGAACTCGCCCAGCATCAGGCCCATGACCTCCATCGGGACACCCGCGCGGCCATGTCGTAGCATCTTCAGCAGAGCCAAGGAGGAGATGTGGACAGTTTCGGAGTTATCAATCAGATTTGGGGTATCCTAAACAATGGCTCTCATTAGTCAACGTAGAGAAACATGGTGAAGCTAGGCTGGGGTGTCGCCATCAATGCCTCCCAACGAGGAGATCAGAGGTCTTATCCAACTTACACCACCGGGAGCAGCACCTCCCATCCCCATGCCTTGGGCGGCCTGGAGCATCCGGTTAAGGCGATCCATAGTTAAGAGATATCTGACAAGACTTGATGAAACGAGAGTAAAGAGGGCGAAGCTATCGCTATTTCGAAGCTCCGGTGCAAGTCGATTTGTCTCTAGTAGCTTGGTATTGGTGAAACAGTGTTCAAAAAAAGGATAAAAAGTAACGAAAATCCCCAACAGATGTGATATTAGCGAGAAGATAACAAAGTTGTCAAAGACGTGTTAACTGATGATGAGCAAAGCCGTGGGAGCTTTGCCTATACGAAGGCGGTGTGTGATTCGGTCGGCTTCCGCTCCTTCGCGGGCCATTCTCTCTCCTCTATCTATTCTTCAATAGCCTGAATAATGACATTGGCTTGCTATTGTGACTAAGTTCTACTACCTAATCTTCGCATTGCGGGATCTGGTGACAATAGGACAATAGGACAATAGGTGTTATCGCTGCCTATTTACCCTCCTGGGAATATATCTATCTGCATTGCGCCTGCAACCAACGCTCCTTCATCATTCCCCGGATCTCACTTACACTTCTCGAGCTTCACTTTTTTTCCACTCTCAACCCAGTGATCTGCAGTCGCCCTCGACACTATGGCTCTGGAACCTATCTCTGACAGGCTCCTCGGGTCTAAGAACAAAAAAATCGCCTACTTCTACGACTCCGATGTGGGCAACTATGCCTATGTCTCGGGCCACCCCATGAAGCCTCATCGCATACGCATGACACACAGCTTGGTGATGAACTATGGCCTCTATAAGAAAATGGAGATCTACGTGAGGAATCTTCCATATTTTTCTTTTAGCCCTTGTACTAACAAATCAGCGTGCGAAACCTGCCTCAAAGTATGAGATGACCCAGTTCCACACCGACGAATACATCGACTTCCTGTCCAAGGTCACACCCGACAACATGGACCACTTCTCAAAGGAACAGAGCCGGTACAATGTTGGAGACGATTGCCCCGTGTTTGACGGTCTTTTCGAGTTCTGCGGGATCAGCGCTGGAGGCAGTATGGAAGGCGCTGCACGACTGAACCGCAACAAATGCGATATTGCCGTCAACTGGGCTGGTGGTCTTCACCATGCCAAGAAGAGCGAAGCAAGTGGCTTCTGCTATGTCAATGGTATCGTGTTTCAATCCTCAAAAGTCTGTTCCAGAAGCTAACATCCATATAGATATCGTTCTTGGAATTCTGGAGCTTCTGCGCTTCAAACAGCGAGTTCTTTATGTCGATATCGATGTTCACCATGGCGATGGTGTCGAAGAGGCCTTCTACACAACTGATCGCGTCATGACATGTTCTTTCCACAAGTACGGCGAGTACTTCCCCGGCACTGGTGAACTTCGCGATATCGGTGTTGGGCAGGGCAAACACTACGCTGTCAACTTTCCTCTCCGTGATGGTATCACTGATGAAACATACAAGAGCATCTTCGAGCCTGTCATCAAGAGCGTGATGGAATGGTACCGCCCCGAGGCCGTAGTCCTTCAGTGTGGCGGTGACAGTTTGTCCGGTGATCGCTTGGGCTGCTTCAACCTGAGTATGCGAGGACACGCCAACTGTGTCAACTTCGTCAAGAGCTTCGATCTGCCAACATTGGTTCTTGGTGGTGGTGGCTACACTATGCGCAACGTTGCACGGACATGGGCTTATGAGACAGGTATCCTTGTGGGCGAGCCTCTAGGATCGGAGCTGCCATACAATGACTACTATGAGGTAAGATTCCTTTTCCCTCCAAACGAACTAATACTGACTATATAAGTACTTCGCTCCTGATTATCAACTTGATGTTCGCCCCTCCAACATGGACAACGCCAACACTAGAGAATATCTGGACAAGATTCGCAACCAGGTTGTCGAAAACCTCAAGCGCACAGCATTTGCTCCTTCAGTCCAAATGACGGATGTGCCGCGGAATCCCATGTTGGATGGCATGGATGACGATGCTGATGACGTTATGGATGATCTCGATGAGGATGAGAACAAAGACAAACGGTTCACACAGCGACGATTCGACCAGCGTACAGAAAAGGCTGGCGAGCTCAGCGATAGCGAGGATGAGGAGGAAAACACCGCCAATGGTGTTCGCCGCCAACCAGGCGTGATGCGCCGTCGCAACCAAGTCAACTACCGAAACCTCGAGCCGGACTCTGGGCTAGATAGTGGCATGGCAACCCCGCAAGATGGCTCTTCTGCGGCTGATGGAGAAACAGATTTCGCCCTCGATACTAAGATGACCGATGTCCCACGCACTGAACCTGAGGCACCTTTTCCTGCCACGCAAGCTTCGAACGCTGATGAGACCCCCATGACTGATGCTGATAACATGGCCATGGAAAGCGAGGGAAGGGAAGCCTCTACTACCTCTCAACATCAGTCTCCTCCTCACGATGAAGATACTACCATGGAGGATGCTGCTGCTACTGTCGCTGAACCTCCTATCTCGGAACAGGCTCCTGCTCAAGCTTCAATCATCGAGGAAAAGTCTCTGGTAGAGAGCTCCATTGCCTCCCCTGTCCAGGCCCAGTCTCCTCCCAAAGAGGCTGGTGATTCTACCCTTGAAAAGAGTGCCGCAGGCTCTGCTCCTACTGGGGCAACGGCCACCAAGGAAGAGGACCTGGAACACATGGCGGAACCTAAGAAAGAGGAGTAATCGGCTGTGATTCAAAGACGACAATATCGGATCTGGCGCAACGGACAATGGCAGAAAGGTGTTATCGGTTTAACAGCGTGCTCGCATCTTGCTTGACACTGGGAGGGCTTTATTCGTGGCAGAATGACAGACTCAAATCGAGGTTTTAACCTTGAAATGTTTCGGGGGATGGCGGTTGCTTTTATGGACTTTCAAGGAATCGTTTCATATTTTATCTCCATCCATGTGCTATCTGCTTTTTCTTTTACCTAGTTTTTTTTTATTGCAAATGTATTATTCAGTGAAATACAATCTTTCAAACGTCACAACATTCGAACTCTAGAACCTTAGAAGTATATTGTTGATGCCTCAGGCATTATATTTATCACTATTCCCGATAGGGTTAGCATTAGGGCAACGTTGGTGGAGCTGAGCAGCCAATCATCTCCCAACGCCAAGATTTTACGCACTTTGCCCACTAAGCGAGAAAGCACACCTCCAGTTTGGATCCTCGACGTTCGACCTCTTGTCGCCAACCTTTTTCACCCAACTTCGTCCCCGTGATCATCAGCCATCATGTCTAAGAGAGGGTGAGTCTCCCAGCGATTCCCTACGTGGCCCCATTCGAATCCGAACCGATACAGAATTATTTTGCAAGCATGGACAAGCAACACAACACCTTTGTTTCGAGAGGATAGAATGGGGCTCGAATTGGGAAAAGAACGAATCGACAAGAACGAAATTCGCTAACGGTTCAATAGTCGTGGCGGTGCCGCCGGCAACAAGCTCAAGATGACTCTCGGTCTGCCTGTGTACGTCTCCAAATTTTTTATCGTCTAGTCTGTTTCGAATGCGCCTTTCTTGCCCGCCAGTTTCCACAAGTCATTTTCAGTCGATCAACGTTCTCAGAAAAACATACACCATGCAACAAAACGAAAAAGACCGGCGGGAAAGAAAGGGAAAGAAAATTGGATCTCCACTTTCAGCATTCGAAGCACGACGTCTTCAAGATCTAGAACAATTCACTAACGGTTCCCTTTTTTCGTCAAACAGTGGCGCCGTGATGAACTGCTGCGACAACTCCGGTGCTCGCAACCTGTACATCATCTCCGTCAAGGGTATCGGTGCCCGCCTGAACCGTCTCCCCGCTGCTGGTGTCGGAGACATGGTCATGGCCACCGTCAAGAAGGGAAAGCCCGAGCTCCGCAAGAAGGTTATGCCCGCTGTCGTCGTCCGCCAGAGCAAGCCCTGGCGCCGCCCCGACGGTATCTTCCTGTACTTCGAGGACAACGCAGGAGTTATCGTCAACGCCAAGGGTGAGATGAAGGGTTCCGCCATTACCGGTCCCGTCGGAAAGGAAGCTGCTGAGCTCTGGCCCGTATGTTATACACTCCCCATGGAAATGGATTCGATTCCATTCTCAAATGTCCGACACAAAGCTAACACTTCTTTTTCTCAGCGTATTGCCTCCAACTCCGGTGTCGTCATGTAAAGAGAGAAAACCCGAATTTTAAAGAAAAAGAACGATACCAAACCTCAAATCTGCTTGGGACCTGGAATGCGGTGCATATGAGACCATAGGATTAAAATGGGAGCTGGACAGGTGGTGTCCATTTGACGAAATCCAACTGTTTTTATTTTAAAGCCGGTTTTATCCTCCATCTTCGTGTTTTCTCCCTCCCTTTACTGGCGGCTCTTGGAAGTATTACTTTAAAATCACATCCTTTGCAATGCCTCCGTTACCTCGAGGGCTGGCCTAAAGGTTTTAGGCAAGCTGTATGGGAGGGACTTGGTCCTGGGTTGTTTGTTCTTTGTCCGATATATGAACTCTGATATGACCACCAATGGCTCTACGTAGACCCTTCGATAGACCCTTCGTAAACGTCCTTTATTCTGTATGGCTGTACATCAGGGCACAACCTCAACGAAGGTCACCTCATATGCTTTTGTATCTAGTTGAAGATACGTCGTCAAAATATATATTCTGCAATATATGTATCCAAATGCAAACCGCTCAGTTATCCACTACCATTAATACAATAAAAAAACAAATCTACAACCCAATTATTTCGTCTGTCCATTCTGAGTCTTCTGTTCCGACTGGACTTTCTGACTAGTCGTCTTCGCCTGAGCACCACCGGACAAGACCAAAAGCAGAGCCGCACCCAGCGTTACTAGCACGAGGATATGGACTGCCCACCAGAAATGCTGCACGCCAGCTGGACACATAGTGATCTCATAGCTCCACTCGCCAACGACCTCATCAAACCACGCCGAAAGGAGACCAGCATTACCACCAAACTCTCCCATCATCGAGCGGAGGGTCACCTCCCGGATAGAAGGGTCATCAGTTTGCTGGCTCTCACTGAAGCGCGTCGCATCCCACTTCCAAGCTTGAGACGAACCATCGTCGCTGATTGTTTCGGTGCGGTTGACGAAATGAATAGTATCGCAGCCCGTGTGGTCATGTCCCGTAAGAATGAGTCCATTGCGGCCCTGGCCACCAGCAAGCGCATTCTTGTTACCGCTCAGCCCGAAGATGCCTTGCAGAACCCCGCTAGCGCTGAGTGTATCACTGAGATGGTTCTGCTCCTTGAGACCACCGTCAAGCCACCGGGGCACACCGTCGGGGCCATCCTTGTCGTCAGAATCGCGGAATGAGAAATATGGCCCGTCCGTGCACACGCCATCTTGCTTGTGCATGGGTAGATGTGTCAGAAGCAAAGTAAAAGCCGACCGGTCCTTGACCGGCGCGAGTCGATCAGCGATCAACTCGTTCAGATAAGAATACGTATGGCTCTGGACTTCCGCAGAAAGCACGGGGGTATCGAACATGAGGGAATTAAGGTTAATCAGGTGCAGAGTAGGGGTGACAACCTGGTCTCCAGCAGACGCAGACGAGGACGAGATGGGCGGGTGTTCGAATCGCACATCCCAATTCGCACGGCCAAACGCACGCTCAAACCGTTCCATCCGCGCCTCACTGATGTCCCCCGCATATCCAATGTCATGGTTTCCCGCGACATTGATCACGCGCCTGGCCCAGGCCCGATCCGCGCCCAGGGGTTCCACCGGCGGCGCATTGCTGCCTTTGCTCTGGTTCCAACCCGCAGCACCGGTTCTAGTAAGGTTGTCGTCGACGCGCTCTCCGCCGCGGAACACGCGATTCCAATACCGGTGTCCGCGCCGGGCAAATTCGTCGTCGGAGATCCACTGGCTCCCCACCAAGTCGCCAAGGACGGTTGTGTGCGTCGGCCGGGTCCACCAAAAGAGCGTGCGGTAGATGTGCGCGAGGTAGTAGTCGTTGCCGAAGAGGTCGAGGCGTTTCAGGCCGGCTTTGAAGGTGCGCGGGATGTCTTCGATCGCGAGGGTTTTGAGACCGGTTGTGATGTTCGAGAGGACGTCCTCGTTCAGCAGAGGTGAAGTCGAGGAATTGCCGATTGCTTCCTGGACGGCGCGCCAGTGCGTCTGTATGCGGGGGTATAATTCATACTCGGGGAAAGGGAGCGACGAGTCGCCTTCCAATTGGGGGTCTGCGAGGACCAATAGTCTGAAGATGGCGGGTTGACTGTTTGTGTCTGAGGTTGAAACGCCGAGGTGTTGGAAGAGCGTGTTAATCAGTGGATTCTGGTATATATGCTTCTCGGTCGACCGTGAGGCAGACTGTGGTAGAGGAAAGGCGCATCCGTTGAAGACTGGGTACAGATAAAGGTAAACAGTGACGGTCACTGTGAGTGGAAGAAGGAGCGCAAAGGTGCGGCAGAGCAGCCAGCGGGGGGACATTGAGGGATCTAAAATGACAGAAGAAGGATAAATATTATAAAGACCTATACAGCATATTGAAAAGAGTTGTCTTGAATGGTGGAAAGGAGAAGAAACCAAAGTGCGGGCATCGCTAATCGATAAAGATAGCGCGCACATATATACAGTGGCACCGGCTATATTGAACTACGAGAGAAAAAAGTGGACACATCATAATCAAGCCATTATAAACAGCCTCGCCGAGTATTGATGATCCTAATATCAGAATTCAAACCAAGTTGTTTATATACAACGTTAATCAGATCGTGCATGACTATATACTGCCTGTATAAGAGTTAGCGGTGTACTGGGCGGTGAAAACCATGAGTGTGATGAGAACGGAGTGGAAGCAAACAGCTATGTTGTATAAGTTGTTGTATAAATTATGATAATATCTATCTACATCCGCAGACGCAATTAGTATATGGAAGAACACTCAGCTCCAGAAGCAAGTCAATCATATACTCCCACATAAAATCCCCCGGCGACCTGCAATGACGAAATTGGCCCGGGTCAACAAAGGGAAGAAGTCTGAGCGAGGGGTATATCACATCAAACGCCAGCAAAAAGAAAGAAAAAAAAAAAAAAAACAAAAAGGGCCAAAAGATAGTATCCTTCGCATAAGCCCAAGCAAGGTCACACAAAAATAGATATTCACTTAGATTCCATGTTGCCTAGAGTATTCGGAAGCAAGGACGAGTGGTTGTTGTCTAAGTCTCCGAAGGGGTTAGATATAGATCGTTCGAGGCCCTTATCTGTGTTATTTTTGTCCAGACTGCCGTTCGTGTCATCGAAAGAGTTGGCGCCAGAGGAGTGACTGAGGTTCAAGCCCTTGATTTGAAGACCTGCCTCTTCCTCTTCCTCATCGATGGTCTGCTCAGTTTTGGTGCTGCCCGAAGCAGGTACCATCATCTCCGGCGGCCGCTGATTCATCAGCCGAGCTTGTTTCAGACTAATAGTCTTTTGCTTGTTGGTGGATTCCACTGCCTGTCCCATATCACGCTCGATGGTAGCTTTCATCAATGCCGCCATCCACAGACGACCCTGTTGTACATTGTCGACCTGGAAGTAATGGGTGGCTGGTTTTGTGAACTGTACGGTGCGCGAGTTGCCTGACTTCGGAGGCACGAGCTTGAAGAAGAACGGCCCACTGCCGTCCTTGGTGGTCAGCGATTGCATGGTCGAGGGAGTGGTGAGCTTCGTGCCGCTGGAGCTTTCCACGGTGTTGTTGGCATTGGCTGGTAGCGCGGTTGAACCGGTGATTGTTGCGTGTAGAGCGATGATCGGATCTTGATCCGCTCGCAGGACACGGTGAGCGGTTATGTCGATCAAGCCTCTTTCCTCAGTGTCATCCTCGGAATAGTAATAGGACAGACGACGACCGCGCAGGACGAACAGTCGGGGCTTCCAGGTAGTCATCAAGTTGGAGGATCTCTTTTTCATCCATCCGCTATAGTCACAGCCATCCATCTGCTCACGCGGTGTCTTCTTCTCAAGACCCCGAGTATAGGCACTAGTCTCCTTCTTGGACTTGACGGTACGAGGACGGACTACGAATCCTTGTCCGTCAGTAGCAGCCTTACCAGACCCATCTGTACTATGCCGTTCCGAGCTTTTGGACGTCGCTGATGGAGTTGTGGATCCAGTGCGAGCAGAGGTGGGATCGGACTCCCGCGGTGAGTCAGGCGGCGCAGAAGTGTCAATCTTCTTCCCAACAACGTCGGAGATGGCACGAAGGCCCATGGCTCGGCGGAACTTAGGCCCAGCATTCTTCAGTGGCTGGAATTGCGACGGCGGAGCGCGAGAAGAGGTTTCCGGATCAGCTTTGCTGCCGACCCGAGAGAAGTTGGCGAAGAAACCACCACCGGCGCTAGTCTTGCTCTCGGAGGTTGATGACTGAGAATTGTTCCCACTTCTATCTGATGAGACGCGCGTGCTCAAGCTCCGCAGCCGACTCTTCGGTGGCGTGCCATGATAGGCCTGAGCTGCTGGGGAGACATGCTTTGCTGCGTCACGGATCGAGTCCGCACTGCTAATGCGAGAGTGACGTTTCGCCGGGGTGATCACTTTATATGGATCTTCTGCATAGCTTGACTTTCGTGAGTGATTGTTTACACCTAGACCAGTGGACCCCCGTTTCTGTAGAACCCGGCGGCTTCGGCGCGAGTCAACCTCGGTTCCTGAGAAATAACCGCGATCTAGGTCATCAATCTGATCCGGGGTGCTGGTATAAGAGTTGGTGAAAGAATCCGATTCAGCAGTCAGCGGTCCACCCCGGAGGCCACCTGGACTAGCGCCCACCGAAGTATTTGGGCGAACAGGCATGGATTGAGGGCCGGAATTGAGAGTCCATGACCGGTCGAATGAGGGCTTCTTTTGTTGGTGACCAGCGAAAACCGACTCAGACATGCCGCGTTGGGTGGCATCAATGGAAGAATGACGACGCGCCTGGTTGAGATCACGGAGCGACGCTGCAGAAATTCTCCTTGGCGAATCGTGACTGTACGGAGGAGTATGCGGTGCCCTAGGCGAGGTATTGTTACTGGCCAGTCGGGGATGTTGCGCCGGAGCAGAGCCTCGTGGATAACCAGCGCCGGTCTTCTCTGACAAGGTCGGAATCCGAGGAAGAAGTGGACCGGTGTGTCCAGCGCGAGACAATGCGCGTTCATCGGAAGGGCCTGAGAAGCTGGAGGAGACAGAGTCTCTCGGGGCTTGCTGTTGACTGAAGCCCTTGGTGTCTTCTTGGAATGCCTTGATTTTGTGCCAGGTCTTAAGCCGCTTGCCCATGACTCCGAAATCGAATTCCTTCATAAAGATAAAATCTTGATCCATATCCAGAAGCACATCGCCGGTGATCTCTTGTTCTTCAAAGATGTCGCAGTGTTTTGGATCAATGCCGAGCCCGCGCAAGCATCTTGAAGTCTGTATTTGATTCCATTTCCGCACCTCTTGCTCGGTTGGATGATTCTGTTCCTCATCGTCGGTTTCATTTCCATTGATATACGAAGCCCTATGGCCAAGATGACTGCTGTACTCGCTGCCGGAATCATTGATCATCTTGGGTTCTTGGGTCGACACATTGTGACGTGGGATGTTCATATCCGTGATATGCTCATCAATGACGCTCAACGTCTCATTCATAACCGGACTGTCTTCGCCGTTCATATGATTGTCCATGGAACCACGAAAGGCTTGCTGAATATCGGCCGCTAGGCTTGGGAGAGGCAACGGAGACGAAGCGGATCGATGCGCGGGAGAACCAATTTGCGGTGACTGCATATCGGAGCTAACGTGGCGCGATGCTTGAGGGGTGCTCTGTCCACTCCCAACTGACGCGAACGATGAATCTTCATGCGCCGGGGATTCTAATTGTATCGGTGACTCTACAAGTACTGGCGACTCGGCGAGGGTCTTTCTTGGGGGCAGTTTGGTAAAGTCTGTCGCGCACGAATATTAGCTTGGGGGAAGTGAGGGGGCGCTTAGGGAGGGGAGCGCGCATACTCGCAGGGAAGAGACCAGTTTGTCCCGTCCTAAGGTTTTTGCCCAAGTACCAGGCATCTCCAAATCCTTCATCCAACTCGACCAATTCAATCTTGTCGCGGGGTAACATGACCAGTTCATCTTCTCCGCGCCCGCCAAATTCATCTAGTTTTGAAGTGTTAGAAGCCGCATCTTGAGAAGAGTCACAGGCGATCGAGGTGTCGCGCACGACGTCACTTACGAAGAACCTCCAGAATGTCGCCGGGACGAACACCCTGTGGTGGGCCCATGGTAACCATTTCTCAATATTCCGTGTTTGCTAGTCAGGAGAAGACGCAAGACATGGCACCCTTCTGGGAAGTACGCAACATGCAATTTTGCGCGTATCCCTCTGGGATAAAGCAATGTGATTTCGCAGAAGGGAAGAAAGGGAAAAAGGGGAGAAGAATGTGAGGAATCTAAAGAGATTCGCGAGATTCAAGAGATTAGAGAGGATTAGGTTAAACAGCTCGCGGGGCTCGGGAGCACGAACCTCTCGAAGGATCCCGAGGTAGCTTGGTCTTTTTTTTTTTTCTTCTTTGGAAGGATCGAAGGATTTATATCTGTGCAAACATGTATATCATGAATGTACTAGATAGTTAAGGATGAGTTTCAAGAATATTAAGTAGAATTGGAGGTGAAGACAACACACACACAAAACTATTAATATAGCCAATATCAAACCCAACAATATATAGAGCCCAAAAAAATTGTAAAGAAAAAAAAAAGGCAAAAGTGACAAAAGTGACGTTTGCAAATTGTAAGAAGTTCTGGACTTGACACATTCGGAATTTCCGTGGTTGAGATGTTAAGCTGGCATTTTTGGTTACAGATTACAATAATACTTATGTATTATAATATTACTAGTTTCAATGCTAACTACCAATTTAATTTAATTTTTAATTAAAAAAAACAAGTATAGATGTATTCCGTTCTAAGATTGACATTGTACTATTGTACTGCTTATATGCACCTATTTGGACTGGATAATGTCGAGGTGGGGCCTTTCCTGCGCTGCCGCTTTATGAGAGTTGTACATGTCAGCACCAGGAGGTCACCTGGTTCTACAGAGTAGTGGTCACGTGGATGACTAATTTGCGGGGCTCACTTAAGACCTTACCCAATAGAGACACGTCCCAGCTTTATTCTGTGATAGTATGTTAAGGATATTTAGGCCTCGTTTTCTGGAGGATCCCTTCCCCCTAAAATAATGCGTCATGTCTAGTAGGCGCAAAGAAGATGGCGAAGGCCACTCGATTAGGGATAGTGTATTGGAAATTCCCTATCTTTTTTTCAGCCAATTCGACCTCGAAGTCTCAGCTTTATAAGGACACCATGTCCTATAAACCAGCGCTCTTATCATCTCACCTAAATTATTTCATTTCAATAATCTGTTTCTACAGCTAGCATTTGAGCAATGTTCATAATTATAGAGTGAATGGACTTCTTCGCCAGACGCGATGAGATACATAATCAAGGAAATGCGCTGTCTATAACGAGAAAAGAATGGATACATCCCCGAAGCCTACACAGAGGGAAGAATATAGTATCCGAAATAAAGACAAACTCGATGAGACCAAGCAAATACATTAATAGGCACTGAACCGCTGGCTCGAGTAGGTTGACGGACCCACGAGTTCTTAAGAGGAAGCCGACATCTCTCCTAAACTTTTGAGAGCAGCTCTTGCTGACAGGAGCCCCATGCCAGGTGCCAAAGATGTTAGATGTAGCATCGGTGTGAGAAAGCAGACAATCCTCGGTTTCAATGGATGAAGAAAGCACTCTCCATTAGTGCATCATAGGAATGCAGCGTAGCCCCGGAGTGTTGCCCGGTCATGGATGGTGTTTGTGACAGGTGTCGATGAATTTGAAGGCTTGTAATTCATAATGACAAATGATCGCGTTGGAAATCTGCCTGAAACAAGCCCAAATCCTATCCTCTCTCAAAGTCCAAAACCGCACCTACCTTACTTCCGGAAATCAGCGTTCCTGATCCTCGCCAAGCCCTATATTGAACGAATCGGCTTTATTCCCCTGCTCCCTAGCTACGCATTAATAACTTCTCTGGCCTATCTCGCTCTAGAAAAGCAAGACATACCATCATGCATTGGAGTTCCGGAACTCCAAAGACCGAGCCGAGAAGTGATCGAGTCCACGCCACTAACAGGCACCCCGCAGAGGAGTGCTCTTTGTTGAACATAAATATGAACATAAATGAGTACAACCCCCTCTCTCATTGCAATGCCATATGATCGTTCCTACAACTTCTTCTTGAAATAAAGTAAACCCATCCAATAACCATGGCCCACTCTGATCCTATCACCCTATACACCTGTGCGACTCCGAATGGCTTCAAAATTTCCATCACCCTCGAAGAGCTAGGTCTATCGTACAATGCACGACCCATTAATCTCGTATCCATGAGCAGAAAGAAGAGTATGATAGCGACAATTCGCTATATTCAGCTATGTAGTTAAACTAATTTTATTATAGATGGTTCTTGAAGTTGAACCCTAACGGACGTCTCCCCGCAATCACCGACGGAAAAACGCGTGTGTTTGAAAGCGGGGCGATCATGCTCTACCTAGTGGAGAAGTATGATAGTGAACGCAAAATAAGCTACGCGCCCGAAGACACCCCAGGATATTTGGAGCAGCTCAGTTGATTGATGTGGCAGATGGGAGGGCTAGGTCCCATGCAAAGTACGTTAACGTCGTAAATTTTCCCTAGTCAGTAATAATTCCGAAAATAGGCCAAGCGCACCACTTCGCTGGCTTCGCTCCTGTCCGTTCCGACTGGGTTATCCAGCGCTATGTGGACGAAACCAAGCGACTCTACATGGTCCTGAACACGCGTCTCGGGGAATCGCCCTATGTCGCGGGCGAGAAGTTTACAATCGCAGATATCGCCAGTTTTTGCTGGGTGCGGGCGTCGCCAAACCTATTAGATTTCAATCTCGATGATTGGCCGGCGATTCGGAAATGGTATGATTCGATTATGGAGAGGGACACTGTGCAGAAGGCACTCAATATACCGACGCCTGCGATGATCGAGGCTCAGTTTGCGGCGATTGTGGCAGGTAAGAGAAAGGAGATGCTGGAGAGGAAGAATGCGGATTCGAAGTAGTTTGCGGTTTTTTTCTTAGCTTAGTTAGCTGCTCCCTGGAGTGCTTGGTTTTGTTAGCATCGGTATAGTGGGGAGTAGTGCATTTTATTGAGGTAGGCCTGATTTGGCCGCTCTCCCGAGTGCACAATCGCGTCATCGTGCTTATACAATGAGCAGGTGATGGATGCTCACCTCCAGGGCTGGGCAGCCATTTCATTGTCAGCCATTTCATTGTTTATATGTAAGACCCAGGGACGTGCTCAGTTTTACTCAGTGAGTAAAAAGCGGCAAGTGGTGAGCACTAAAACGGAAAGGGGTCAGGACTTGCTAGACATTAGTATTCTGTCTATGGAGTATATGCAGATGAACCCGGTCATTCTTGCCATTCTTGCCCAAGTGTATTCCGTACTAATAGTACTAGTAGTAGTACTAGTGGTGCTCCGTAAGTACATGTACTATGTTACAAATATGTACCCAATTTAGATGCATTTAATTCCTTTTATATTTCTGTATATTTCTATGTATATACCTTTTACAATCTACGGAATATGATAGGACAAATCGTTATGATAAATACTACAACTCAATTTCCCAGTACCTGCGTCTATTGTGCTTTGCTCTGCACGAACCTTTTCCTATTATAGTATCTACGCGCGAAAAGGGAGATTCTTTGATCAATTCAAATTATAAGCGCCCTTTATTAAGGGACTCGACAACCTGATCCTGATGCTTCGACACTTACTGGATCGTGATGGTATCACCTAAATCTCGATCGCACATTAGTGCTGATCATATTGAAGAGTCCAACACTACCGCCAATCTGTTTTTAGGCGGCGTGCGGAGGAACTGGATGGACCCGCAGACTAACTCGGAGAACTCGGCTACGCGAAATCCTCGCGTTGAAGTTGAGCTTCCAGTCCCTTCCTACCCTCTTCCTCACGAGCTTACCTTAATGTCCCCCGTCACGCCCGGAGAGACCCTTACCCAATTTACCTCACGTGGTCCTACTCATACGGCGAAAAAACCCGACACGCGAACGACGGCAACGACGGCTCTTCCATCACCCGTTCTTAGTACAAATTCTCACCCAAGTCCTGTGAGCGCCGATGGAATCGTCTCAAATAGACCTCCCACACTACCGCCAATCTCTACACAACCCACGGGACAGCGTGGCGATGACGAGCGCATAGCGGTCCAACCTCCTCCCAGTGGGCTCGCCACGTCACAACGCGTGACCCAGTCCCCTCTAATGGGACGCGACTGGTCCACAAATCCCCCCTCATTCACAGGCACCCGCGTAGGCGCCAGTACACAGGAACACACCGTCTCGGGGCCACGAACTAGTCCGCAGCAGAATGGAGCTGGGGCAGTGGCCATCTATAATGATACTTGGAAACAATGGTCTACCCACTTGGAGGCCTTGGTAAACGATTTGCTCGCAAAGGGAGCAATACCTCCTGCTCACTCGAGGGAGAAAAATGTTGTTCAGCCTCGGATCGAGCTATTGCGCCAGGCCATTAGACGTAAGGACGTTTTCTATCTGGTGATGCATCAATTGTACTGCCGATATAGCATTGATCAAAGTACATTGGGTCAAATTAGAGCCCCTGAGGCGGGCATGAAGACGCTTATCCCTCTTCTGGAAGACAACGGAAAGATGCGCAATGTAGCTACCACTGCGTTTGCCAATTTCCCGGAATCTCCACAGCAGTTAATGCAGAAAATCTGGTACCTCCAGGTGCTATCCGGAGTTCCCAAGTTTCTATCACGGCTTGCAACTAAATGGCATGGCATCTGGCTCCAGGCCCAGCATCCCCCGTTGGTGGCTCATCTTTGGGAAGCACTTGCTTGTCCATCTCCAATTTTGATTTCGGTGATGTTCATGTGTGTTTCACGCCGTCTTCATCACCAGGATTATGAAAAATCCTTGCTTGAGTTGTTCTGGAAAGATTTCGATGCTTTTAAGCAGTGTATGGACTCTGGACTGTCCGCGACGAACCAGCAGGCACTCAACCGTCTTTTTGCACAACAGTATCTCAAATTCCCACGTTCGTCGGAATATCTACCACAAACACCATCTTCTTCCCACTCTGCACCACCTCCCAGACCTCAGATCCAAACGATGTCTCAAGCTGCCCCAGGAGTACCATCGCCCCATTCCCGATCTTCGGTAGCTGGTGCTAGTCAACCTGCCACGAGTTCACCTGCTCTAATACCACTTGGTGGACCTTTGCAGAATTTCACCTCAAATTCACCCCAGGGTCAGGTTGTTGGTCCAACTCCTAGGCCCTATCAATTTGGTGCAAACTCACAAGTGCAGAATCCCCCACAACATCCTTATTACTACCCCATGTCACAGGGGCAAGGGCAGGTGCAGGGACAGGGACAGGGGCAGTGGTATCCAGTGAATTCACATATGGTTCCAAATATGAATCCACAGATGCAAATGCAGATGCAGATACCGCTTGGACAGGTACAACCTTCTCGAGGGCACCAACCACCGCCAGCTTCACATGTTCAACAAATGCAGCGTCGAACAATGGTTGCCACGACTTCAGTAGCGCCTGCCAACCCCTCTACCACCTCCCTCCAACCAAGTGCTCTTACCCCCACACAGTCAGCGCAGTCACTCCAGCACCCGATGCCGCCACAAAGGCCTAATAACCATATCAACCAACAGCGTTCGATGACCTCACAGTCATCTGCTTCACCCACCACACGCACACCTCAGGGGCAGCACTCTCAGCCTTTGCCGAACCCTCCCTTCCTACCACCACCTAACTACAGAGCACCCATGATGGTGAATCCGAATCCAACGTGTCTCGCCTTGCATCTAGTTCACCTTCGTGATCCCATGAAGAAACTAGTAAAAGAGGGTTCAGATGGCAACGACATCGAGACCGATCTCTTCACTTATCTTAATGCCTTCGCTATACACCCAACCATCATCAATGCTGACCAGCCTATCTATAGCTGGAATATCTCTTTCACAGACGATGAGCGCCAAAAGTTCCCACACATAGCCTACGGGAAAGACAGCCACTCTTCCGTCTGGACCTTCAAGCCTGGTTGCCGGACTATTCGCCTGCGATTCATTCGTCTTCCTGGCAATCTGGATTCTGTGAAAGAGAACACCTGGGCTACTGCGGGCACTTTCTGGCCCAGTGTTTTTTACATCACTGTAAACGGCAAAGAGCTCCATGTGCGTCGAAAGGTTCATAATGGAAAAGACCTGCCTTTGGACATCACCGAGCACCTCCACGCTGGCGAAAATACCGTACGGCTCGATCTGATCTTAGGAAAGGATGAGTGCAAGACCATCAAATACGCCTTTGGAGTGGAGGTCATGGAGGTTACCGAGTTCGACCAGATACTCAGCCTGATCCAATCCCTCCCAGCCGCCGACTCTCGCGCAGCAATCCAGAAGCGTCTTTCTCCTATCACCGACGACGATGATCTGGCAGTTGTCACCGACAACCTCACAATCGACCTAGTGGATCCCTTTATGGCACGCATCTTCGATATCCCCGTTCGCTCGCGCCACTGCACCCACCATGAATGCTTCGACCGTGACACTTTCATAAAAACCAGGAACTCCGTATCCGGCCTAACACCAATGGTCGATAACTGGCGCTGCCCGATCTGTAAATCAGATGCACGCCCGCAGTTCTTGGTCGTCGATCAGTTCCTTGCTGAGATACACGCCCAACTCACCAGTACAAACCGACTTGACGGGGTCAGAGCAATCCAGATTAAGGTTGATGGGACCTGGACCCCCAAGTACAACACCGATGAAACCTCGCCCGATGCAGACAGAGTCCTTTCTCCAAAGCGCAAAGCTGAAGGCCCTTGGGGTCCTGTTGTTGCCTCGCGGCCCAAGAAAAGTGTGTCCAATGCCAGCCATAGCCCGGCTATTCGCACCCAAGAACCTGAAGTCATCGAATTAGACTAATGAGTCCATCGGGGGTATTCCAACAAAAGTTCTTATCCTCTTCTCCTTTTTTACCGGCTCTAGCCTTCCAACTTCTCTCGTTTATCTTTGCATGCATTTGAAAAGAAAGATACCCCTTATTGCGTGCTCTCCAAATGTATTTCTTCCATGCCCTCTCATGACTTGTCATTGCTGGCGTTGGGGAGGCTAGGTCTTACGGCTGCGTCCGACTTTTCTCTCTGTTTATCTTAAGTTGTTATGAACAGAATTCAAACATATTGAAAATGAAACTAAACAGCCAGCCAGTTTTAACTACTATGTTGCCTTAGCTCTCTAGTAGTGTAGACTGAGAACTTTAGATAAATACATAAACCTTGGAAGTTTCTCTGTTATCGACATTAGATTATACAAAATATATTATATTGGGCATTTAGATAGTACACCAATTGCCCTGAGTAAGGAAAGACTACTTTCTGACTCTCCTAACATGACTGACAAGGTTCTCAATGACACCCTCGAAAGCCTCTTTTTCGCCAATCAAGCCATCTCGCCGCTTCAGCCAGTACTCCAATACAGAACTAGCGCGCTGGGTAACTTGATGTAGTTCTTGGACATGCTGCTTCAACTCTGAATCCGTGAGACCATTCAGTGCAGCATCGGTGGTGGCACACAACCGGCGGACTGCCGAGAGGTCTATTTCAGGCGCCGGCGGTATGCCACGGCGGGAGGTAGCCTTTTGACGGGAGGGGGCTTGCCCCTTTCCGGTGTTGTTGTCGTTGCCTTCTTCTTTGCGAACTCGACTACGGGAGCGAGCACCGGGGCTCTTAGCGCGGGCGCCTTCAAGATCAATAGAAGGGAGAACGAGCTTTTTCTGCTTGGAGGCTGGGAGGATCTCATCCAGATCAACTGGCACGCCTAGGGATACGAGGAATAGTCGGCGGATTCGGGATTTCACCCAGTTTTGGGGCTGGAGGGGTGGTGGTGCCACAAGCTGGGACCATAGTGAGAGGGATCGCTCGGTGCTGAAGATTGCTGCAGAGTCTGGGATTGGCTCGACGGGAGGGAGGGAGCTTATGTCTTGGGATGCGGGGAAGAGGATGTCGAGGGTGTCTTGGAGGGAGTCGAGGAGTTCGGAGGTGGATTTGAATGTGTCAAAGTCGATAAGAGGCGGAGGTGCATTAGATTGCTGAGATGTCGCAGTTTCATCTGTGAGAGCTTCCTCTGCACTGGGCTCTTGGAAGCCGTCGTCGAAGTCTCCAAAATCATCATCTCCCATGTCTTCCTGCTCTTCTACAAATTCATCAAAATCATCCCCTGCTTCTTGCTTTTCATATCTGTGGTCGTCGTTCATGTCATGCTCCAATGAGAGGTCTTTGTTTTCCAGGTCTGTATCACATATTGAGACGTCTGGGACGGTTTCTACCGTATCGGGTAATGTATCACTTGTTGAGCTTGTATGAGCTTGTGGGTGTGTCGATACTTCCTCAGCGGGTATTGTATCTACCCGCTCGAGCCGTGTCTCGGGAATGTCTGTTGTAGACACATCAAGCTCGGGGGCTGTAGAGTCGAATGCTGGCGGCGTTGGGCTGCCCTCGGAATCCGGAGCCTTGGTCACCACGTCGGGCACAGCATCGGCGAGACGCTGTTCATGTGCCAATGTGCCGGGGACTTCGCCATGGCTAGGTACACCAGGGTCCACCTTCTCAACTACTGTACGCGGAATCGGCAAGTCTTCAGGGCTTGAGGTTTGGTCCACCGACCCCGCGGGAGAACGTGTCTGGCCATCTGAGCCTTCTGGGATAACCTCGATCTCATCGGGCACTGCATCCTGTTCCCTCTTTTCAAATGCTGCTGTGCCAGGGATCTCGCCATATTGAGCGCTGCTGTCAACCCTCTCCACTCGTGTTCGCGGGACAGGGGAAGTGCGACCGGGTCGTGGGAGTGGCTGGGGGTTCCCTTCACTAGCGTCCGAGAAGTGTTCATCGTCGCTTTCAGAAGCTGCTGAAAAGCTATGTCAGCTTCAAACAAATATTTGATGTATATCCAAGGGTCATGTACCATGGTCGACAGCTCCTGGATCTTGCATTTCCATAGTCCTGCTGGGGGGCTCTAGATGCGACCTAGACGAATCGGACGGCCCCTCCGACATGATTGCAGCTTTAATTCAGGTTGTTAACATGAAAGAAGGGGCACACAGAAATGAATAATTCAAAATGCAATGGGGCCGTGTGTAGTGTGCAGTGACGACTTGTTTCCCTGCGATCGATGCGAGTCCAGAACACGTTTTGCCTTAGGCACCAAGATATCATATGTTAGCCAATTTATTCAGGCATTAACTATTGCTGCCTAATATTCAAGGCGTGAACTTTTCCGCGCGTGCTAGCTAAACTCCTTCCAATTATTATTGTCTATTGTCTCGACTTCCTTGTCCTGCCCCTCTCATTATTCCACTCTTAGGCTCTCTGTCTCAACTCATTTGATCAAGAGCTCAATTCCCTAATTGTTGGATCTTTCGATCCATTCTGCAGGCCAGCTCCCCTGCTCCGTGTGTCGCTGGTGCTTTCTCTCCAGCTTTTTCCTCGTCAATCCTCAAGCTCGATCACCAACACCATGTCGTTCTCTTTCGGCGCCCCGGCCTCTTCTGGTGGCTCTAGTGGAAGCCTTTTCGGCACAGCGGGCAATGCTTTCGGCGCCAAAAATGATAACAATGCGTCTGGTGGTGGTCTCTTCGGTAATGTTGGAGCTTCATCCACCGCCGGCAACAGCGCATCGCCGTCGATGTTTGGAGGAAACTCTGCAGGTGGCCAAAGCACACCGACATTCGGCAATGTAGGCGCTTCCAATGCGACCACCAGCGGTACCTCGGGCTTCAGCTTCGGCGGCAACGCTCCATCCGGAACTGGCACGCAGCCCAACTCACTCTTCGGCGCCGCTGCCGGCAGCCAGACTCCCAACAAGTCTACGGAATCGACCACACCTAGCCAGACTGGCAATGCGCTATTTGGTGGAGGCACAAAGAGCATGTTCGGCAACGCGGCCCCAACAGCTACCCCTGCTCCCGCTGGAAATGGCCTGTTCGGCAACAACTCCACCACCCCTGCTGGTCCCCCGCCGGCATCCAACCCACCCAACAGCCTATTCGGGGCTGCGAAACCCGGAATCTCAACTACCCCCGCCGCAGCGCCGTCGTCTACCACGCCTGCTACCTCACAGGCACAGCCATCTAACAATATGTTTGGAGGGGGAGGAACCAAGCCGCTGTTTGGTGGCGCAACAACCGCCGCGCCCAGCGGCGGCCTATTCGGTGCAAACAAGCCGGCCGAGTCAACTGCTCCTAAGACTGCTGCAGAGATCGCTTCCAAGCCACTCTTCGGCGCAGCTGCTCCCGCGGGTGGCGCGCAAAGCTCGCAGACACCGTCTCTTTTCAGCAATATGGCTGCTCCAAGCGGCGATTCCGCTTCGAAGTCTGCATTCCCGGCCCTTGGCGCTCCTCCTGCTTCCACCGCAAACACAACTCTCTCACTAGGAGCCCCTGCAACATCGAGTGCTACCCCTCAAAAGTCTCTTTTCCCTTCCGTCGGAACTGCCACATCCACAGCTGCTCCCTCGACCACTCCGACATCAGCTCCTCTTGGAGGAGGCCTGTTTGGGGCCCCAGCTCCCGCAACTACTCCAGGTACCGCGGCCACTGCCGCACCTGCTACTACTACTACACCTGCTGCACCCACGGGTGGCTTGTTCGGCCAAGCTGCTGCTACCACTCAACCAGCGACCTCCGCTGGTTTAGCACCCCTTAGTAGCCTGGGTAAAACGACCGCTGCCCCGACTCCTGCTTCGACTACAACCACTGCCGGCGCTGCCCCAGCTGGGCCAGCCGCCCTTGGCCAGTCTACCACAGGGCCCGCTCCCCCAGCTCAATCACGTCTGAAGAATAAAACAATGGATGAGATTATCACCAGATGGGCCACAGATCTCGGCAAATATCAAAAGGACTTCCGCGAGCAGGCGGAGAAGGTTTCGGAATGGGATCGTCTGCTGGTGGATAATGGTACTAAAGTCCAGAAGTTGTACGGCAGCACTGTTGATGCGGATCGAGCTACCCAGGAGGTTGAGCGCCAATTGTCAGCGGTTGAAGGTCAACAAGATGAGCTCAGCTCATGGCTGGATCGTTACGAGCGTGAAGTCGACGAGATGGTTACCAAACAGGTGGGCCCTGGAGAGTCCCTTCAAGGGCCTGACCAGGAGCGTGAGACAACGTAAGTACAACCCACACCACTACATCTGATATTTATGGTTTTGCTAATATGGCTACTAGTTACAAATTGGCCGAGAAGCTTTCGGAACGCCTGGACGAAATGGGCAAGGATCTTACCAGCATGATTGAGGAGGTCAATGGTGCTTCATCCACATTGTCCAAGACCAATAAGGCAGATGAACCTGTACGTCACAAACTATTATTGATCCCTATTTTATTGGGAGCTTGTTTTGCTCATGTATCTCTATAGATCTCGCAGATTGTCCGCATTCTCAACGCACACCTGTCCCAGCTGCAGGTCATCGACCAAGGCACCTCGGAGCTGCAGACCAAGGTTACTGCCGCCCAAAAAGCAGGTCAAACGATCTCTGCCCGTCTCGGATACGGCTATCCTAACAATGGTATGGGCAACAACAACAGCGCTGATGATTTCTACCGCTCGTTCATGCAAGGGCGGTAAAGGGGTGGATGGCTTTTTCTAATGATTTGAACTCGGAGTTATCGGCTACTTGGCACCTTGACGTGCTTTGGGGGAATGTTCGATTGTAGTGAGGGAATGCTAATAGTCGGTCACAATAAAATGCTTGCATGCGCTTTGTGATTAACAACTTTGAACCTTTGTAGAATCCAATGCAATAGGATTGACAAGTTCTTCTCATATGCTCATTGTACAGTATATCCTTCTGGTTAATATTTCTCATGGTGATGCTCAAACTGGGCCTCCAGAAGATCCATCACTTTTCTCTGCCTTTTTTCTGACTTCTCTGCTCCTTCTAATGATAGGTGCACGGGCAATTGACCTTTGCGATTCATGATCAGCCGGTTAGCGCGTGCCTCTAGAAGCAACCTGACAAATTCCAGGTCATTTCTCTGCGCTGCCATGTGCAATGGTGTATTGCCTTCTTTGTCCCTTGGTTGTGCATCAGCGCCTTTCTGCAACAAATACCTTGCGGACTCCAAAGAGCCACGAAGCGCTAATTTATGCAGCGGCGTCATACCCTTGGTAGTTCTGGGCTCTAGGTCGGCGCCGTGTTGCAGCAATATCTTGCCAAGCCCTGGATCTTCTTTCGATGTCGCACAATGCAATGGTGTGATGTTGCAATCATTTCCCCGCCTTGGATCAGCACCTCGTTCCAACAAGAGAGAGGTCACAGAGGCTGGCCCCAGGTTCCTGCATACAGAGGTCTCCCAGAGTATCCCCCGCAGCAATGGGGTGTTCCCTTTCGACGATCTTGCCTCTATATCTGCTCCCTGATCCAGCAAGAACGCCGCTGCTTCTACCCGGCCATTCCAGCATGCCAGATGAAGTGGTGTCTCACCTTGCTCATCTTTAGCCGAGATTTTCGCTCCTTTCTCCACCAACAACTTGACGGTCTTGACTTCATTAGAGGATGCCAGGTGCAGGAGCGACCTTCCCTCTCTATCCCGTACATTCAAATCGGCTCCGCTTTCTATCAAACACTGGACCACTTCCACGGAGCCAGATTGACATGCTACCTGCAGCGGAGTCTGCCCCGCGGAATTCATAGATTCCAAGTTGGCGCCTTTCTCAATAAGAACCCTTGCCACTGCCTCGCGATTGTGGGGACTTTTTTCGGCCACAAGATGCAATAGGCTGCTGCCGGAGTCCATCGAATTCACATCAACACCGTTCTCAAGCAAAATGCGAGCGACGGCCGCCCTATTACGAACCACAGCCGTGGTGATTGCGTCGTGGGATCTCCAGCCTCCTCTGGCATGCGGGTCGGCTCCATAGGCCAAGAGCAACGCAACAATGTCTGCATGGCCACAGCGAGCGGACTGTATCAATGGCGATTTTCCTGTTATCTTGTCCTTCGATTCGATTTCCGCACCTTGCCGGAGTGATTCTTGGGCTGTTCCTAATTGTCCTTTGGTTGCTGCCCAATGGAGTGCGCTCCCTTGGTGCTGTCGTACGTTGTAGGCATAGAGAAAGGAGTTCAGGAGGGTATAACAGCGATGACTGGTTCTTGCAAATGAATTTATATCATTTTGGGAGTCCTGGGCCTCTGCTATGGCTAGCAGAAGCTCATTTGGTAGGATGAAGAGAGTCATGGCGGGGTATCGGAGGTTTAGTCCAAGGTTCAGGGGTGATTGAATTGGATTTCCGTTTATTGCGAACATGGATTATAAGAAGGAGCCCTAGCGTACCTGGACAATCCGGCTTTACTTAATGTGGAGACGGCAACATCCATGGATATAAGTTATCTTCTTATGCAATGTTTATACAATTTGTCGAAGATAAACATTCACTGCAAGGCAATTTTCTCGGGTTGGGCGAGATCTTCCTAAAGAAACCAAAAACATGTACAAAGAGATACAAAATTTTCTGGCACTTGTGCAAAGACTGCGAATATGTACAGGTAGTATTAACTAGTATTAACTACAATTTTTAGACACTAGCTAACGCTGTCGAGCCTTCTCAATGATTTCAAAGCGAGCTACTGAGCACTACTTTGTATACACACAATAGCAGAGAAACCCCAAATGCTATGGCAGAGAGATGTCTTGTTTAGGAACAGGCGCTGGAAACGGCACGATCTCAAGGCAGCACGCAAGTGCAGGCAGTAGGCAAGTGCGACGGCTCATTGGAGCGGAGATGGTATTATACACAGCGATGAGAGTAGCTCTTCATACTAAACGTTAGGTAAAATGGGAGTATGGAGACTATTTACGGCTCAAGCCATCACTATGAGAGAAGCCAGTCAGTTATACCATAACATCTAAGAGAAAATGGAAATAGATAAGAGATCAATTCCAGATTTGCACTTACATGTGGGTCTCCAGCTCGTCCAAGTGCTGGCGCTGCTCGGAAATCTTCTTCTTGAGTTGAGCGAGCCTGTCAAACCAATTAGTTACCCGCTCCAGCTTGATTGTTCTCGGCTCTGCAAGACAAACTTACTTCTCAAGTTCCTTCTCACGGATGTACAGGCTCTCTTGGGCAGCCTCACGCTTGGTGAACGCATCACTGGTAAAGGGATATAGATGTTAGCGATCATATAGATATGATGTCATCCGACTGCGGCAAGGCGGACATGAGGCTGTCTGCACGTTGCAATTGAACTTGGATCATAAGTTTCGCAGTTAACCTGCATCCCACTTACCCGGAAGAGGAACCACCGCTAGAGCGGGGAGCACCGGTGTCACCTTCGCCCATACGAGGGACAGCTACCGAGAAGGAACGGGTAAAGACTGCCCGGTTGGCAGTAGCGGCGGGACGGACAAATTGGCGAAGCATATTGATGATTTTGGATGGGTAAAGGGGTTAAAATGAGATATGTGAAGTGATTTCGGGATGAAGTTGACAAAGTACGAGGAGAAGTACAGTCAGGCAAGCTTATAGCAAATGACGTTACGTGCCAAGAAACATCATGTGATGGGTCCTCCCGAGAGCAAACAAGCTTATGTCAGGAAGCTACAGGTCATGTGAACAAAAATTTCTGATAAGTCGGGGCCTTCTCATTCGACTTTCATGCATGTAGCCCTGGAGGTATACGATGTATTTCAACTTGATCACAGGGATGGTCACATCATTAATTTAGACTGCAGATGACTCTTTTTTTTTTTTCTCTTCTGTTCTTCTTTTAGTTAACTACAAATTATATGTAGGCTTGATAGTTTATAGCTGTTATATATAACTAGTTCTAGACTTCCAACAAAACACCCTGCCTGCCTTGGTTGTGATCTCAAATGAGGCGCAAGTAAGGAACCTCCCGGGCGATTGGCGGATGTGGAATGGGGGATGACGCTGTAGGAGGCCCACCGAACCACACAGAAGCGATGAGAGAAGAATCATTGTATGGGCAAAAAAAGGTGTTCATATTCCCAGGATGTTTTTTATATGAAATATTTTAATTTGGAAAAATAAAGAAGTTCTTGACCTATATATCCCTTATTTTATTTTTTTACATTTCATAAAAACACAAAGCCCGAAAGAGTGGGTTGTTCAGTTAAATCCCAACACCGCCTTCTGCCCCCCTCCTTTCCTACCTCCTCTCTCTCAACTCCCTACTCTCTCACTTCCATCTTCCATCCATCTCGTTCTTCCTTATCACCTCCTTTCCCCCTTTTTACAAACCAGGTCAGTGTCTTCCTGTTGTTCCCTTGAATTTACCCTTTCGCCCTATTTCTCTGCCCCGTCATCACCGCAAAACCCACACATCAACAATCATGGTGGAAAGAGAGACCTTCTGAAAACCATCCCCCAAATTCAATCATGGAATCGCGTCACAATTTACGCTGGAAACTACATGTCCTCGTCTTGTTTACCCGTTGAACCGTTGCCGCGACCGCTTTCCTGCGATACTCCCCAACGACACACGGGAAGACCAAGACCCTGTAACCGCCACGATCGTCATGATCAGCCAAATCTGAGGGTTTGAGGTCTTGGTCTTTGGTTCCAATGCTTTGATTGGAGGCGTTTTATCTGATACTATACTCGTGGAAACTCAACTGGACCCTTACCCGTATATTTGAAGGGGGTCGAGGGTTGATATCTACCCCTCGTCATCGCCTACTTGCACTATCCCGATAGCGTGATTTCCAGCGCTCATCTCAAAAAAAACATTATCAATTCGAGGGGAAAAAAAGACTCATGTGAGAAAGAAAAAAGACTAATATATTTTGGACTATAGAAAACGCATATTCACCATGGGTCACGAAGACGCTGTTTACCTCGCCAAGCTCGCTGAGCAGGCCGAGCGCTATGAAGGTTGGTTTCTCTTGAGCTCTAGATTGTCTACTTGTACAAATCTCTGACAATGCGACACAGAGATGGTCGAGAACATGAAGGTCGTCGCCTCGGCCGATGTTGAGCTCACCGTTGAGGAGCGCAATCTCCTGTCTGTCGCCTATAAGAATGTCATTGGTGCCCGCCGTGCCTCGTGGAGAATCGTCACCTCTATTGAGCAGAAGGAGGAGTCCAAGGGCAACGAGTCCCAGGTCACTCTCATCAAGGAGTACCGCCAAAAGATCGAGGCCGAGCTCGCCAAGATCTGCGACGATATCCTCGAGGTTCTCGATGAGCACCTCATCAAGTCCGCCCAGAGCGGCGAGTCCAAGGTCTTCTACCACAAGATGAAGGGTGATTACCACCGCTACCTTGCCGAGTTCGCCATTGGCGACCGCCGCAAGGGTGCTGCCAACTACTCTCTGGAGGCCTACAAGGCTGCCACCGAGATCGCCTCCACTGACCTTGCCCCTACCCACCCCATCCGTCTCGGACTTGCCCTCAACTTCTCAGTCTTCTACTACGAAATCCTGAACTCCCCCGACCAGGCTTGCCACCTCGCCAAGCTTGCCTTTGATGATGCCATTGCTGGTATGTTATAATGCAGATTTTGCCACTTGCATTGGCCAAAGCTAATATCTATCTGCAGAGCTCGACACCCTGAGCGAGGAGAGCTACAAGGACTCTACTCTCATCATGCAGCTCCTCCGTGACAACCTGGTAGGTGTTAAAATCGTCTGTTGATTCAACATGTTCATACGCTAACCCGCATTTCTCATCAGACCCTCTGGACCTCGTCCGAGGCTGAGCCCACTTCTGAGAGCGCTGCCCCTGCTGAGAAGAAGGAGGAGGCCCCGGCCGCCGAGGCTGATAAGCCCGCCGCCGAGTAAATGATTAACACCTAAAAAGACCTTGTTGATGGACACGCGTCCTCAGGACGGATGGAACAACCGAGAGAAAGAGATCGCGCGACGGGTCTTTTAGTGCAAGGACATATATTGGAGACGAGGAAGGACGATGAGATGCATTGGCCCGATTTTCGGTTTACAGTATCGCTGAGACTCGCAAGGGTTGGTGTGAGAAATATTCTGACCTTTTGAGTGTTGATGGTCTCTGGGACATTTTTGCCTTGAATTCTCTCTACTTGCCTACTTGCCTTTTGCTTTGTTGCTTTGGCCCAGCGCTTGTGTTCTCTAACCTGGGGAATTTCCATCTTGTCTCCTCTTTTCGTTTTTTTCATTCTCCTTGTTATTTTGTCTACTTTGCCTCTTAACTACCCAAAGAGTCCCCTTGCGCGCACTCTCCCAGCCCAACACACATACACACACAGAAGTTCTTCAAAGCAGTTCCTTATCAGGACTTCAACAAGGGCATCCCTGCTGATCCCTAACATGGCTTTTCACCTTTCCTATTGACTCACTCCCCGTATATGTGCCATGTGGCGTTTTGATTCTCACTAGATGTGGCTTCGAAGATAATCTCTCGTACACTGTTCCGGTAATTACTTTGTGAATCATTCCACGGTTGTAGACGAAGCATGGGAGACTGTGTGTGTGAGGTTTATCTATACCTACAATCCGACGACTACCCGTACCATCATAACAATGGTCCATGTTCAAAAGTAGTAGGGCACCTTCGGGGTGATACCGCCGTCGGTATTGAACCATATCCACTCTATCGGCGCCGGAATCGGGTTCGTGTGCTGCGCACGCATGTCCTGCCAGATAGTAATACATATATAGCAAGCTGTCTTATCTGAGAACAGCCCTAATAAGGCCATCCTATCTCATAATGAATCAACACACTTCCTTATCCCCAATATCTTCGCTCCTGACCCGTTGGCAGCATATCAACAACACTGATAGGTGGACACTTATATTTACATATATGTATTTGATCACTTGCTGTGAACCGGTAATATATAAACAAACTACTGACTTGGGCGTGACTTCCACGGTTCAGTGTGGTCTGAGATAGAAATCCATGCCAATCAGCATCTCAATGAGAGAATGCACATAGTACATACCATGTAAATTCAATACATGTATATATAGTAGGGCGTTTATCAGGTGTAAACATCCACATGACCGGCAGGACAGATAAGCCAAAAGATATAAAAGTACCCAATAAGCTCACCATTGTTTCAGAAAATGGATTGGTACTAGTATATCTGACCGGGGTGTGCGGACATATGCATATGTACTGCAGACGAAGGCGTAATGATATCAGTGGCTGTATTAGTTAGGCACTATGTATCAAGCTTATGTGCGCCTGCCGGTGTCATATCGCGATTGATCGTCGCTTCCAATCTTCACTGGGTATATTT